CCCTGCGAACCCCAACTGTGGATCTTACCGGACAGCCCGAACAGCCCGAACAGCTTGGAGGATTATTTTGCAGCCTAGCATCATCTTGCTTCACTTGAGGGGGCCTCAATAAGCTTGGCTCGATAGATGGATCGATGACGACAAGGGGAGTGGGGACGCAAAAACAAGTAAAAGACCACCAGTGAAATGGGAGAAAGTCGTGGATGGGCCGCTTTCCTCCGCACGAGTACGACGGATTCTAGGAGTCAGATGGTCGGAACTCCGAATCTCTTCCAAGGCTGTTCACCGCTTTCCTTCCGCCCTAATCATCCCAAGGGCATTTTCATGGTAACTACTTACCGCGGGCTCGTCACATCCAGCGAGGTCACACTCTGTCCAGCTTAAATGCATACTGAAAAGGCTTCTTTGAATTCGTTAGGATGTCATCCTGGGTCACATAATAACCACGTAAGCCAAAGAAACCACTACGTCCGGGTTGAGCGGATGAGACCCAGGACCCACTATATAGTAGCACAAACTCTTGTCACACCGTCACAGATTAGTTAGCTAGGAGTCTAGCTAAATAATCAGACAAGTATGTAGAATTATTGGCTAGGAGATTATTTTCGAGATTATCTAGGAAACTACCTAGAAAACTCTTTAGAAGGCGATAACCACAAATCGCGGCCTTCGACGTGTACATTTGAGTACTAGTGTGATAGTATCACCGCCGAGGACTCGATTATGATATCAATTGAAATCGCAGCATCATGAGCGTATGTAGGCCTAGGGACCTACCCCTTGCTCGCGGTCACGATCACGGGATTAATAGGACCAAGATCCAACACCAAATTAAGGGGATTCGGAGAGCATTGAACATCAGATTGCGATCGTATCTAAATTAGGGTTCTCGTAATCTCATTGGCCGATTAGTCCGAATCCATCTCAATTGTTTGCGTGTGATAAACTGTACCCAACAAAAAGTATGTGGGAGAGGCACAGATTGTGTGGGACGAGGGATGGTCGAGAATTAAATTCTGCCGGGTTAGAAGTTGCTGACTAAGGGTTGTGGCCATCTGCCCCCTAAGTTAATTTATAGTCCGAGGTTAAACGTCACCCATCTTCCAACCAGCAACAAGAAATTACCGTCGCCCGGTCCTGAGCCTCTTTATTCTCTTCGAATTAAATCTTCGCATTCTGAATTTCTCAAATTTATGTATGCAAATCCCCTCGGAGGAACGCTGAGAGCAGCAACAGCTGCGAAGACATTTGCTAATGCATCCCCTAGTCGCCTGAACGGCCAGTAAGAACATCCTGCGGGGCCATCCATTGTTTCCTTATACTTTGAAGCTCTAGCCAGCGTATATCTCGGATTTTTGGCCGCTGGCAGTATGCCGTTTGAAACGGAGCCTCTATTGGGCAATCAGAACTCGCGCCCACTCTCCTCGCGGTCACAGAGACTGTCACGCTATTTCCATGATGAGCTGGATCCGCGACGGGGAGATTTGCTACTTCTTTTCTGCTATATTATTACAGGCCTACTGGACAGCTCTGCTGTCTTCATCTGGGGCTCCTTTGTGAGCATGCAGACCGGGAATACGGTCTATTTCGGCCTGGGTCTGGTCGGAACGGACGACGATCGTTGGATCAAATCGGGCGTCTCGATCGCGGGCTTTTGCCTGGGATCTCTTTGCTTCGCAGCGTTCCATCGCGCTTTCTCTCCTCGACAACGTTGGGTTCTTGTCACCTCATTCCTATTTCAATTGGCGTGTATTACTGCGGCAGCCATCATCGTGACGATTTACAGACCATCTCGGGACGCCCCCTTGAGCTGGCTGGTATTGGTCCCCCTTGGGCTAGTCGCCTTACAAAGCAGTGGCCAGGCGGTGACCAGTCGCGTGCTTAAATATAACGGCCTGACGAGTGTCGTTCTCACGAGTGTCTACTGCGATTTATTCTCCCATCCTGATTTTTTGTCACCCAAGGTCATTGGTAATACCGAGGAGATGCGTCGCACGGGCGCGGTGATCTGTCTTTTACTTGGAGTCATACTGGGAGGACTTTGGGCGCACAGCTCGGTGGGCTTGATGGGGGCGCTATGGACCGCGGCATTGCTGAAAGCAGCGATCGTGCTCGCATGGCTGTTTTGGAAGAAGGAGGGACGTTGAGAAGTTCGATGATAGACCTGGTTAGTCGGGAGAACCGAATTTTCCGCCTTTGCGCGGCCCTCTCGCATCGAGTATATATTCAGATGAATTCTATAAGGTATATCTATATGCAAGTCTATAAGTGTTCATGAGGCCCGAAATCAATGTGATCAGAGGCGAACTTGGAATCGTGGATCCGTGCGAATGGCCGCGCCATATCGGGCAAACAGCAGAGGCACCACACACAGAGCCAAGGCGATAAACGCCAGAAGGGAGTTTCCCCATCCGAGTCCGAGGACGCTATACATTGACGGTCCTGCCAGAGGGAGCACAGCTCCGACCAAAGATCGCAACGCCGTGCTAGCCGCAGTCTGCAAAAAGTCAGTTCACATAACGCCCCGCCATTGCTGTTGTTATATAGGAGGGGGTTTAGCATACCACAGAAGCTGCGTGAACCAAGTAACAGTCCACGAGGTAAGTATTCGCCGACATGAAGACCGTAATAAGGCCCACTCCAAACACTCCGGTTCCCAAGATGGGCACAATCCAGTGTGTGTGAGCTTGCGCTGACCAACCATACCAGAACAGGCCGACTGGGATAGCCCAACACCCGTATATCATGGGCGGCAACCGTGATTCCGGTGTGAAGCATCCCCGCGCAGTGTGGGTGACGGCAATATGATTGGCTACACGACCGCAGACAACGAGGCTAAGGAGACAGCCAACACCAAATCCCAGATACGCCAAACCGGCAAGCCCAGATGAAAATCCATATTGCTCCTCGAAAATGGACGTGATTGTGGTAAACATCAGGTAGAGATAGCCATAGGTCACGGCTGCGAACAGTGCCAAGAGAAACACGATGGGCGAGCCAAAGAGAAGCTTCACGGGACGGGCGAGTGCAGACAGAAAGAGCTGAAGTGGAGGCCGGCCAGTGTCATAGATCGATTGAAGATTTGGATTCCCAGTTTCTTTTCTGAGACGAGCGGCCTTGCGTTTCAACAAAACAGGCGCGTATGATTCCCGATAACTGAGGACGGTTCCAATAATTACGACACCAGTCTATGAATATATTAGCTGATAGATCTCAGCAGCAACGAAATCGTTTCTTTTTCAGACTTACAGTGATTGCAATTACCCAAAACACCCAGCGCCATCCTTCCGCCTCGGCTAAAAATCCGCCGGCCACAGGTCCGATAACAGGCCCCAAAATAGGCCCCATCGCCCAGATCGCCATGACGCCGGCCCGTTTTTCCTTGGTAACCATGTCGGCTAGGGTAATTTGCTTAGCTGAAGACCTAGCGTAAGGAAAGTTCAGGACATTCAGAACTCACCTGCTGTTCCTGAGCCAATTGTCAGTGGGCAAACGCCAGCAACGCCTGCCAAAAGCCGGAAGACGATCAACTGTGGGAGGCTTTGGGCAACAGCGCAAGCGATAGTAAAGATCAAAAAGAGCACATTGCAGGCGTGATATAGCGGTACTCGGCCGTATAGCTCCGACAACGGCGCGATCAAAAAGGGACCGACCATGTAGCCCAAAACGTAAACCGAGACAACGAAGGAGGCAAGCATAGAGCTAGAAGAACCAAATTCCTTCATCACATCTTCCACTCCCGGGGCGAACATCGAGGACGCTAGAGGACTATGTCATTGATCAGTCAACGCTGCTTGGCTTCACGTAAAGTTCAAGGCAAATAAAATCAAGGATGCCATACGTTAAGAAAGTGTTGAAGGCCATAAACACGAGTTGTCGAGCCTTTTTATAGGGTTTCCAGTTGAACGGATTTTCAGGGTCGTCCGGTCCATCCCAGGTGACTAAATTGGGATCCTGTGCTTTGCCATCCGATCGAGAAGGCTGGGGTATCTCAATCCGCGTCTCATTTGACTCGCCAGTCTGGCTCCTCACCGATACGGTGGTCTCGCGGGCAAGTCCCTTTTCAAGGTCAGACCGGGGGTCTGACGAATCATCACTCATGATGAGTGGCTATCAGATCTCACTGATTGCAAACCACACGTATCAGGATGTTATTATTGGAGACAACGTGCCTTCTTTATCCAGCCAAAGGCAAGAGGGAGACGCCAATTCCCCTTTATAGTCTCAAAATTTCAACGCCCTTCTCCGTGTTCATGGAATAAAGACGGCATAACTCTCGGGGTCGAGCCGAGCCGGCTACCGGCCATATGATTGGGGCCATTGACATTTGGCCCACAAGAATAGTGCTTCCTAGGTGAGCATAAAGGCCCCCGGCTGGGGCTGGCCCGGGACTATCGCGAGCGAACAACTTCGCTTCTGCCGACGTGTGGGTCAACGGGTAACTCGGTGACTAATCCCCGATCGGAATAGCCCGACAGTCATGTGACTGTAACTGCAATAAACATTCTGTCAAAGCAAGGCCAATGGGTGTATGTATGGACAAGTTTGAGTTTGAAATAGGAAGACGGGGAACTACTTGAACCATCATAAAAACGAGTGATTGACTCGGGAGAAGAGAATCTAGGTGTGCAGAACTGAGGGTCTGGTTGAACCGTCCCTTGGAGTACGTACCATACCGATGGCCAGGTGTTACCCACTTCTTAAAACAAATACGCAGGCAATTTGGTATTCCACGTGGCCAACCCAAAGTCACTGATATGTAAATAACTATCCACTTTTCCATGACATATGCTGAGCGCCTGAGAAATATAGGCATATCTGCAAACGGGTTACCGAAGACAAAGAATCGCTGATTCGGATGTGGTTTGAGTGCAGCACTCTGTACGTATCGCTCTGGCGCGGAACCTGGTCGGAATTCGAGCCTGCGATGCGATAGAGCGCAGGGCCACAGAATCATAGTCCCTCTCAAGGTTTTCAGACGGTGTGTTGGCTTGGGAATTGGATCGATTGCCCCCCGCCGTGCTATCGGGGAAGGCACTGCATTGACCACCACCAGCCTGTTCTACCATCACAACTTTACATCTGGAACCCAGATCCCTAGACTTGTTAGATTGCCAAGCTGCTCAAATTGTTCTCACACTTCCAAGATTAGAGTAGGTGATATGCTGGGTGTCCTATGAAACTCGCCCTAGCCGACTACGGAGCTCGGCGCCAGCTGGGCCGGGATATGGAACCTGCATTTACTGAGGCAACAGGGATTGAAGGTACTACTACATTGACGCATGCAATGCCGTCAGGGGCCGGCTGCCATGTCGACACGGAAGACCTTCTGGAAAGTTTCATGGCTGATATCATCTATTCATCGAGTTCGAGCCCCGATCCTTCTCGATTGGCCATCGGAGGCTACGGCGATGGGCATCTTACATACTGGCATGCCACACCATCGGGTGGTATAGTGAGTGCTCAAAAATCCCCAGGTGGCGAGTGGAAGAAAGGGGGTGTGGCTCCAGACGGGAGTATAGCCCCTGGGGGTAGCTTACAGGCCGCGTCTCGCGAACCTGGTAAAATCGATCTGTTGTGGTTCTCCCCGACCGGTGTCCCGAAGGGACGCAGCAGCATAGTCGACTACTCTCGACCTCTACTCATGCCCTTCGTGACGATCCGGTTGCAGTGCCGGAGTCGCCACTTACGGTCATCTGTCGGCGGCAGGGCACCTTGGACGTCTTTTTCCGGGCCCCATCGGGTCACCTTGTTGCGAGCATAGTGAATTATGAATAGGCCTTTGCTGTATTGATAGGTCACCTTAACTATATATTGCCCCTCCATGAGATGAATGGTAGACTGGAAATACCTCCTTGATTCACAACCGCTCAATTCAAGCTACGCTGACACTGTAGGTTTGACATCCAATCGAACTGGTTTTCACCCCAATTGTGCGTGAATCACAGCAAGTTTCCATATATCTCCAGTAAAGGAACCCAGTTACATCACTGAGAAATGCTTGTTCCAAGTCCTAGATCTAAACACTGTATGTTTAGAATCTTGACACCCCCTCCGCGTATAAATGGAGTACTTTCTTCTCTTAAACCTTTGAAAGTTAATGGAACACGACTGTATGTAGATTATTCAGGACCGAAATACACAAGTATGATAGATACTAGCAGAAGATACTGCCTACTGTCATTACCTTAATAATAAATGCAATTGGGAGGTGTACTGTAACTCGAAGAATTGCTCTTCCATATACGGTCACGTCAAGGGCCATTTAGCTGACTATTCATGCAAGTGTGGCATGGATCTATGGCCAACTGGGCGAGCTATCCATGACAAATCTAGGCAAGCTTCGGAGTGCAGTGCCAACTCCTGAGCGTATACCTGCAAAAGTCCAAGGAATTTATCATATGAAACGGCACAGAAGACACTAAATTTGATGACAGGACTATTTAGAAAATATAGATCACAATTTTCTCGCATATGTACAAACGTTCAGATTTGTCCATTTCCTTTCGATTATGTTTTGAAATGAAATGTCGATGATACAACTTTCCGTGTACTTGATTCATCGAGGTTCTGACTGTAATATCTGACTGAGATATAAAGATTATCTCAAGATATCCTGGAAGCTTAATGGTTCTTTACAGGGTGTAAAGCCACCGGGACTCGGCGTAACGACCCTTGTAAAGGCAAATATAGAAGCTCTCATACACCAATCTTTTCCGGCCGATCGTCTTGTGACGTCTCGCCTTGTGACATCTCCCCTTGCGACTCGAACATAGACTCGCGCATAAAGGGGCTACGCCGACGAATTTCGGGCCCCTTGAGGACCAAAACAACCGGTACGACGGAAAGGGCGACTCCCACAAAACCAAGTAACGAGCCAGCCCACCCGTAGCCCAGCGTGTCAAACAGCTCAAATGACGCTAACGGTAAGAACGCACCGAACGTATTGCGACCTAGCGATGCGGCAGATAGTGCCGATGCTGCGTATTTCTCGTATGCGTCCGTTAGATAGTTCACGACTGCCATATAGATAGAATAAATCCCCACACCAGTGCAACCAATTCCCAAAGTAGGGACGATCCAGTGGATGGATCCGTCACCCACGCTGCCCCATCCATACCAGAAGAGACCTCCAGCAAAGAGAAGACTACCAGGAATGGATGTATATAGCCGGGCTTCCGGAATTGGACGACCAGGGCTTTCTCGGTTGTTGCGGGCGGAGCGTAAATAGATCCAGTCTTGAAGGGGATTGACCACAGTACCAATAAGCGCGCCAACGGAAATCGCAAGTTGCACCATACCAGTGGTAAATGTTCCCCATCCATAATTATGACTGAATGTCTGTCCGACACTAGAGAAGAAGAGGAAGAGAATTCCCCATGCAAAGCTCACCCACAAAGTGAAAAACGTAACGACGGGCTCAGTGAGAAGCATTCGAGTAGGGCGCTCGAAAGAAACCTGGAGCAGTTTCCACACGCTCGTTGTGTTTAGCTCACTTTCGGCATAAATTGGTCGACCAGTTTCGCGGCGTAGCTTTTTGGCACGCTTCTTTAGAATGACATCTCCTCGTGTTTCGCGTAGTATCAACCAAAAGACTGGAATGAGTGCGGCGTTATAAATTATCTGAATATAGAAAATCCTGGACTCCGTCAGCTCCATTCGGACTGCATTGGCTAGGGGAAGGAGATGTCTGCCTTACCATCTCCATGGACTGCTCTTGTGTATCGTCTGAATGGCCGATCCAATGAATGGACCCAGAGCAATACCTACTACACTAGTAAACCCGAACAGTGACATCGGTAGGCTACGAGCCTTGTCTCCATACCAGACATCACTAATACTGCCTCCGACAATATTGATCGAGACGGAGGATGCCCCTCCACCAAAAAAGCGAGTTACAACCAGGGTAGCAAAGTTCTGTGCAAATGCGGACGGGAATAGAGAGACGACCAGGATAAAATAGGAAACGAAGTAGCCTGGCATACGCCCCGACGATTCGGTCAGTGGCACAAAGATCAGTGGCCAAAATGCGGCTCCCATATTCCAGGATGTCGTCGCCCAAGCCAGGTTGGGAAATGGTTCATTTTGAACATGAAACTGCTGTTCCATCCAGGTGTTCCCAGCACCGTAGGATCCCGCCGGTAACCCGGTCAGAATGGAACTACCCTCAGTTGTCAGACATCTACCTCAACATAGACGTTGATTGAGGCCTTCTACCGACACTTACATGAAACATATGGTGAGTGTGAGAATCCATTTGTAAGTCTTGCTCCAGTTGAATCTATGCCGATCAGTATAAGGGTCTCCACACTATCTGGCGATTGCCAAGGAAGTTGCCTAGGACGTACGGGTTATCAGGGTCATTGGGACCTTGCCACGTATGGATCTCAACGTTCTTTTCATCTCTTAGAGGATGGCGACTAACATGTCCAATATGAGTGTCACGGTTGAAGAAGGACCGAACTCTTTTCCGTAGTCAAGTCAGTCAGTCACTTCGTATTTCATTAAACTAGTATATAAACTCTGACGATACCTGGACAAGAAACGATCGTCGAATTCGTTATGATGCAGCGTGCTGCTGGTTCTCACGGTCGATGATCGCTGAATAGGTTCATTTGTAAGCTCTGCTGAAGCTTGAGCTCCAGGCACATTCTGAGCAGCATGACTCTCCATCATTTTCGAGATGGAACATGGTGATTCAGAATCTACGGGCAGCCAGCCCTCCGATAATACCCAAAAATGACAAACAACAGCTGAGTCAACGACTATTGAACAGTTCCTGCTTTTTGTCTTGTCTATTCCGTCATCGCTCAGGGTGTGGACCCTTGATGAAGAGGTTCCGAGATCGAAAAGATCCAAATCGGTAGAAATGAAGGCTTAGCCACCAGCGGTGCCATTATCGACTGGCCGTATAACAATTTTTGACAACTACGACAGGTTGGAACGAAGGTTATTCATGCAGGAAGGAGATATGCGATCAGGTATAATACTGTACTCGTTCTGGGAAAGCCTTGAGAGAAGGGATTTGGTACGGATCTTTGATCGGCGAGGCCCAGCAAGGCCCACATTGGAAGTGGGGGGGGAAGCATCATTCAAGATTCAAACTTGGACAAGGCCGCAGGTTCCGGTCTTGCGCTGGTGAACATTGAGATCCTAGAAATGGGATTCAAAATGCCACCTCGAGTGAGTTGTGAATGACAATTGATTATCTGCTTCTTGCGGACTGATTTGTTATGAATTATGAGATTATTATTCATTCAGTGTAAGACTCCAGGAAGGTGACTGGTGAAGGGTCGTGGCTCCAATCGGACGATGAGATCATATCGCTTACATAAACTGCCTTTGGTGGTCCAGCCAGTCATGACGTCACGTCTCCGAAGGGATCCGCCTTTACGTTCCATCAACTTTCCCAGACGCGGTCATCGAGAGCATAATGGCTTACTTGGTACTTAGTCCTGTCTTGGAAAGAAAGAATATCATTAGTCAATGGTGGGGAGGGGAGCCACATGCAAGAATCATTAGCCCGGGCTCCGGAGGTCCTCATTATCATTAGCGTATCAGAAAGAAGAAACCCCCCCCCATTCTAGAGGTTATTCATTCGGTCATTGGGGGTCGCGGCCGAGCTCTAAACAGGCAAAAAAAGAGGGGCAAAGGGTGCATCAACGTTGGCAAACTGGATTGTTCCTGCCACTTTGCGCGAAGGGAGGAGGGGTGACGGGATGACCGATGGCTCGGTCATGGCTTTCTAATTGTTTTTAAACCTTTCCAGGGTCGGCTTGTGGTCTCGTTGCTTTATTTCTCCTCTCCATCCCACCACCCTCCCTCAAAGCTTTTTAAACCCATTCTCTCTCCCAACCTCTCAATTACTACACCACCAATATCCGAAGACAACGTCTCCACCCCATCCATCAACATGCCTATTCCAGTTCCGCAGTCCGATAGTCTGAAGGACCTCTTGAGCCTTAAGGGCAAGGTCGTGGTTGTCACCGGTGCCTCGGGCCCCCGTGGCATGGGCATTGAGGCCGCTCGTGGCTGCGCCGAGATGGGCGCCGACCTGGCCATCACCTACTCGTCCCGACCAGAGGGCGGCGAAAAGAATGCCAAGGAGCTGCAGGAGAAGTACGGTGTCAAGGTCAAGGCCTACAAGTGTGACGTGGGCAGCTGGGAGAGCGTCCAGGACTTGGTCAAGAACGTCATCAAGGAATTCGGCAAGATCGATGCTTTCATCGCCAACGCCGGTCGTACTGCCAGCAGCGGCATTCTCGACGGCGCCGTGAAGGACTGGGAAGAGGTCATTCAAACCGATTTGACGGGTACCTTCCACTGTGCCAAGGCTGTCGGTGCTCACTTCAAGGAGCGTGGCACGGGTAGCTTCGTCATCACATCCTCCATGTCTGGCCACATCGCCAACTTCCCCCAGGAGCAGACCTCCTACAACGTCGCCAAGGCCGGCTGTATCCACATGGCTCGGTCGCTTGCTAACGAGTGGCGCGACTTTGCCCGTGTGAACAGCATTTCCCCCGGATACATTGACACCGGTCTGTCCGACTTCGTCGACAAGCAGACTCAGGACTTGTGGCTCTCGATGATTCCCATGGGCCGCAATGGTCAGGCCAAGGAGCTGAAGGGTGCTTACGTCTACCTGGTCAGCGATGCTAGCACCTACATGACCGGCAATGATTTGCTCATTGACGGCGGATACTGCGTGCGGTAAATGCGTCCTGTACATAATGATTTCTTGCGAAGGGATAACTTCATGGTTACGTTTAATCTGATCCGGGAGACCTCGATGGTCCTTACCCGCTAACGAATTAAGAGACAATTGAATGAAAAAGTTCGGTATGAAGAAAAATTTGTAGTCTCCGGGACTTTCGGACTATATTTAAAAAATGGTGGACATAATAACGGCCATTGATAAAATAGTATGACATCTTGCTCCTCCAGCATGCCCCGCATTACTGCTCTGGGCCCAGGTCAAGAATCATTGCGACTGGCCCACCGACGGACCCACAATGGTGGCTGTAATTGGAGCGTTTTCCACAAAGATGCCAGACCAAAACCAATCCTCTGCATCGGAGTCGATGCCTCCATTGTCGAGTCGTAGCTCACCAATATGCCAATCCGCAGAGTTGGTCGAAGTCGATGCACTGACACCCGTGACAACGGCCGCCAACGGATCAGAGCCGTTACTTGCCCACAGCGAGACGGTCTGGGCGTCAAAGTCGATATCATAGGCGAAATTGTACCAGTTGCCAGCTTCGAGTTGTGTGGACCATTTGGTCGTTCCGCTCACACACCAACGCAGTGTGTTGTCTTCACTGGCCGAGTCGCCGCTCAGCAGACCGTACTTGAACTCGGTGAAGTGGCTCTATATCCGGAATGTCAGACGTGATGCACTCGGAGAATGGATGTTTGCATCTACCTCGAAGAACGCGATTTGATGTTCGAACTTGGAATTTGGGGGGTTGGTAGTGTTGGTCATCAATGAGAAATGATAGAACAGACGTCCACTACCCAAGTCCGCGGAGGTTTGGGGGATGATTTCGCTCCGCTCCATGGTTTGACCATTCCAAAAGGAGGTACCATCCTGCAATAGTCAGTTGCTGCCTCTGTGGCACCCAGAAACCAACTCACAATAGATATTCGAATACCTTGGGAATCACTGGTATCTGCTGGATTCTTAAAGTCCGACGAGAGTGCAAGATATTCAGAGGTATTTCCAGTCCCGTGAATGTACCACTGCCAAGGTGCAATCTGATTTGACCAGGACCCTAGCGTATAATGTTAGGATGAATGATTGGGGGTAAAGAAGAGACGTACATTTGTCAAAGTCAGTGACGGAGGCAGAAGAATTGAAGATGCCACTCCACAAAACATCGCCGCATTGCACAGCGATGGGGAGGGAAAACATCGATGCAATGCGTTTCCTCATTGTGGGCTAGACTGTTTGTCTCTTCAAAATATCTGAATAGAGTATTTGGGGGTTCTCGAGTTATGTTGGGAATCATGAGTCACTATATAGCTACAAGGGTGCCCATTTACGGCGATGAAACGGAGCAATTAAAAGTTCTGAATAGGGCATTCAGCCAGCGGGTGAAACAGAGGATGTTATATTAACCATTCCTTCATTGAATCGCATTTACTACCACGAGGGTCTCAACTTTGATCTGATCGACAGATTGTGTTCCCAAATGGAGCACGGACCGAGCAAGTTTCGGATGTGCAGCTTGGCCTCATGAAACGTTGTCTGAAGAAAATTTGAAACAACGCCAAGACAGACAGCGAACCCTTTATGACCTATTTGCAATCTCGCCAGTTTTCACGCCAACTTACCCACAGATAATGTGAATCAGGAGTACAGACTCGGTGATGAATAAAGTGTTACCCATATATTAGCTTCGTTTTATCATCCAGGGTGAGCGCTTTCGTTGACGAGCTTTCGGGGTCAAACGATGTCTTCATACAAAGGCATTTATGTGTCGATGGCTATATATCCTATCAGTAACATGCGGCCAAATTTTCATCTAGCCGAAGAGGAATAGTCTGAGACTCTGTGCTAGATCCGTTTTCATCCAAATTGATTATGCTAGATACGAGCTTACTTTATCACGGCCTCCACACGCCAAGTCCGGAGATCAGAGAAACAACGAGTTGAGAGACTACCTTTGTTATATAGCATAGTCCCATATTTGGATCATTCAGCTTTCCTAAGTTTTGAGATAAGCTCTACCTGCCGACTCCTGGAATCTTAAAGCTGGATATCAGGAGGGTCTATACGAACTCTTACATTTAACTAGGAATGTTCAGAACGCTACACGAGCAAAGGAGGGGTGACTGACCATCCGAAAGATTTGAGCATGAAAAATAAAAAGAACGAGGGAACATACAAAAGCTACACTTCGGTTAATACTCACATGGTGGGCAGGTCGACGCTTTGTGCACCCGGATATCTGGCGGCTTTATGAGGCGGGGCAGCTCACTAGGGCTTTGCTCTGAACTGAATACCAGCACCGTATGGCTACGTACATGGATTCCAGATTCTTTGTCTAAGAATAAGCAAGCTTACTCATACTTGATTTGAACAATAGCCATCAATCTATCCTGTACGCACTAATTTACTGTATTATACCCATAAGACTCAACCGAGTTTGACATGATTCTATTTATTTGAACGGGTGTTTCACTAAAATTGAAGCCTTGGCGGATAACTAATAGGGTAATTAGGACAATGAGAGGTCAACAGACCGACCGAAGGATAACGGAGCAGACTTTCTTACTACCAAGATACCGTCGGTTATTTGACTTCTTGCTTGAGTCCATTCTAATGGTCATGGGTAAAGCCGCACAACCTTTTGCAATTCTTTCCTCGGGTCTTTTGGAAGTCAATCGAAACATTCCCTTTTAATTAGTCGGGCGCGAAGAGAATAAGAGCAGCAAACCATAGATGCGCTCTAAGGCTCATTCATATCTGTGGCCCGGGCTCAACTAAAAGTGTGAGAGTAGGCGATCTAGGCGAGACTGCTCAATGTTTATTAGCGCCGCGAGAACAAACATTGATTTCTTTCGCGAGGTCCTCCCTCAGACAGACTGCAAACATGTACCCCAGATAACTATGATGCGTTATTCTTTGGCCAGGGTTACATCTGAATTAAGGTTTGGAAAAGCCTCTTCCACTGGACTGTCCCGGTGGAGTCCCACAAGCAGGAGATCGGGGGAATTAAGAATCCCGACTCCCGTGCAACTCCCTAACGCTAACCCGACGGGTGGATTATTCATACACCATCATAGACCAAAATTTAGGTCAACCGATGGCATATGGACATGTGACACAATTTTAGCATCTGGTTGGGAAGGTTAATTTGTTGTCCCGTCAAGACTCTTTTTAGCAGCGAGTAATCGATTGGAGGAGGTCACTTGTTTCCATTTCTCCACCCGTGTCGTGGGGCAAAACCGTCAATCGGGCCGATTATCTATTGTATGGCTCTCGCTCAAATATATAAAGACAAGAGGTATTAACGAGTTTAGAGCTTCTGTCTTCAAATTTGATATACCTACTAATCGCTTCACTGGTCATCTCGAATCAAATTCAACCATGGCAGAGAAAACATCACTCGTGACGGGTGCGAGCGGGTTTATCGCTAGCCATGTTGTTCAGCAGCTGCTCGAAAAGGGTGAACAAGTCCATGCCACTGTTCGCAGTACCAGCAACAAGAAGAAAATCAGTCACCTCCTCGAAATTCAGGAACGATGGCCCGGCAAGTTGACATTGTTCGAAGCGGATTTGCTTGTGGCGGGGTCGTTTCAAGCTCCAATGACGGGATGCTCGGTGGTTTATCATATCGCCTCTCCGTTCTTAATCGAGAACAAGATTCGCAATGGCGAGAAAGAGGTTGTGGAACCTGCTCTCAAGGGAACACAGAACGTGCTAGATGCAGTCCAGAGATGTGAGACAGTCAATCTGGTTATCTTAACGTCTTCTGTGGCAGCCATCTTCGGAGATAACGCCGATGTGCTAGAGATGAAGAACAAGACCTTATCTGTTGATTATTTCAACACAACGAGCTCCATTCGTCATAATTCCTACTCCTACTCAAAGACGGTGGCCGAAAAAGAAGCTTGGAAGCTATACAAAGCACAACCGAATCCACCACGTTGGAAGCTAGTTACTATAAATCCTGGACTTGTTTTGGGCCCGTCTCTATCCCAAGCATCTGAATCTGGTAGCCTGTCTCTGTTGGATCAGCTACTGAGTGGTCAACTGTCTTTGGGAGTGCCAGACCTATGGTTCGGAATCGTTGATGTGCGAGAGGTGGCAACTGCTCACATTCGAGCTGCTGAAGCCCCGGATTCTCACGGTCGCTATATCTTGGCCGACAACAGAACACACAGCTTTGTGGAACTGGCTCGCATATTACGGTCTATCACTCGATCTTCCAGTATCCCAACTAACAAGCTTCCGAATATATTGGTACGCTTGTCAGGGCCATTTCTTGGTTTCAGTCAGAAGTGGCTGAAACGGAATCTGGGCATTGGTTTCGACATCGATAATCATACCAGCTTGAGTGAGCTGAACATCGTGTACCGACCGTTGGAAGAGACATTGGCAGACCATTACCGGTCCTGGAAAAGTGCTCAGAGCCAATTGAACTAGCGTTGCCAGTCTCTTTAACAACAACGATTGGCTGAACGCAGTCTGGGAAGAACGTGTCAAGAAGAGCCTTTGCTTTGTCATCATTTCCGCCGATTAACTATCTTAGAGCCAACTCGCAGTGTTGGGATCTAGGCATTTGTCTTTCGAGGCTTCATGTAAGTCGCGGCTCTCCATGGCTTTCCTTCGCCTGCCTCGTCTGAGGACTGACAATAATGCGTTGCTTTAGACTTCTTGGTCGTTGGCTCGAACATGTTCCAAGCGGGGTTTAGATCTTCAAGACCTGTTTTCACGTGAGGAGTGGGTGATGTGACATTGGGGCGGGGTGGAATGAATTGTTAATTCCCCTACCATTCATACATATATGTTCCGCCAATTTATATAGGGACGGAGGTTGACCGAATTTCTAAATAACCCAGCGAAGGAATACACAACCCGAACAAGCGAAAAAGTGATGACCTCAAAGGTCGAGAAAAAGCACGCGTGTTCTCCACGTTATTGTTTCTTCGACTTCCCGTCTGAAATCCGTCGTGCGGTGTATTATTTCTTGCTTCCGCGGAGGACATATATAAGAAATACTAGACCGCTATCCGCTAGCCATCATGCGCCTCTCGGAGTTGATCACAATGATTCGAGCCGCTTCAGGACTCATCTTAACGTCCTGTGCTTATCAAGGCAGATCAGCGAGGAATCTTTAGATATTCTGTATGGGGAGAACATTTTTGTGGTCAACTTCAATGGGAATGGAGAAACAGCTCTTCAAGAAGATATTACCCAAAGAGACCGTCGCAGGATTCGATACGTCTTGGTCTTCATGACCGACGGGAGTGTCTTTTGTCAACTCAATGCTTCCGCTTGGGCTTCGTTTCTTCCCACCCTGAAAGTCCTTCAGGTTATTATCGAACAGCCAATCGAAGGACGAGGATATTGGATGATTAGAAAAGAATATCAAGATGCTCCGACACTTGAGCAGGAGCTGGACGATTGGAACAAAGCCGCTCGGTGCTTCTTTGAATGCTTTCATCGATACCTTGGGGCTGCGACAAGGCTAGAGATTGATGGCGGTAGCAGAAAAATCACACAATCTCTAATTAGTTTCCTCTCGCCGCCAGAATGCGAAATCATCTATCACCCAGAGGGGGATTTTATTTTCGGGCGAGGTCGGTAATCGAATGAGCCATAATTTCGACTTGATTGCAATACTTTGGAATTGATAGGATAATCATTTTTGTAGTCAAAATTGTAGATATTCTCGATGAGAGGGAACTACGCTGTATGACTGTCCTCCGCACTTCCTAGGGCCTGGAATAGTCGAGAAGCACCCGTTAGACCAGGCGGCATTGATGAGTTGGCTAGGCGTTTTCTCGAAAGGCACTTAAGCGTGAGGTCGCCAAAAATAAAGTACGTTTTGGCACCAGTCACTTGTAAAACCGATCAGCTGAACGTCGCAGACCGCGCAGCTTGACACAAAATGATATCATGTATTACTTATAGGCCTTTACCGCGCCTTGGTTTCCTATCGACGTGGGTAGCACTCGTCGGAAGATTCTGGGGTGGTCGTCGGATGCGTCATTGGGTATGAAGTTAAAGTTTAATTAGTGCCGCGAGGAAAGTACAGAGTCGGGCCGATTATTGGCCCGTTTCCCTAGCGTGAGGATGATTCAATGTCCGAATCTCTGACCCGGGCCGGCCTTGCAAGATCTATAATTATGTATAATGTATGGCCTCCTGCAAAGTGTGAGCCGAGGCTAAAGCCAGCCCACGGTATTCGGACGTTGATGGCAAGCAGTTGCTGATCCGTTCATATCCTCGGTTTGCTAATTTGCGTCTCACTATAAGATTCCCATTTTCCACGAATTATTTCAAGAGAAGAGGTATCATGAGAACCTAACAATGCCGAGCACAACTCTCCTCACAGCTGCCGGATACGGCTCCGTTCTTATTGCCATCAAGCATGCGGTTAGTATCGAGCAAACAATCTTTAGATGGGTATTGCAAATAGTAACAGTTTTTCTTCTGGTTAGCTTACTGGAAAACAATTCCAAAGCCTGCGCCAGTTTCAGGAACTGCCAAACATTGCGTACACATGCAGCACGGTTGGCTGGTACCAAGGGAGCGCCTACCTTATCCTAACCGGTACCAAACCTTTTCCGTGATAAATGTTTATTATTCTGACATCTGTAATCTTCAGGGCTGCTTAATCTCCACTGGGCGCAGAACCCTAAAGCGTTGGGGGAGCCAGTGAGCCGTGCCATGGCTGCCCTGCTGGTTATCATTGCTTGGTCTAGCTCTGCTTGGTATCTTCGCCGGGGAATTAAAGCGAGCGGGTTTCTCACGGCAGTTGCTGGTATACTACAAGCCTACGCAGCACTTTACTGATTCGCCCCTTTTCCCGAGTCTCGGGTACGCCTTAGCCAGACCTGGACGGTGGAAGATGAATTATCGACGTTGATATCTTAAATTGCATACGACGACACTCCTGGAAATCCTAGAGATTTGTAATGAAACTTCTTCTTGTCTGACAAAACAACGATCAAATGTCAATTCACTCACTGGCATGGCTATTCTCGAGTCCCACCCCTACTTCCGGCTGATATGATAGGACGACTCATCAGTATTTGAACTCCTCAACCATGGCAAAATTGCAGAGCTAGGCATCCACTGCATTTGAAGAGGCTTCACTGTAAGTGGACAAGAGTTGTCTGTATCGAAGATCTATAGATAGATTGAAGCCAACACGAACAGGTCAGAGCATCCGGCATCGAATCCATTTTCAAAGGAGTGAGGTGTTGGCCCGGGAAAACTGCTTGCACTACCCTGGGCCTGAATTTGGTCTAAATTTCTACCTGAATGCTTTGTTTTTGCCAGCCCGTCACGACTAACAACCACTATTTTTCCACCTCCTTCCTTCTTATTCATACACATCCTTTCTAATTCAATTTGACTAGACTTATGACGCGCAATACACCTATTCATACCTCTCTGAACCCCCCTGAACTATAGAAGTTGTTAAATTGTCTTAGCTTCCACCTGGAGAAATCAATAGCTTGTAAACTAATTTAAGCTATTGTCTATCGATTTCCACGGTCGGGTCGGAAACTAAAATGATTTACTAACTTGAATAATCCATAAGGTAAAGGAGGGACTCGGAAGGTCTAAATTGCTTCATAGCGGGTCGTAAGCCTAGTTAAATTAAATTAGTAGATAGTAGGCCTAGTTGCATTGAAATAAATTAGAAAGGTTACGTGTGAATCAGGAAGGACGTGGTTGAATTCGTATTTGTTAATCGTGACGGGCTGGCAAAAGTCAGGCATTCAGGCAGACCGAATCCAGGCCCTGTTTAGTGCGAGCAGTTTTCCCGGGGGTGCCAGCAGCCTCACTCTTTTACAGCAATTGCGAGCCATATCTGAGAACAATCTTAGAAGGGGAACTTAATAGAGCCTGACCGGGCATCCGCTTTACCCTGCCTGACTCGTCGTTGGATACCAAATAGTATTTTGGTATCGACGAACCTTAGGGTAGCAATACTAACGCAGCCTGAGATGGTAGCTTCGTAGATATGAAATCAAACAAAGCTGCCATCTCACTCCTCACTGTTGTGTAGGTAGTGCTAACCGTAGACCTTGTGGCGCTAACTGTAGACTGTGGCGCAGCTTAATCTAAGTGACGTGGGAGAAAGTGGATTTCATCGGACCATCCAGATGATATCAATTGATCAGCTTATGACGCCGACCCAAAGGAAATAATACCGCCGTTCTAGGCCGCGGAAGTGATAAGCCAATAGCGAAACGCCCACGTGCTCTATAGCGCGTTAATTATCAAAATTCATACACAAATACTTGTTGAGGGGGACTGTAACCTCGAGAGGCACGCAATCATTGCCAAACCGCCGTACCAATTCGTTTCCTATCGACAACCGATCTCTCATACACGATGGAATACAGTGTCAATTAGTCAGGTCCCATCAGAAGGAAGAAAGAGCAACGAGCAGCATAGTGGGATCATGAGACGTACTAAGTGAATCTGGAAAGATGCCAAGACTCAAAAGCACCCCGGAAGGGCTGACGCGGTCTCTCGGAGCACAAATCCCCCGAAGAAACCCTTGACGCCCTTGATCACTGTACTGTCGAACTGTCCACTTTTTAAAAATGCCAATCTTGCGCAGCGAAGCAAGCTTCTTTGCAATTCACACTCAACGATTCGTCAGCCCCGCGACGATCCCTGTCCGTCTCGAGTAAGCTTGTGGGGCGACGATACCTTGAGCCCCACACTTCGCCGTGTCAGGAAGAGTCAGGAACGGTCGTGGACACGCGGCGCCAAGCATCCATAGGGAATCAACCTGGAATAAGGATGTGAAGAGTCGTGGATTCAGGCACTACGGGTGATTTTTAAGGGTTTCAGAAGGTCAACGACTTCGCCCACTGGGATCCAGCCTTCTCCAAAATGACGCGTCCGTTCAGAACGTCAAGATGGCCAGCCATGGTTGGAAAAGTATAAAGTACCAGCTAGGCCAGGTATCTCTGAAGTTCACCCAATACCACACACCAGCTCGCTAATCAATAACCAATTCCTCTCCGTTATCATGGTCCAGCTGTCAAAGGTCCTTGCCATTGCGGCGGCTTGTTTGGCCAGCCCCGTTGTCGCGCACCCTGGCGAGAAGCACGACCCGCATGTCATCAAGCGGGAGATCCACGCTCGTGATGCCATGGCTGCGGCAGCCAAGCGCTCGCTTGGTGGCTGCGAGAGCTCCCTTCACGCGCGGGAGTTGCACAAGCGCAGTGTTGCTCGTCGTGCTCGTACGGTCAATCAGCTTCGTCAGAAGCGTGGTATTACTGCGAGTAAGCATATGTCCCGTTTGAAACTCACTTTCTCACGCATTTTGAAAACTCACACACATCACTTGGCAGACCCCCAGAAATGGCGCCGCAACCTTGCCCAGCTCGAGGAGTGGGAGGCCATTGACCACAACAAGACCGACATTCTCAACTACAGCCCGGCCACACCGGAGTCGATCATCTTCTCGGCGAACACCAGCTGTATCCTGACGCCCACCGTTACCGATGGTCCCTACTACGTCTGGGGTGAGGTGATCCGCAAGAACGTCAAGGAGGAGAAGTACTCGGACGGAGTGGATATCTTCCTGGAAGTGCAGTACATTGACATCAACACCTGCCGACCGGTCCAGGGAGCGCTGGTTGATATCTGGAACGCCAATGCCACTGGGGTGTACAGGTCAGTCATTCTTCTAAGCTCAACTTTTCATCTCTCTCAAGACCCGATCTGACCCAAAAACAGTGGTATTTCTACGACCGGTAATTATGCCGCCGACGGATGGGACTCGACTTACCTCCGTGGTATCCAGCAAACCAACCGCGACGGTGTGGTCGAATTCGAGACCATCTTCCCTGGTCACTACGATGATCGTGCGACCCACACCCACCTGTTGACCCATTTGAACGCGACTATTCTTCCCAACAAGACTCTCGAGGTGGGCACCGGCAGCGTGGCTCACATTGGCCAGCTCTTCTGGAACGAGGTCCTGCGCAGCGCCGTGGAGGAGACCTACCCTTATAACACCAACACCCAAAGCATCACCTCGAATGAGGATGACATGTGGAGTGTGCTGCAAGCCGACAGTTCTTACGACCCCTTCCCGGAGTACATCTACCTTGGCGACAGCCTCGAGGACGGTCTCTTCGCCTGGATCCAGATTGGCCTCAATGCCACCGCTGACTACACGGACAACTCGTACTACAGCATTGCCGCCTACCTCGAGGCGGATGGTGGCCACGAGGTCAGCGACAGCGCCGTAGGTGGAGGTAGTGCTTCTGACGGAGGCAACGGCACCGCGCCTTCGGGGGTGGCCAGCTTCGGTGGATCTGCCTCTCCCTCCGCCCCCACCTCCGCGTGAGGGGGTTGGCGCTGACGCCGTGTCAATTTGATACTTGGGACTAAAATGGCGACGGATCCAACATGTCGAGAATGGTCGAATAAAGGGGCTTTACTTTAGACACCGGAATCGAGCATAGAATCACCCCTTACCGCAGATAGAAAGAGATCGAATAGAGATATAAATTTGTCACTTTTTCCCCTCACTACTTGCAGTTCTTGCCTGGCGGCCGGAGAAAAGCCCTGTAATCAGTCCATGCGGCAGTACAGAGCACTTACGTTCTCGCACAGTATGTCGCTTGAAAGGCAATCCCCGACCCCTGAGGAACCGTGAACCGGATTATCGTTGACGCAGGGTCCAGGTCTTCCGCACGCGTAAGGGAGGGACTAATATAACTTTAAGTAGAGTACGAAGCACATCCTCACTACCAGTTCTATACATGGCGGTGCCATGTTGCGGATTGTTTCGAAATAGCCGCGTACGAAGTTCAGCCAATACGTGTATGTTATTCGTAGGGCGAGGTTTCTAGAGCAGACTGCGGACATCATCGGCATTGCATACATGTTTCGTAATTATTCCACTTGGGAAGTATGAAGACGAGACGATCTTCTCAAGGCTGTGGGTTGTCGATGGGCTTATTACAGTAATACACACCCTAGTAGAAAGTTTCTCGACACTAGGGTTTTCAGGGCAAAACTGCCCATCTTTGGCCACTTCTATCCCCATAATTCTATATTGTATAGGGTATGTTTGTTCACAGAATTTTATAGATAATGGAAAGAACTAAATCTTTTGTATATAAAGTTTATCTATTAAACAATTCTATATAGTACTATCCGTTTATGAAGTTGTCTGGAACTCGAGAAATATATATTTTATTTGGGAAACCATACAAAATTTCCGGCTACTGTCCATAGAACCAGAGTCCGCCACTTCAATCCTTTACTACTACGTAAGATAATTTTAGAAATTTATTAAAAATATATTTAGAGTAGTTTAGATATTAGAGAGATAGTCTATATCTTAAAACTAATACTATACTATATAAATTATTGTATATATAACTACTTAAATAATATTCGTAAATATACTATGTTAAAGCTAAAATTCCCTAATTTTTAATATATATAGACAATTCAATAGTTAAATGGGTTATAATATGAAAATATAGGTAGAAAATTATCTAGAAATGCTCTTTAAAGATAATTTTGTCGGTCTGGGCTTCACGAAAGTCGATTAATTGAAAGGTGAAGAAAGTGGAATTTTGAATTGCCGGGAAACGTTTTGATGAGTATGGGAACGCCAGGATATGCCCTAGTCCCAATTTGGAAGGCATTCGGGGTAATTCCCATTTCGGGAAGCTAGGGCTTGGCGTGCCGAGCATCCGCTGCTGAGGTAATCCGATCCTGCCGAGGCTCAGTTCATCTCTCGCCTTATGGCAAGTTGCCGAGCATCCTAGGCGACACGTGCGAATTGCACAAAAGAAGCATTCAATGGAGGTGTTTCGGGGGATCTCAATTCTCAGCAAGATGCCCTGAGGAGAATAACAAAGCCTGCTTCTCGAAAACGCACGGCGCACCTGCTCTCCATTTCCCAGATCCCTCTGTTCCCACATTCCAATCCCTGGTCCCATACCGCTGGGCTTTGGGGAATACGACTCCACGCGGATGGGTCGAACTACCTGGAATGGAGAACAGTGGGTATGGCTGTGGCGACGCCGCCAATCATCACGTAACATGGGTGGCTACGCAGGACCGATGCGGCTCCTCGCCCGGCTTTTCGAAACTCATCGCCGCTACAAGCCAAGATCACCCGTGTGGCCTGGGCTCTTTGGAAGGCTTGGCCACATCTGACGATGGAGTCCACCAGAAACACCAGACGACCGTGCCCTGGATCATCAAGGGCTCAGATTTACTGTGCTGGTCAAAGCGTCGCGGGTGCATGTGCCAAAGTCGATGCAAATGCTGATACTAATACACTCTCGACCGACAAGATAACCATGGATCACCGTCCCTTCAAGACTCAATAGAGACCCGATGGTTTGTGACTAAATTTCTCATCCCGCAGAGCAGCCTCGGCCCGGCTGGCTTCCCCTACCAACCACCGCGCCCATCCGAGCCTAGTTAACTTTCCAACTCGCGTGCCGATCGACAAAAAATAGACTCGGCCCTAAGTGTCAACTCCCTTCCCCCCCCCCCCCCCTTGGACCGAGCGATGATGTTACGCGCCATGCAGGGGGGGCGGGAAAGAGAAAGAGGAGAAAGACGCGGCAAAACCTAGGTTGGAGGAAAAGACCACCTAGAACGGTGGGTTCTCCGTAGGCTCGGCACCAAAGTCTGGCGTACAAGTGGATGTCTACGTTCCCATACTGTAGAAGGTAATAGCCCAGTAATAGCCCGGCAATAGCGCGGAGATCTCAAGGCAATAAAACCACGAGGAACCCCGGCCCCATGCTCGAATTTGCCTCCTTTCCCCCCTCTTCTTGGCTGTTTCTAGCCTCGATTTCGCCCTGGTCGCTTTCCTTCCTTCCTACCGCATCGTTGATGCGGATGGGATTCGTTGACGTGACTTCTTCATTTCGCAATGCAGGCCACTGAGGAGGTCGCCTACAAGGCTGCGGTCCAGGCTGCTGTTCAGGATGATAGCCGCAGCAAGGCCATTATCGTCGTGACCGCCGTTTTCCTCGGAATTTCCCTCGGCAGTGTCCTTCTCCGATGCTTTGTACGAACCCGTGTGGTACGGGCCTTTGGCTGGGATGATATCGTCATGCTATTAGCCATGGTAGGTCCACCAGGAATGAAGCGATGCGCATATTGCCGTGCGCAATGCCCCAGAAATCATGCGCTATGCTTGAAACGACTTGATCTAACGGCTTTTGTCATCTAGGCATTGAATCTGGCATTTGCAATTTGTGGTATTCAGGGCGCCAAGTATGGCATGGGTCGAAAATTGCTCTACTTTGTAGAGTATCCGGACAACTTCGAACGCGCACTACTGGTATGTTCATGATGACTTCGGGCTGAATCACAATTTTCAAAATTCGAGATTCAATGGGCAAAGCTATCCGGCAGAGAGGCTAATTACAATTGCGACTCCAGTGCTGGTGGTTAGGCCAAATTTTCTATGTGATCACTTGCGTCCTCGCCAAAGTCTCTATTATCATCACCCTGCTACGAATTACGGTTTCTCGCCTTCATGCCTGGATTCTCTATGCGGCCATTACTCTCGCCACCGCGGTCGGTTTGGTCTTCTTGCTCTTCACCATTTTCCAGTGTAGCCCAGTGCCCTACTTCTGGCACCAAGGATCGACTTCCAGCCATGGGACCTGTGTCAACAAGGATACTCTGATTGCAATCGCGTATCTCTACAGTGTCGGTGCAGCCGTCACTGATCTCACCATTGGCCTCCTCCCCGTGGCGCTGATCTGGAACTTGCGCATGAATCAGAGGACTAAGTTTGCTATTATTGGTGTTTTAGGTATCGGTTGCATGTGAGTGTCTTCTTAGCCCTTTGCCTCATGACGACTTTCTCTGGCCACCAGAGCTGACTAGTCTACCTTGAACAGTGCGAGTGCTGCGGTTATCGTTCGCATTCCCTTTGTCCACAGTTATAAAGACACCGAATTTCTCTGTATGGACTCGCTTTTTCCCTGTCTTGCCCGCAGCCCGAGAACGTCATCTAATGGACACTTTCTACAGATAACACATACCAGATCTCCATCTGGTCCAACGTCGAAGCGGGACTTGGCATCACCGCTGGCTGTCTGACGACTCTGCGACCACTCATTCGATTCCTGCGCGACGGCTCCTCCGCCTCACGCAATCGCACCCCCGGATCTTTTCCCTTATCCAGCAATGTGGCGCAGGGATACCGATTATCGCGTTCCAAGCATGACCGCCCCGGCTCGCATCAGCTATGGACGGGCAGCGAGAATGACGAATATCATGGCGTGACAACGACGATTCTGGGTAGTAGCCATCGGCCGAATCCAACAAGTAGCAGTGAGGAGGACCTCAACCCGAAGAACGAGCTACCTCCGTCAGGCTGGAAGGTCGAACGGTCCGTTCGGGTGTCCGTGCGCGACGATTTATGATCTGATCGAGGCACGGAATCGACGGATATATAACGCCACAAGGACGCCCTCGTCCGAGACACGACGGTACCGCGGAATACATTGACTACCGCAGAAAGTATCATTTTTTTTATGTTTTATTCAAGATACCACTATTCACGAACTGCAAGAATCATCCACGTTTAATTGACTTCCTACATATTTTCGCCTACATTCATCGCACCCTCCATCTACCATCATTCATTCAACTACCAATCGGACTAATGGTTCCTCACAAAACCCATTGTATCCACAACCCGGGACACGCCCCTTCGTCACGATTGGCTGCAGCGGCAACCACCAGGTGTCTGACAAGGCACGATCAAAGCGCCAGTGGGTCTGCTGTAGCGAGATGATCCTCCTGGCACAAGCCGCCTGGAAGGGGCATGTAGTCGTGTGGCGGGGCGGTTCATCTTAAATGAATTTGTCTGGCTTGGGCTTAGCAAGTACCATCCCGTGCAGAAGATTATTCTACAGGATAATTTGGCTCCGGCAATTTAATTGGTCCTGACGAACGCCATGAATCAAGAGGCTGAATTAGAGCGCGAACCGGTCTTTGGCTGTCCTGAAGTTTAACCTTATGATGTGATCATTGCAGTACAGCCCTATTGAATCGAGTGATTTATCTGCACACGAAGGGCTGGGCGTCGGACGATTCTCGAGAAGGCACTTGGACACTATCTGTGCCCTCCGGTCCTACCAACTCCGACGCCCCCACATCGCTTCTCTCTATAGAAGCGATGTGAGGGCGTCGGAGGTGCTAGGACCGGCACAGATACAGACAGAATACAGAGAAGGCTAATTTACAGTAGTTCGGACTATGCCTAATGGCGCCGACCTCAATTGCTCTTGCCGCTGAAAAGACCATTTGATCTGCTTGTTGTGAGCTTGATTGTGATGTACAAGGAGGCCTCGATGGGCCGGCCATCTTTTGTCCCGTCCAGAGCCCTACCCGGGCCCTCTACGGACTCCGCTGCGGAGAAGGATTGCCGACCGGCGGAGCCAATCGTTCCAAGACACCAGCAAGACTACCGCTGCTGCCGAAGGCAAATCAGTCTTCAAGTCTGTCCTCAGGGTGCCATTGTCGTTGGCCGTGGGTTTCATGATACTGAGAAGACTACGGAGAACACTTTCCTCCAGGACGTAGTTGACCAAACAGATCAGGTTCATTGACTCATCTCCACATTAAATTTGCAACGGGGAATAAAAAGAAGGGAAAGCAATAAGGATGATGATACAATATCTTCACCGCCGTTTCACTCCTTCACCTCCTGGGTCGTCTCATTGCGCACAAGACCCTCCTGCGAGGGAGACGCACCGACGGCATACGCGTCAACATGTGTGGAAGCAAACTTGCGTGCGGGAACCTTCGTCGCGAAGAGAAGGTCTAGCTCGGCGTAGGTACGCCCCTTGGGCTCAGGAAGACGGAAGAAGGCCCAGGTGAAGGCGATCAGGGCCGTGCCACCCCAGAAGAAGCCGGTCTTACCAGACGCGTTCCAAGCCGTCGGGTTCATGAAGTACGGCTCCAGCACCTGCGAAATAATGTTGACCACCTGGTACGCCGTGCGCGCCAGGCAGACGGTCAAGGGGCGCAGACGTACGGAGGAAATCTCCGACACGATGGCATACGCGATGGGGCCAACGGTCAGCGAGTAGACGAACAGCCACATGAAGCAGAATGCGGCTTGTGCCCACATGGCGCCCGAAGTGTGCGAGGCCGAGTTCACAATGGCAATGAGGAAGAGCAGAGTGCACAGGATACCCTGGCCCCAAACGTACAGGGTTCGCCGACCAAGGTAAGTGATCAGCCACCAGGACAGAGCGGTTCCGACAAAGGCGACTCCGGTACAGCCGACTCCTAGCTGGAAAGCCCGGTTGCTATGCATACCGGCCTGTTCGAAGAAGTACGTCGGGGAGTACGCAAAAGTGCTGCCGGAGAGAATCTGGCCGAAGAAGGCGACACAGCAGATTTCCGTGCGGCGCAAGTCAACACCCTTGAAGCAGTCCCAGTACGCGGTGCCAGCCTCGATCTCGGACTCGAGCTTGGTAGTGTGGACCATCATGGCCAACTGACCGTTGATTTGCTCCTCGGTTTTATTTCCTCCCAGGCGACGGAGGCTACGCTTGGCATCCTCCAGACGATCGTTGCGCACCAGATACCAGGGACTCTCCGGAGCCAACCAGCACACAACCATCAATGGGACGGGCCAGATCCACTGCAGAGCGAAGGGGATACGGTATGACCATTGATCGGTTCGGCTCACTAGTCCGTACAGCACGCCGGAGGCAATCAGCTGACCGATAGCCCAGCACATGTTTACATAGACGGTGAGATAACCACGCAGGTTGGTCGGGCAGACCTCCGATGCGTAAGAGGGCCCAACCGTGGCGAAGACACCCCAGGACAGACCGCAAAGGATTTGACCGACGAGCAAGACGGCAGCGGAGTTGGCGAAGAAGACGACGAAGATGAATGCGGTCAAGAATCCCAGGGCGATGATCATGACGATGCGATATCCGTATTTGCTGGCAAAGTAGCCGTTGAGGAGGCCACCTAAAAAGCGTTAGGCACAAAGCAGAACCTTGAAATAAGAGCCCATCCTGAAACAGAGAAAGCATGACGGAAGCTCACCAAAGATACAACCGACCGTACTGGCCATGCTCAACCCGGTCTGCCACGGGGCCGACACCTGATACCCGGTCTCCTCACCATACCACTGGCCATACTTCTTCTGGAAAGTTGGATAGGCCATAAAATTACCCATCAGGATAGTATCGTATCCCTCCATGACAATTGACATGGATATCAAGACGGACCATGCCACGGCCTTGCGGTTGTCACGCAGAGCCTGGAAAAGGGTTTGTGCATGTTCTTCATCGGTAGCCTGCTTCGCCTCGATGACAGCGCCGACACCTAGTGTATCCTCCACATGGTGGGCGGCCGACTTCTCCAAGGCAATCTCGGTCTGGGTCCGGGTTGTCGCCATATCGAGGGTTGATGATCGAGTCGATGACTGGAGTTCCGTAGCACCGACACCGACACAATCCCTTAGTGATGTGGTCTCGTTATAAACCCCCCTAGCAAAAGCAAAGGACCGATCGACAGGGTCCCCCCTCTTAGTCTTATATAAGTGGTCTTCCAGCGGGCATCATCTCGTCCACGCCGTCTGCGCGTGCCGAGCTAAAGGATCCGGGGAATTGTGGAGAGAGCTGGGGAACCAATTGCAAGTCGATTGTGGTTGCATTCAGGCTAATGGACCAGGATGAGCAGCTCCTGCCAACCAGTCGTACGACGTTGACAGATTGTCTCGTCCCAGCAAGGGAATGTGAAAGCTACGCCAACAGCTGCATTTTCGCACCTATCATCGGATCGAGGGCAGGGCACTAGACTGAAAGAGGGGATGGAAGGAGGTAATTCACCCGAGAATGCGGGACTGATAAGATCAACCCAGGTTGCCGTTTCTGGGGTCGCCAGAGTCCGGTGGGCCCAAAGGAGAGTTACGAGGTCGTGATTGGCCCGAGCGGAATGGGCTGGACGCCTCCCAGACCTTTTCCAACTGCCCACTGGCTTCTCTTTGACCTCGCCATCTCACGCTTCATCCCCGCTATTCCCTATGCGAGACGGGGAGCATGCCGACATTGTCAAGAATTTCCCGAGTGGCACCAGCGGTCGGGTAATAAAACAGAGAAGCCTGCAGATGGGATTCAACGGGCTTGCAGAGGGACATGCAATTCTCCCTACTGGTTCCGAAATGGCACTGCCTTTGTCTGGGCCAAATTATTCGGACCGGCGAGTTAGCCTTGACCGATTGAGTCGCGACAGGCCGCGATCTTATAGACGCCTTTTGGTCACTTGTGCCGCGGCCATCGGGCCATTCTTTGGATATATCTTTGCCGCCGGCCGAAGGAAATTAGCTTTACCCAGCTCAGTCTATAGTTGAAGCTTTCAACTTTCCGAGTCGCTTCATACTACGGAGAATTGTCTGGTAGGGAAACCGCTTTCAATCCTCTGTACCCATCCTGCGGCTTCGTCTGAATTGACTCGGATCTTTTTACATCAGCATCGCCCTTCATACCTCGCGGCCTCGCACTATGAAGGAATGTGGTTCTCGTAGCCAAGGAGCTGATCACGTCGAAAGGCGGGAGGGAAATCTTTTATCTACGTAGCTCTGGACTACCCTGGTATTCCGTGCCTCGCCGCAAGTCAATAGCGTACATCTAGTCATATCAATAGGGCTCCTAGGATCTTAATGGTGTCTCAGAGCTCATGAGCATGATCGATTCCCACGAGGGATACACCGGCTTTGGGAATATCGGTCTAGCTCTTAGAGTAGAATGGGGTCTTCAGATATTGAGATTAACAAAAGGAGCTCAACCCACTGGCGGGAAATCAGTGACGAATGGGACTCATCCACGGGCCTGACGCCTTCAACCTAATTCTCGCAGTCGACAAGAGTTCACCCACTAGAATGGTGTATTCAATATTGTCATGGAAAGGTTTTGACTCACTATCAATGGCACTGAACGATTTTCTAGAGCCAACCCTCCAGAGCCACTAAACCGACTTCTCATCCTCGTTGTCACTCATGGTGACTTAAGTGACATGGTCTTATCAGGCAAATTATGTCGGAATTTTTTAGTAGGGTACGGCCCAGCATCCTCAAGCACAAAATTCAGTGCCAGAATAGCAGTCTCCTGCACCTGGCAGCTAGAAACAACCATCATACTCGGGTCAAGCTTATGCTTCTTTATGATACCAACGCCAACACCTCCTGACTGAGAAAGACTCCTTTGAAGAGAGTTATTTAGCATGGATCGGTAGTAATTCTCGAGCTTCTGCTTAGTTACAAGAAGATCAACCTTCGGATGCGAAATCGAGAGGGAGATCATGCCGTGATGTACACCGTCAAATACGCTACCGAACATGTGCAGGCAAAGGGAGGTCCTTCGAGCCCTCTCCAATTACCCCTCATCGGATACTTTATGGCAGTGACCAGGATAACAGCCAGTGCCTTTCGCGCCAAGGGTGTTGGGGCATTCTCATTGAGTAGAGGGGGATACAATGTACCGTGATAATACTCCCTTCAAAACATCATTTTCACTGAGAAGATGACGCGGAACCAGCTGGGTGCCACGCTATGATATGTATAACCGAATGCCATTTCTAGCTCAATATTCTGCCATACGGTTGAAACAATCTTATTAGTCTCAGTCTTTCAACGGCTCCCGGTCTATATATTGTACTTTATAGATAATACTGTGATCTATATCTATGACTTGACTAAACAGATTGTATTTCGGCCGGCTACCGTGGGAGGTATATTTAGACGAACTGCTAAGCCGAGGAAAATGTGGGGCTAATAATGGGGGGCGAGATGAGTGCACACGCTCCGAAAAAACAATATCGCTGAAACCTTGATTCCATTCAAATTTCATACTGTCTCGATCCCCTCTTCGTCTGCTCACACGCCAACCTCGAAGATCTGATACTCAACAAGCAGCTGGTCATTTTCCACGCGGAATCGTCCGCGGGCCACGAAAAGCTTCGATTCCGTCCACTTGAACTGGGGTACTAAAAGCACGATCAATCAATCAACATTTCATCTTCGGAAATGCAAATAGGGGAACAGTGTTCCATACCTCCAGTCTCAATGACCGGTCGTACCCACCAGTCATGATCCTCAAAATTCGTGGATTGGGCATCAGGTCCGCGAGCCATGAACCGCCTCGCTTTCTCATCCAATTTCAGATACCCAGTGTACTGCACGGACACGCCCGATCCATCCGCAAGCTTACCCTGGGTGCGAACATCAATCTGCATCACATCCGTAACCGGGTCATGCAGCACCCAGTCACTTCCACCAGGCACGATAGTGGCGTCCATGCCCTCGCCGCGGGTGTTGAGAACACCGCGGAAAACCCCGCCATTCAGTGGAGTAATATGCTTTTGAGAGCCACTAGGATGCGTTCCTAGACGGACACTTTCCCGGGGAACCTGGAGTTGAAGGGTGAAGATATGTGTCAATTTGGGCTCCATGATTTCGAGTTGAAGCAGTTGAAGGAGGTCAAACAGTCAGGTTCAGTGTTCTCCCCCTCCATACGTGGGGCAGGACTTGTTCCACATTCCAGGACAGGGCCAAAACGATACTATCCGAAATCGGCTTAACCTTGCGCTTGGTGCATATCGCAGGATCCGCTGTGCAGCCATGATTAGCCCCGAGAAACGGGTTGAGCTGCACGCTAACGCGAAATGATGCACCATGGTACATGTATCTTTCGTCTGTCCAGTAACACTGTAGGCAAGGACAAGAATTTTGTATATAAAGACTATTTACAAGTCTCGAAGAACGAGCTCAATTCATTTCCAGCGGGTATCATGACTCCAGAAAACACGATGCATATGCCCCCGGCATATTCGACTGCTGATGCGGTGTCATGATGCATGTCATCCCTTCGACCGTTGGCAAAATTATCCGGCTCAAACACTATCGATGCGAAGTTTGGTTTCATACTCGCCAGCCCGTCGCTTCGTCTTCGATCCTACCAGCCGAAGGGACCAGAAGGACCGATGCTCCAAGTTGCTCACGTCCGAGCCAGAATACCGGACGACCCAGTCGGTTTGACCCTGAGATCCCAGCAGGAAGCCATCGACCGGTTCGCCGAGGCTGTATTGCTGATATACCTCGATCGACTCGCTTTCCTTGGATCTTAGTCCCCATTCCATCTCGTCCGTTCTGGGATCTCGACGAATTCCGATTGCATGCCAGTCTAATGCGCCAGCGCCGGACGGGACATAAGCTTCGAAGGTATGCAATGCGCCGTTGCACCGAAATATCGTCTTCGCATTTTGTGCATTGTCGCTGATGGTAATCTTCACGAACAAATCAGTTAGCCTCTTATTAATTTCACCAACAAGACAATCTACATAATCACCCAGGAACTCGAAAGACATACAATCCCATGGTCAAACCCTCTTCCATCCTCTGCCCGCTTCGCGTCGCAGGTAGCTCCATAGCCCTCGATACCGCATGCGCCATTGGAGGCCGTCCCATTCCGACACCCCCAGAGCTGAAATGACCAAGGACCAGCAATCTTCGTCTCATTGTTCCACCTCGGAAGTGCCCAGCATCCGTCCACTGGGGTGTTAGTGACACTGCGAGGTTGTGCCTGGACTGCGATCACCAGTGAGAGCGCACTCGCAAACACCGCGGAAATGATCATGGCGACAAGATCGCGAAAATTAACAGACGATGATTCCTCGAAGAGAATATTGCCAGAAAAACGGAGAAACTTCAATGGTCATCAATAATCCACAATCAGGCTGCCTAGCTTGAACAGAGTGGGTGGCCTCGTACGCAGTATGTCGAGTGTTCCCAGTCTCCACCCAACGCGTTGCTCTCGCTCCACAATTCTCCACAGAATCAGCCATGCGCCTCATTCCTATTTATATATTCAGTTCGTGACAAGATTGACAATGAGCAGTTTCCGAGTGAATCTCAATGTCACAATGTCAGCAATAATCTGGGGGCGCCCTCATCTTACGGGGTTGTCGATCATCAAGGGGGTTGCAGCCTGGGGCGAGTCCACTTTGAGGCGGAGTCTGGTGCCAACACAGCCTGACGAACGCCAGGATTAAAACCTCGGGATGATCCAGGTTCATTGCAACGGCTGTGGAGCTGTCCATTAGGATGTGGCCTTTCCCCAGACTATTACCATCTCATTATAGAAAGAGGATGGTACTTCTCGGCCCATCGTCACCGCTAGACCATTGGTCGTCGATCATTTTGGTCGGCCCCAAGGTCATTCCCGATGATTCTGGCACTATTTTCAGAATAAAAATCAGAACGAGATCAAAAGGACGTTAGAATTATGAACATGGCAATTTTCGGGGGCATTCCAAAGGTCTATGGGGTTTCCAATCCCGGTATGGGTGACTCAAGGTAGAAGTACCACCGGTGTACTCACGCTCGTAAGCACAGGGCGTATTCAGACTGGTAAGCACAGGGCGTATTCAGGCTCGTACGTAATCATAGATTGTCTTTTGTAAGTCAGACTTCGCCTTGATCTCAGAAGCATCTATTTTATTAATGTTTTACATCTAAGAAGGGAACAGAAGAATATCCACATAAAATAGATATGGTAATGGGGCGGGTCGGGGTGGGCTCTGGGACCTTTATTTCCAAACTGTGGGTGCAGGTGCATAAGTCCAAGTCACCCATCCCAACCTGGAATGGTGTTTTTGACTTGTCAGTCAACCTACCCGTAGTTTTAATATTTATTCTTCGTTATTATCTTTAGCTCTTCTAATATAGCTATAATTTCTAAAATATTATCATATATCTTCTTAAGGATAGGTATTCAAAATCAGCCAGGCTTAAGGAGTATATACACAAACGCTAAACGCTCACTGCGTAAGCGAAATACGCTAAACCGGATACGCTGCATATACGCTCAGATTTCTACGCCCAAATCTCTGTATTTGTCAATCCGACGATGGCGAAATCCGTCATGAGAAGAAGATGAATTTACGCCGTGGAGTCAAGTATAAGAAAGGCGGTCTTCCGCTGACCTTCACGCTTGACGTAGGGGAAGCATCGATATTCGCACTGCCTCTCAGAGTCGTGGCTGCACAATACACAATGAAGACCGTTCTCTCTCTTGTCTCTTTTGGGTTTCTGGCCCTGACCTCCACTGTAGCGAGTGCTCCAACTGCATCTGCTTCGGCTGGATCAGCTGCGCCCGCAAGATACTGCGTCCATCTCCAGATACCAGTTCACGTAGTGACCACAAACAAGCACTACAACCAGCCTCGGGTTGATAGCAACCTTGACGCCATTGATTGGACAGTAAAGACCACCACTTGGAACTTCAACTGGACTGCACAAGCCAATGGGACTAAGCACGTCGACGAAATATTCGGCATCAATGCACAACTTTGTGTTCCATCGCAAAAAACTAAGAAATCAAGTATTCTACAGATTGCAACCGCAGGTCAAGGCTTTGATAAGCGGTGAGCAATAGGAACAATATGGAAATATAATTAGTGACAAGAAACTGATACTTCATATAGATACTTCGATGTGGAGATCAACCCATCAGAGTATTCTTATGTTGATGCAGCTGTTGCTAAAGGGTACTCTATTCTAACCTACGATCGACTCGGAACCGGTGCATCTGATAAACCAGATGCGTACGATATTGTCCAGATTCCCACAGATGTTGAAATATTAGCTGGCTTGACAAAGATGGCTCGCAGCGGGGAGATTATCAGCTCAGCTACGGTACTCAATGGGAGCCTGGTTTCCGAATTTATACCTACAAAGATTATCCATGTGGGCCATGCGTATGGATCATATATGGGGACATTTTTCCTCGCAAAATACGGTGACCTTGTCGACGGCGCCCTCCTGACAGGTCTACTCTTGAATAACCAGCTCGAGGACAACCCGATCACCGCCCTGACGTATAATCACGCATTCCCTAGAGAGGTTAATCCCATCCTCTTTGCCGATTATGGCTCGGGCTACTTCATTCTGGATTCCAAGGAGACTCTTCAGAAACTCTTTTTCCAAAAAGCTACCCTAGATCCGGCGTTACTAGCCTATGCCGAGAGCATAAAGCAGCCCGAGACTGTAGGCCAGTACGCCACGGAGAATGCGCTTGAAATTCCATCGACGGCGGCAAATTATACAGGACCGATTCTGGTAAGTTCAACAGAGCCTAATTCGAATGAAAAATCACCAACTAACAGTTTTCTACGCGTAGTTCTTCAATGGGGAGTACGACAACTACGTCTGTAACGGTGACTGTAACGCTGTCCAATATCAGGACCAGACCAAGTATATTTATGGCAATGCAACCGGTCAAATTTTCTTCTATCTGCAGCCGAACACCGGTCATGCCACAGGGCTGTCGATGAATGCTTCTGCCGGCTATGAGGTCATGCTGCAATTTCTAGACTCTCGAGGCCTGTAGTTGAACAGCCTTTCGTTGCTCAACCTTCTGCCGTTCTGCATATGTATTTGCATGGTGTCAGCCTATGGAGCTATGTGGGCGTATCAGCTAATGTGGTTGTATATATGAGTGCTTGTGTGTGTTTGAGTTCCTATCTCTTCAACAGAGATATCCCCGTAGCCTAATTGGTTATCCGATCAAGGGCCTAGACCTCCTTTCTGCACATTTCTATCTTGCATTGAGATCGATCAAACTGTTAGAATCTTTGCCCTGCTCTTTCGAAAACAATTCTGGTGCCTAAACCTCTGCAATCGTGTATTTCAACGCTCGTAAAATGGCGGACTGTCTTGCAGTAGCGGGTCTTGCCTACCCCATTGCTAAAGATCACTTCAAGCTTGCGTGGAAGTCACGAAAGTTATATCAACAATTCGCAACGTGAAAAGCGATCTATCCAGTGTGAGAAAGAGAACGACATCAGTAGCCCGAACGTACGAATTTTTCAGGGACAACATGAAGGGCGAGGGAATTCAAAGAGCTAGTGCGCATGTTAAACCGGCATCAACTGCTCATACAGAGCATTGATGAGGAATCGAGACGGACCATTAGAAGGCTTGGGAATATTACCGGCAAGTTTCGCTCTCTCATCGATGGCAAATATGTGAGTACTGTCGAAAGATGAATCGCACAGTTTGAATGGTCTAGAGAGAGCAAGAAAACCGTCCCCCCTCTTTTCCAGGATATGGAGGTACTAGATACTAGACGTTGAAACTTTTCGTAACCATAAATTACATCATGGGTCTGTAAGTTTCTGATACAAATATGCAACATTTCCTCCAGAGCTGACCTTAACGTTAATTCACTCTTTCGAGAGAGTGAATTATCTTCCAGGAGAAATACTAAGTGGAACTTGAAGCTAGATTACTCATATATCACTAAGTATTGCGAGCATCCAGGAAGCAGGTCTCTTTGGGTAAACATGAAATCTGATCTTGGATAATGATTGTGATCTCCTAGCCCAGCTTGATGGGCCACCTGATAGCGGGTACATTGTCAACCTTGAGCCCCAACCTTCCGTGTTCCAACTCACCCGAAAGCCACCCATATTAATGTTGTTAAGGGCTGCCTTCCAGATGTTTCACCCTGCAATTCGGAAAATGTAAGGATACAGCTAGCTCCAAATCACTTGTTAACTCATATACAAAAATTTCCAGCTCTTCTAAAAGACTCATACAAGCGTTCAGACACCCGACTATTGCCCGATCTCTAACATCATAGAATTTTGCGTGAAATAGTACGGTACCTTCGAGCCGGGAATCGGGTTACATGTGGTCAACCAATATTCAATTTAGCTAATTCCCACGACCGGCCTTTTCTCCGTTAAGAGGTCGGTTCCCCAAGGCTCCAAATTTCGCTTAAAAGCTTCTTCCGACCACTTGCCTACCACTTTGCTCAGACATATATTTCTCAGTCTCCTGGCCGTTTTGTTGAAAAGGGGTACTTCGGGACTCCCAGTTGTGTCCGAGACGGCGGCTTGAAGGCTTTCCATAATTCCAAGACCCGAGAGTGAGGTCTCGATAGAGAATCAGGTTGCTACTTTGTAACAGATGTGGTTGACCCGGCTTTACGTCCACCGGTCTTCCCATGGGTCACGTTGAGATCCTTGAAGCCAATGAGAATGAGCAACCATCGCACGGTGAGTATGGAAATGGCTCAGTGACATACGTGGAGACATATGTGGCTCAAATATCTAAGCGGAACGCGTCCATCACATTCCAGGAAGTTGCTGCCCCTCGCTCAAGACAAGAAGGAAGGAGCGAACTTGAGACGACTAGGATTGAACTATCTGTTTCTTCCGGTTTCTTCACTACGCCACTTTCTCCCTACCCCGCTTCCCATGCCTAGAGCTTAGTACTAGCAGTAGTCCCCGCCAGGCTGCCAAGTCGCGCGGCGGAACTTCAAGATCCCTAGTATATGGACGGAATGAACCGAGTCAGATTGCCAAGGTAAACTATGAGTCCCGGGCTCTTCTTGTGTGGATCACGCTGACGTTCTTTGCAAACATTGCCCAAGAAAGATTAACGTGATCAAGAGGTCACCGCAAAAGTAGGGGCAGTATGTTAGATTTGATGGATCATGCTACGCCGCTATCAATCCTATTCTTCTCTGGATAAAGTAATAATGGCTCTGTGCTAGCTAAGCAAACCTCCACAGGTTTCTGAGTTTTAGTCTGAACGAATGAAGTAGAGTTAGAACCTGTAAAGATATTCCGCTATATGAGCTTACATATGAGAGATGAGCAAGGCTGTAAGTAGAGTCCTTGTCCGACATGTCTGCAGCATGGATAATCCTCGGTTTCTGGGAGAGTGATGCGAAGCTTCAGCGGATTTTCCCTCCAGGTATACGAGTGTTTCCGGTGCCTGAAGTGAAATTACAAGCAAACCAGAGAAGCTTACAACTACCGATGAAGTATAAATAGCCGTGCTAAACATACAAAGACTAGGCGGCGTGAGCGGGCCGTTATGCCTAAACACAAGGTTGCGACAAACTCTTCCCGGGGGAACGGGACTACTTTTTTTACCTTGTACCAACTGAGCGTATATCGTAGGGCTTTATATACACTTGAGCTTTAGCTAGGATGATCTTCTGGAACATATTGATACGTACTGGCGAAATAATGGACTAATCCATGCTATAGACTTGAGTTCCCACCAATGAATGAAACAGCCGGTAGGCTTTGTATTATTGATTTGCTATAAAGAGTGCCTCCAGAGTTATCAATGTAAATATTACATAAGGCTATTGCATGGAATAGGATATTTTAAAGCGGCGAAGTGACGAATATTTGGTTTCTTTTTGATAAAAGTGTTACGGTAAGTCCCAGACTAGAGATAGCTGAGGAAAAGCTGCCACGAAGAATTTTTGGGGTATATTCCAAGATCAACAATTGCCGCCCCGGCACCTTCTGCGACCCCCCAGAGCTGAGAGTGTTGAGAATGGATAGATATAACAAAATATTCATTTCTATGAGAACGAGTGCCTAACCAGTATAAAGGGCGATTCCATTATTAGGTCAATATGTTCGTGGGCAGCGCTCATAACGGCTGTTCGTGACATTGCGCAGAATATTGGATAAAACGCAATTCCTTGAGGTCCTCGACCGGGAAGATAAGGCTTCTACATTGGTGGTTACTCTTGAATATCTCGTGGATCATCGATCTTAATCGGGTTGTAGATTCTAACAGTATTATAAATTCAAATGAACATCGTCCTCGCTAGCGCCTCCCAGACTACAGACACTGTTTGTGAGAAATGACGTGGCTCTAGGCCATAGGCACCCATGAGATTTGCCTATTTACGGGTCATCTGTCATGAAGTAACCCTAGGATTAGTATATAGGTAACAGTCGTCATGGAATTTTATACGCAGTAAATCATGCAAGGTGTTCAAGTGTCCTCCGACTAGTGTGCTACTTATTCTTCACGGCTCTCTTCATAAATACCTCGTTATCCAGAGAACACTCTTTTTTGACATTGTCCATTCCCACTTCTAATTCTAGGTATCGCGAACGTGAGAGGGTGACAACCTCAGAGTAATATATGTTTGATGCTACTGCAGATGGTGGAAAGGGGTGGTAAAACCCTGATCGGCTGTGAGTAAGCGAACGCTATAGCACCACCTGAGGAACCGATATATCATCGGCATACCCATATGGTACATGTTTGCCGACCGGCTAATATGAATCGGGCCTGAGGTGACTCCTGGGTTTCGCTACTGTATCATTTACCTTACTCATTTTAACTATTCTCGATTATTGCCTGGCACGTTCGACCTAGTCAAAGCTTGTCTATAACTGAGAATTGCTTAAAAAATGGCGAGCTACGCCTTGGGCTTGTGTGGTAGGAGAAGACTTTCGATCAATTCCCGCTTCAGATACACTTGACACTTCTCTCCCTTCATTGCTAGGAATCAAGAGGTACTGACATCTGAAAGGAGATGATCAAATCACATTGCGCGTTTCTAATACCAAGAGATCAATGTTTTCATGCGTCAGGCCTAAGATAGGGGATGCTAGCCAAACCCTGCAATTTACACCGATAGAGCTATTGCGGGTCAAGGACCCGCATCACAAGCAACACGGGCCGATTCCTGTTTCAGCCTTTAGAACCGAAACGTCTGAGGTACCCTCCAATTTCTAGCGTGTGGCCCTGTTTAACCGGACGGGCTGTCGATATTCACTCGCCGCGATCTTGCATCATGGCCTTCCCATTGCACCTTGCCATAATTCAGTCCAATATTCAGCCGCTTCTTGAGTATGAAGCGGGGTAATACAGAAAAAGCCCTTCCCCGGATCTTCAGACCATATCAAAGTTTACCTAGTTGAAGGGTGCAGAGCCTAGCGTCCTGGCGAGAGTGGCTTGCAAACCTACTACTAGTAATTTGAGGATGCCGTGGAGCTTGCTAGCGCTGCAATTGCCGCATTCGTGACGGACTCCGTTTCTTCAGGAGTCCCGCTTTTAGGCTATGGCTAAAATTCAAGGTTCAAGTTCCCAATATGACTTTGCTCCACGAGATAATGCCATCGTCAACTCCCTAGCTTGCGCTTTTGACGCCTCAAGGAGACTCGAAATGGATTTGAGACATTAGCCGCCGGCAAAATGTGCGGATACCATCTCTTTGCCTCTTACTAGAAACCGAAGGCAGTACAGTAGTCATGATTTCCAAGGTACAAATGCAGACATCTATCGCTTCTTAAAACGGCAACTTCTTGCACCACCTTCACCAAGTCAGCTTCATTTGTGAACAAGATGGCGTCTTTCTCGTCTCTGGCCCTCGGCCTCCTTTCTATTACGGGCGCCTTGGCCCTGCCTGGTGATATGTCTGGCGATTTCTCCAAGCGTCAGACGATCACAACGTCGCAGACAGGCACGAACAACGGGTACTACTATTCCTTCTGGACTAACGGTGCCGGAACTGTCGACTACACCAACGGTGCTGGTGGTCAGTATAGTGTCAGTTGGGCAAACCAGAATGGCGGTGACTTTACCTGCGGAAAGGGTTGGAATCCAGGTAGTGCCCAGTAAGTTAAGACCGAACTAGCTGAAAAAAAACCATATCTGTGAATGGCCCCACTCACAGATGATGCTTCGTTGTATAGGGCCATCTCGTTCTCTGGCACCTTCAACCCTAATGGAAATGCCTATCTTGCCGTCTACGGCTGGACTACTAGTCCTCTGGTTGAATACTACATCATGGAAAGCTATGGAGACTACAACCCGGGCAACAGCATGACTCATAAAGGAACTGTCACCAGTGATGGCGCAACCTACGACATCTACGAGCACCAGCAAGTCAACCAGCCGTCCATCCAGGGCACTGCCACCTTCAATCAGTACTGGTCCATCCGGCAGAGCAAGCGGACTAGTGGTACCGTCACGACGGCGAACCACTTTAATGCCTGGGCCGCTCTTGGCATGAATATGGGTGCACATAACTACCAGATCCTCTCGACCGAGGGTTACGAAAGCTCTGGTTCTTCTTCTATCACCGTTTCTGCTGGTTCTTCCTCTGGAGGTACTACCGGCTCTGGCGGTACCAGTAGTTCTACTACTACCACCAGTAGCTCCAGTGGCGCAACTGGGAGTGTAAGTGGAACCTTCATGTCTCACTAGAAATTTGACGAGCTGACAGAAAACCACAATAGTGCTCTGCCCTCTATGGTCAATGCGGCGGCAGTGGCTGGTCTGGACCGAACTGCTGCGCGTCTGGAACTTGCCACTACCAGAATGCGTGGTACTCGCAGTGCCTTTAAACAAGTGGCTCTCCGGGTTATCTGAAGACGGGGAGTGTGGGAGAGTTGACGACCTGCCAGAATTTGATGTAGCTCTATTTACGGGTTCGCTTGTCGTATTTATTCCGTCTATGTCGAGGGGAAGCCGCAGGTTGAAGCCTTCGGTGGATGAGTGTCCCTGGGTCTTCAGATGCGGCGATGCCTTGCACCATCGCACTGCGAAATTACCGAATTGGTCTAATTTACCGCTGCTTACTGCCATATGGTAGCTCTTGTCATTGCAGGCCTCTTTCAATTCCATAATTATAGTTTTCATATCCACCTTCCTTTACCTTCTTAGAGAAGTAATGATGTCGAGACTCTCAGAGCTTCTGTATATGGTTCGCCAGATTGCGCTACACCTATATTTCTGTTACTGTCGTATTACTCAAACAAGAGTTTCCGTTTCAGGCTGCATGAATGCTAATTGCCTAGGTCAGTCTGTCGTCGGAGCTCCCTCAAGGGATAACTGGAAATGTACTTCTATATCGTGGGCGCTACGCTAGGACGATCATACTACTGTTTAGACGGCAAGTTCAATCGCATCTATATTTCTTGAGACATTCTTTCATCCTTTCTTCTTGTTGATAGTAGGAATCCTATGCCAGAGAGGAATCTTATTGAGCAAAGAAGGTCTTCTGACCTATAACGGAAAGTATTCTTGTAGAACGCCAGAACGAAAAAATAAAAGTAAAGATCAAAGTAAAGGATGAAGACAATATAGACTGGGGCCTAAACTAAGGGATATAGCTATATTTTACACTTCAGGACTGAAGCATAGATCTTGGAGTCTGATGATAGCGGATCGCCTTTTTTCTGCGCCGGTGTATAGCAGAATGCCTAAACCCTCCATTATTGAGTCACCGTGGCCCTGTTTATCATTTTTCGGGGCAGAGGAAAAAGATTGGAGGATCGAGTACCTTAAAAAACAGGAGCACGGTAGAGAATGAGGCCTATCAAAAAGTAGGTTGGAACATAAACAGAACTATGGGGTAAAGCGCTCGTTTGGGTATGGACTGACCATCGACTGGGTGCTCAATAGGACTGCATTCTCTCATGTGTGGGTAATGGTTTGGACGGCATGTCCCTCTTTACCAAGTCTCTATGGTCTATATAGTGCTCATCATCATAGACATTACGTAAATCATTAACGACACCAACTTTTTCGATCCCGAAATCACTTACGACTCACGGGCCAGCAAGCCCTCAGCTTCCTGCGCATCGTCGGCGGCTCCTCCGGGCGATTTGTGCCCTGCCTGAAGAGTGTCGGCCATGGCCAGAGCATCACGCCGGCCCTTTTCGGCATTCACCATCCAGACCAATGGGATAGGCAACACGATCAGTACGGCAATGAAAAAGAATCCCGACCGCACTTGGCCGGTCGCATCAATAAGCACACCGACCACGGCAGGCCCAATGAACGAACTTCCCTTGTCAGTGGCCGCATACAGGGCATAGAAGGCGGCTTCGCTGCCCGGCGGAATCAGCAACCCGAAGAAAGACCGGCAATACGATGCTAGGCCTCCAGAAACGACCCCGTGGATGATGCCCAGGGGGAAGATCTCCCATGGCTGTTGCAGGCCAATCACCCCCCACTTCTTCACGAACGGTATATAGGCCAACATTCCGTATAATGGAATGATCTCGAAGAGGGCGATGCACAAGATAATGGTGTGGTTCGACTCCAACCCCAATCGCCGGGAAACGTGCGGCCAGAGGAATGCACCAGCCATGCCTGAAAGAGTGACGGTAATTGACAAGCAGGCAATGGCGGTTGTGCTCATCTGGAGCTCCGTTCGTGCGAACAGAATCGCCGTGCCAGAAACGGTCGCCATAGCATCCGAGAGGAGGAACCAAGCGACGAGAAAGATGAGCACTTCTCGCAATCGCACCGCGATCGTAACCGTCCGCCAGAGTGACTTCCACGCGAAGCCCATCAAACGGAGCCACACGCGCCAGCGGGCAGATCCTGGGGCCGACGAAGTATCCAGCGGAGGCCCGGGACGGTCGCGCAGCCAGCGGCGCGTGACCAAGGTAAATGCGCACCACCAGATTCCTACCAGCAGCAACACAAATCGCAGCGGAAGGGTCCCCGACGCCTTGGCGAGCGAGGTCTTGCTCAGAGTGACGAGCATGATGATACTCAGAATCTGTACGAACACTGCAGCACAGTATCCAAGGCCCACTCCTTTGGACGAGATTCGGGTAGATAGCTGCAGCTCCGGCGAAGAGGATTGTGTGCTGGTCGACTTCAGTCCATCTTCCGGAGACTCTGCGGGATGATTGTCGGCATGCATCTCATCTAGACTATCGCTTTCATCCCAAGAATTCCATTCGTTCGGTTCCTCGTCCCGGTCCAAGTTCGACAATTCTCTGCCCCGGCCTTGCTGGGTCTGTTGGATCGACGGATCATTGGCGACCAGTAGCGGCAGAAAAGAATTGAGCACGACGAATGAGGACCCAAGGCAGGTGACTCCGATAATAACGAGGATCGAACCGAGAATGAAAACCGAGGGTGCAATAAAGACAAACAGCATACTAGTCGCGGAGCCGATGAAGCCAAAGGACAGGAGTAACGTTTTGCGGTTTCGCTCTAATCAATTCACGGGATTAGCTGGCTGTACCATTTTCCTGCAGACTGCAGTTCGCGCCCAACAACTCTGGAATTGTACCATAGTCAGCCAGGGCGCTGAATGAAATCAAGGTCAACGCCTGGATCAGCACTGCCAACGAGAAAGTATACATCGCGAAGCTGGCCGTAGTGATATGAAGTCCTAAGACTCCGACCATGCATTGCTCATCGCCCTTGTTTTCGGGCGCCTGGGGACCCCAGCAGGGCAAATGGCTGTTTTGTAGAGTGCCATTCTCGCGAGCGAGCTGTTCGAGGGTCAACGGCAGAAATGATCCTAGATTGAGTAGAATTAGTCTCAGCGCTCGGGGCAACGAGGAAGCACTCCAAAATGACCAGGGGAGCGGTCAACTTACCAACACCGCACACCGCAAATACTTCTGCTGCGATACCGTACGAGTACCAGCCGAGAATCTCCCGGTGGCTGGTCGGGGTGGTGTCTTCGCCAGCATACCGGGGAGGCCGCTGTTGAACCCCGTCATCGGGCGCCGAAGAAGAAAAGGCGGCAAGAATTGGCGCGAGCATGAAGAAAGAAGGTGAGGAGTGGAAGAGCACACAGCTCTCCTGCTATGGCAGGTCCCTACTCAGTGCCTACTGGGCAAAATGGCCGGATGCGGGCGGAAACAAAGCAGCTCTTTACAGGGCTGAATAATGGCTGACTGGCTGGCGGGGCGGGGCGGGGAACGATGCGGTCATCTGGTGGAGAATCCCGAGGTCCTCCAGGCACATCTCGAATCACACTTCTGCAACCCTTAACCTTCTCGACCGCGACCACGACCGCCATCGCCAGTTGCAACGATGGGATATTTCGAAGCAACAAGTGGAAGATCACCTGATCGAGTGAGGTCTTGCTCGAAAGAAAGACCCCCGGCTTGACCTGCGCATTTTGTGCGACTCGTGCCTGCCCGGTCCCGGCCCGTTCCAGGCTTTGCTGGCATTTCGGGCAGGACCAGAGGGCTTTCTCTCGCTATGGAGAGTCGCTTCTTTTTCCTTCCTCCATGAATCGTCTCTGCCCATGAAATTCAACGGCACGTTTCCTCCTTGTTCTTCACATCGGTCTCTCCTTGAGGCTCAAGATGGCCGTCATCCTCGACTCCCTCCAGTTCGCCCTGGGCAGACTCCTATATCCCATTCGAGGCCATGACTCGCGCCAGATCATCCATGACCAGGCATTCAAAGACGTCCCCAAACCAAACATGTCCTTGGAGGCCCCAGAATGTGGCCCATCTGGCTCGAAACTGCTCCCCCAACACACTTGTCTGGCAGAAGATCGAATCGGTTGCTTGCCCAACCTGCTCTGGACGGCCCCCGAATGCAACGAGTCTGTGCAAGAGTACCTCTTGATCTGTGAAGACATTGATCTCCCAATCCCGTGTCTCGTCATTCACCATGGTCTTTTCTGGGCTATTCCACCTTCAGCCAACACCGCAACCCCGGCGGACGTCAAGGAAGTGGATAGATCGGCCAAATCACGCCAAACGGCAGCTGGCTGGCGGTTTATCCCAAACCCTCTAGGCACAGCATACGGCGGAGCTGGGGCACCCTATGGTCATGGAAGCCATCGCTATGTCTATACAATTGTCGCGCTGAACGCCCGCCTGGAGTTTCGACACCCCGAAAAGGTCACCAAGAACGACATCAAACGCGCGATGGTCGGCAAGGTTGTCGGCTGGGGCCAGTGGATCGGTACCTTTGAACGCACCTGGTCCTGATTAATTTGTCGGTCTTTTCATCCGATAAAGCGCATTGAACGTCCAGGCTAGCACTTCGGCTTCAATGAATATCGAAAATGGGGGATCATGGGTGCAAGTCGATCGTATCCTTACGTGTTTATCGCCTCAAAGTTTAGCCTTCAACAATCAGTGATATTCAACTACAGTTCGTTTGTGTCACCCGTAGCCTTCTTCACGGCTACCCAGCACAGTCAAAATTAAATCGGTATATGATCACCATCGCCCTCGAGTATTTGCATCAGTACCGCCAACCGGCTGATAGTAGTCTCTACAGACAATTCACATGCGCGCAAAGTGGAGGTACCGTTGTGAGACACGTGGCAGCTTTTAGACATGACCAAGAAGATTCCCTTCAATCCCTCCATCAGGTGCACGAGCCTCACCACACTTCGTCCCAGCACTGTTCGGACCAGTAGTCGAGACTCGCCCTCGTCAAGCTCCGTCTTCCCCATCATGACTTTACTGCGAATGCAGATGAACGGTGATGGTGGCTGCTCAAAGGCTAGCATAGCCGAGTCGAAGAACCCGGGTTGAGTGGAGATATCGTACGCAGAACACAGCGCCTCGAGGAGTGGTAAACATTTTTCTGACAGAGCTGGTAGAGCCACAATAGAAGATTGCGGGTTCTTGACGCAAACTTTACAAAGAACCATGTTGCTCCCCTGAGTGCAGACTCGATGGATCACGTTCAGGATGGTTTCAACATTGACAACGGCATGCACATTTTGAAGCTCCGACCGAATCTTCAATGCTTCTGTTGAACATTGGCAAGAGCTTTCGAAATTCATTTTAGGATTCCCTGGTAGAGTCAAACATTGGAGATTGCTCCAAATTTGAGGCCACCGTTCACCAACTGTCGAAGGATGTGGGATTTGATGACGATCATGTTCACCGCTGAAGAAATCTCGCAGCCTGAAGCCCATTCTACACGGTCACACTATCCAACAAGGTTCATTCAGGCAACCTAGTTCAAAGATCAGGCTTGGCTGGATGGAAGATATGATCCTGGGCGATCACAGGCTGGGATACATTTCCCCGAAACACACCCTGACGCCCTAGATTTCAAAGCGAAGTGTGTTGCCCGCTTCATTCGCTACGATTGATCGATTGGGAGGCCCTGAAAACCCCGCTTCTTACATTGGTCACACCATGACACCCCAAGAGGTGCCATTCTTGGACCCAAGTGATTAAATGAGATGGCAGACAGGACCGCGCTAGAGCTGTCTGGTATCCTGTTAGCTGCTGCTTCTATTCCCCCATTTGGTGATTGACAGTCCACCTCCGCGGCGCGAATGTCCCTTGAACGTCAAGCCACCGCTCCTTTTGAAACTGCACCTAAATCTTACACGACATTCTACAAGGTTCCCCGTTCTGAAGGGGAAATGGTATTCCAGAAACGCCAGCATGATATAGCATCATAATCGATGAGTAAACAACGCGCAATTATCGGGATGCCACTCCTTATGTCTTCAACTCCCCAACACGGCTCAGTTGACAGCCATTTTGATCTTCATCATCACCAACTGAAGTCGTCGGTCCGTGTCCATAATCATCAACAATCGACCACGGGAAAGGGCTGCCGTCAGGTGCTGCTGCATACAGACACGAATCCTCCGGACAGCCAACAACAACATCGATAATCGAGCTTGTAGCACCTGTCGGATAAAGCAGGCTTTTTCCTCGGCTGGAACCGGAAATCCTCCGACCAGTAAAGGACAGGCATGAATACTAGACATGAATCCTGCTCCCAACTCCTTTTTCATTCTCACTGTCCCTTCCCCCGTCTCGGTTAATTCATCATAACAGCTCGCTCTGGCAGGCGTGACTGCAGCGTCAAGTATGGTGAGCAGACTATCAATCGCAACAATAATGATCATGAGCATGTTTGCCTGGTTCTGAGACTGAGAGCACATTTTACATTGTAGAATGGCTTCTGTCTGGAGAACCAGATCTTTCTGACATGCCAGTAAACCATCTATGTTTGAGCATCCGATAGCTCCAGATCTAACGCCTGATTTGACCAACTGACCCATTACGTGCTTGTAGCAGCTACAGCCGAAAGTAGATGAACCCTCAGATCCTGTAAATAGGTCTGGATCATCGGGCGAATAAGTTTCACTGTCATGGCTACCAGCAGGAGACTGGAAGCTGAAGCTAGGATCGAGTTGCTCCGTGAGAAGATTGTTTGAGGGGATTCGATCAAAGGCCCATGGGTCTTGAAAGCACTGAAAATCGAGCCGGGTTCCTGTCTCATAAACCCATGAAAGGGGTCCGGTGTCTTTGAGGGCCGGCGTTCCAGCGAATTCGCCAGACGTAGAGTTATGCCGGAAAGCGCTTAAGTCTTTCTCCAAACTCGTATAGGCCGAGGAGGAAACAGAATCCGTGGGCTGAGCAGATAGATATGTACTCGACGGTAGAAACGTGAGCGGTCCAGCGCAATAGGTTAGGAAATCTGTAATTGGATCAAACGAGTCTTCAATGTCAATATCCGCATAGAGATATTCGGGTGCAGCGTTATCCAAAGTACCACCCATGCGATCTGAGATCAGCTCTTGAATCCAATTCTCAGACGATAGATCTATGTCGAGTCCTTTCAATATGTATAAGCTTGACTGTCTCGGGGGATGCAAAGCCAAATTCGCGTACCTGATTGATCTTCCGTGCTTTCAACAGCCAACTTTTCCTGCAAACGATCCTCGTCGGCTCCCTTTTCAGCATTGCGGCCCGATCGAGCTCGTGAAGTCGAACTCGGATGTGATCCAAGATGACCCTTTTTTTTAGCTGTCTTCCGCGTTTTTTTCTCACTTTCCGATGGATCAGTAACGATTTCGAGAATGGGGCTCTGACGTTGAGTTTGCAACCCAGGTTTCTGATCTTTCTTCTTTGCAGGACGTCCCAGCCGTCGCGAAACACTATAGATACAGTCTATCTTGTGTTTCTGGCAGCGACGACAAGAAGGCTTCTCATGACTGCAACGAATCTTTGCTTGTTGACACGCGTTACAGGTAGATCGAACCTTGACACTTTTTGGTAGTTGTCCCATATTTGCCTTGAATAATCTCATGGATCTCAATCAAAAGGTCGGGGCCGTTGGGTCTCCCATGAAATATAGAGATTTATTTGACTACCAGTGTGTTGGATCCCTCGGTTTGTGACTTGGGGCTAGTGCCACCACATTCGGGAGAGTTTAGCAAGCCACCCACACGCCCGTCTAGACTCGGCATCAGACATCCCACTCAACAAGGGGAATCGCTGTTGCGGCTCTCCAACGGGAAAGCTAATCCCTGCCTCGCGGCTTCACGGGCAAAGTATATAGTCAATCTAAGTTACATCCGAGGTTCGTCTCCGTGATGAATGCCTTGTGTCCTACTTGTGTACCTTTTCATGTCCAAATTGAGCGGCTCGCTGCGCCCGGGGGGTATTGGCAGAAATTACAAGCGATAGGAAGTTCGTAAGGATCTTCAGGTCTATTGCAGGTAACACGTTGGTATGGTTTTGGAATTTCAGTTACGCTCGAATAAAAGTAGGTTCCCGCAAAGTTGGAAGCTGTGGAGCTTATCGATTCCCAGGCTTTCCTCGATCTCTTTTGCTTCAAACCTAAAATCCGTCTTTGAAATTGGCCTTGACCTGAATTAAAATCATCCCCAGGGTAAAATAGGAGGTATAAACCACTGAATAACAGCCACAAAAGTGTATCCCTTAGATACTAGTCTAAGGCAAGCAATTACCCTAGTTGAGTACCCATATACCAGGAAAAGAGTCTTGCGACTTCAGCGCCATTGGAGTAGATTCCAATTTTTAGGCTTTGAATATGTATTTGAGGTACTTTGAATATTGCTTGGCATCCTTCAAACCCCTATACGGCAGTTGGGGCAATCTGGCAGTCCAATGATTTGAAAAACGTTTGGGTCACGCTCAAAGAAGGCATCGGTTGCCTTTCATGACTCGGTTCCCGCCCACCATAGAAATAGTTTATAGCAACGGGAGGGTCCAACCCAGCTGCGAGCATGAATTCCCGAACATTGAAACCACTGCGCGCGTCCTTTGTCTGCGGAGGGATATGTGCAAAACATTCAGGGAATTCATAAGATTGTGGCTGGTCAAACAGTAGAAAGACGTAGCGATGGTTCGTTCCTGGTGGCGGCTGGGGCGCAATGTACGGCGCAGTATGCGAGGAGCCATCTTCCTTACCAGGTGCCAGGACTTTCGAGTTTCCACTTTCGTTGCAGTCGAACGTGAAATTTGATTGGTACCAATGGAGAATGACTGTTTGGATGCCAGTTCCGGGAAAAACCACGTCCAAGTCCAGAGATAGGATCAAGTAGCGAGCATTGCAGTCTAAACCCACGGTGCCGATTTCTGGACGCGGACCGGTATCTGAAAGCGCATTAGACAGGCACAGCACGCTTACTCTGGGTAATTACCTTGGATGTCGATGGCTGATCCAGGTTTAATCCAGTCTTGACTGGGGTATCTAATTTGCAATTGCTTTCCAGTAAGAGGAAGAAGTGGTGGAGAAAATGTAGTCAAGGCCAGAGAAAGGCTAGCAAAAACGTTCGACAAGATCATGTTGTAGTCCGTTTAGAGGTCACTCCAACTCAAGAGCCAATTTTTGAGCAATGGCATTAAAACTATAAAGCGCGAAGAGAAAGGTACAAGGTCCTGTCCTATATATCTCTGATGTGAAGCACTGAAAAATCACCGACCGGTTACAGAGGACACAAGTGACTCAGCTTGACCTCGACGCCAATCCCAGCCCCTGAAGTAAACGAGGAGCAGAAGAAAATTGACCGCCACAAGAGCGCCGGAGACGGTAAGATACGTCCACTGTGTACCGATAGCATTGATCAATGGATTGACCGCAGCGGTGGTTCCAGCTCCCAAAAAGCATCGAACCAGATTGTTAGCTGCCATTGCAGTAGCCGGGGTCGTGTAGTACAAGTCGACGATCAGCACATTCATGATATTATAAGCCGCAGTAATACAGAAGCACGAGATGAATACCATGAGAAGAACTGCCCAAAAGGGGAATCCATAAGCAAGAAATGATCCATATACTGCAATGGCTGCGCCAGCAAGCACCTGCCAATTTGTAAGCTGACAAGACTCAAAGACAACAGGAAGAATTTTCGAAGTGAGCTCACAATCATAGGTATTCCAATTTGCAGTCTTGCCTTCTCTATGGGAAATGAAAGTAAGTGATGTTTGTGGTCTTTCTCTAGTGAGATTCCCTCCTTGATACCGATTCTGCGATAATTCCAGTCAACTAAAACCCCGTTGGCTGTTGCACTGAGCAAGGAACCTAGTCCGGCAGGAATATAGCAAAGCCCCACTTGGAAATCGTTCAAGTCATACAACTTTGCGAATTGAGCAGGTATCCCAGCCGTGACGGAATAATAGCTGCCGAAAGTGATACCATTCGCAAGAAGCACTAGCCCGACGGGACGTCGGAAGAGTAATCTCAGCGATGGCCAGGGATTTGGCATTGAAAGGTGTTTGTTCCGGTAAGCCGAGGACTGGGTCACGAAAGTTGTCGATGTTGACGATCGCCTTGCCTTGACACAATCCCAAAGTGATCGGTTCCAGCCAGAGGGGGGAATTGAACCGTCCCCGACGATCACGCGACATGTCTCGGGGAAAAATAGTACAAAAACCACAAAGAATACAGTCCCTATTATAGCCAAGAACCAAAATATGGCTTGCCAGCCCAAGTATTGAGTCAATAAGCCCCCAGCGATGGGACCCAGTGAGGGGGCGAGAATATTTCCTAGAGATGTCAACCCCATGTACGTCCCGCGTTCGGCTGATGTGATGATATCGGCGGCCACGGCGGATGCAAGGGCGACGGTGCCACTACTTCCGCAGCTTTGAATAGCACGAAGCACGAGGAGAGTAGGGAACGAGTGCTGCAGGGCAAGAGCAATGTTGCCCACGATATACACCACAAAGCATATGATATACGCCGGCCGGCGGCCTGCTTGATCAGCCAAGGAGCCTGTAAATGTAGGCGCGAGACCTTGACATATCTAAAAAATTGGAATTAATTTCTCGACAACTGCCTGGTGGGCGTTCCGAGGGTAGCCTACCATATACGTAGTGATAGTCAGATTGATTTGCGACGGACTAACGCCCAAGTCTTTTGCTATAGAGCTCAGCGCTGGGAAATAAATGTTGGCGGATAGAGGCGAGAAAGTTGACGCTATAGCAGCTACTAGAATGATCAACCGCTTCTGTGTGTTTGAAAACACGGAATACGGTTTCTGGGGACTGGCGTGAGAAAGTAATGAGGTCGTCTCCACGGGCTCGGCATTTTCCTCATCCTCATCGTTTGCCCCTTCGATCTCTGAGTTGCTCATGTCTCAATTGCCATCAAGTCCTCAAAGAATCAAGCATCAGGGCGGCTTTCTTAATGTAAAAGGATTTTTCCAAGAGAGTCCTATTGATACTATATTGGAATAACATTCCTAGAGTTTTACGAGTCAAAGTTGTACTTATTGCTCGACCAGCACTACCACATCACCGAACCATTACATCTTAGCGGCGGGATTAGTCGCAGCCATTATATTGCCCGTATAGATGTGAGACGGTCGAAATAGTTTGCCGCGTGTCACTAAAGCTGTCAGTATAGAATCTCCCGAATCTCGGCTCATTCACAGCCCGTACCCATGTATTCCCGCCAGTGCGCCATAATTCCCATGATGCGATGAGCAAGCATAGCAGCTGGAATCATCTCAGGCTCGAAGCCGCTAAGAATTGATCACAGATTCAGTATTTCTAATCGCAGCGACCGGAGATGAGACACTGACATGCCAGTAAACACAAAGTTCCCGTAAAAGTCGGCATTTTGGAACAGCCGACGAGAAACAAAGTATTCATCCGTCGCAGCAGCAGCTTCGATAGCCTCGGCAATTTTGTAAAGGGAATTAGATTCCGGCTGAAGATCTTTCAATATCTTCCTGATTGGTTCTACACGGGGGTCAATTCCTTTGTATTCGCGATGTCCATATCCGAATAGTTTCCGCTTGCCGGCTTTGACCTGTTCCAGGAATGCCGGCACATTTGCAGGGTCTCCAACCTCTCGGAGCGCATTCTGAGCCGACTCGGTGGCACCAAAATGCAGTGGGCCATAGGCAGCCGTAGTGGCAGATATGAGGCACGAGATGGGGTCTGTCAGAGAGGATGCCGTTATCAAGGTTGAGAATACTACCAGGGCCATGCCATGGTCAGCATTGATCATGGCAAAGCGACGAAAGCTATGTAGTTTGAAGGGATCTGGCTGCCCGGTTTGGGAGTCGACTAGACCTGCCATTGTAAACAGATTCTCGAAGTATGTTCGATTCACCAATGGGCGATGCCAAGGAATGCCCAATCGATGGCAGCGGGCAGCCGCAAATACCACGGCATAGCAAGCAACAGTCTGCAAGATTAATCGATCAGCTCGATCAATATCATCCTGGTACAAACTCGCATTGGAAGAAGCAGGGATAGCAGAGGGCATCGTGGAGAGGTACGCAGTCAGCCCGGCAAGTAGCAGTGGCAGCGAGGAAGTCGTTCTTCTACGAGGGAAACTTTAGTACCAGAGCAATGGAGACACTCTTGGAAAGACACGCACGGAAGATTCTGAATAGCCTGGTGCACAATTGGAGGAATATCACCCATATAACGGGCGAGCATTTCACTCAAATGGGTCCGTTGACTGCTCGTGGGCAAGCTTCCCCAGAGTAGAAGATGGAACATGTCCTCAAAGTCCTTTTCCCAGAGTTGTTCCAAGGTATACCCCCGGAATATCAACGATGCATGCTCATGGTCCCTCAAGATTAGTGCAGTCAATTAGCTTGATCCTCGATGGCTCTGGAATGAACTCACGAGAAGCTGATGGCCGATTCCACCACAGCCGTATTCTGGAGGCCCGGATCATAGACTCGCAGACCTCGCGAGACCTGATCGGCACGGTCGGCTTCTGTCGCAGGGGCTCGGATGCGTCGTAGATCAATGGCCTGGATGGCATTTCGACGAATGGGGATTTCGTATTTGACTCCGGTGCGGGAGTCTTGTACAAACAAGGTGCCGCTAGACATGCTGGTGATTAGAATAGTCAATATGAACACAATCGAGCTGATGAATGGCAACTATACACCTAATTGCTGATAGTAAAGTTCTTTAAATTCGTTTGATAATCTTGCGATCCTGTCAGCTTGAAAAGCCTTGAGATCGTCTCGTGAAATGTTCCGTGAGATCAGTTCCACATGGGAGAGGTGATATCTCGAACGCCTCTTTTCAGTCAATCGACGACGAATTTTCGGCTTATTGCATCGACGCTCTTATTGTGTGATATATGATAATAATCAGGATTGGATATTTGATTTATTTTTCGTATCGCGTGTCGTAATCATAACAAAACACAGCCAGCCCGAACCTCCCAGACAAAAGCCCCGCCCTGCATTCAGATCTTTTTTTTTCCCGATCTCGTCAAGAGGCTTATAAGAATTTCCCGAAGCGAACAACAGCGACCGCTTAGTGAGGCATACCCTCGAAAGGCTTAGCGAGGTGCTCCTGGCAGAAGGGCAGCTTGCTCTGCGTCCAGATTTCGGTGTCCTGTGGGAGTAGAAAAGAGAATTAGCCCCACCTGCCCCGCGGATCATCTCCGTGACTATTGGCGCCACTTGAGGATCGACACGTACCGGCTTGAGAGTCTTCTTGATCTCCGTATCCAGAGTACCCGCCTTCAGAGCAATGATCTCGGGGGCCGCATCGGGGTCGTGAGCAATGGGGGAGCCACACTCGGAGCAGAAGATACGGTGGACGGCGTGACCGGAGCTGCCCTTACCAGCCCAGCTCTTGGTGGGGCCCTTGATGGTCAGCTTATCCTTGGGGACGACGGCGACCAGAGCTAGTCCAGCGTTAGCAATTGTTCCAAGAGGCTAGAAAAAGAACGACGGACAGTAAGTTGAACCACTCTGGCGCTGGCAGTCATCGCAGTGGTCATAGCCGGTCAGCAGCGGGGCATCGATGTCGACGGTGTAAGTGACCGCCTTGCAGAGGCAGTGTCCAGAGAGAGGCATGATGGCAATTGATTGGGTTAACTGGGAATTGATTCTCGCAAGGTGCTCGGAGGAGGGGGGAATGCAGGGGGACCTTGGGAGGAGAAAGAAGAGGAATCTTGGGAGTGCGTGGAGTATTTAAATGGTTTCAATTTTCTGGGACTACTCTGCGAGACGGGCAATCATAACAATTACTAAAACTCAAGTGGAATGCTTATTCAGACTTGCACCTGCACTTGCGTCCATCGGACAAGCCTGGAACCCTGGACCGAAGTCAATCCGTTGAGTCTTCGTTGACCGTCCACCGGTTTCCTATCTCGTGGGCCTTTTGGGGGGTCTATGACCCGGACTGAATCCTCAATGAGCGGGGCTTCCACGGGCATTCAGGGCGAGCGGTACGAAAGGCAAGGCGTAAACCTGACCAAGATGCTGACCAAAATGCCAAATCCTGCGTACTTTTCCACAGAAACCGCTGCGAGCCATCCAAGCCATCCAAGCCATCCATGCCATTGGAGCTACTGGGGACCAGATGGGATGACATCATTGGTTGTCGTCGATAATTCCAAATTCCCCAAATGCGCACTGACAAATCTTCCCCCACCCCGCCAATCCCACGGCCCCTCTCTGGATGGACGAGACAATTTGACAATCATACCAGAGACAAGAGACACGGCGCTGCTTTATCTATCCATATTCCCCTCTCGGTCCAATGGGGTCTATTCAAAGTCCATGTGGCCCAGGATGCGGATCCGTAGGCTGATCCTGCTTCTAGCTCCTCCCTCAACCCCTCCCAGCCTCCGCCAGTCGCGCCACTAACTCGCGATGTGCCTGCGACAGCGTGCGACGCACGAAACTCGTCGTTCCGAATGGGCACCGAAGCTCAATCTCCTCCTGCAAGTACAACTCACCCGACGGATCATCCTCGCCCGCAGTAGGCTCCCTGTGCCTGCGATGGACCGTCCAATGATTGCGGATATGCACCCCCATCGGCGCATAAATATGGGTTCGGAGGCCTTGTGGGGTATCGTGGAAACACCCTCGATATCGCACTTTGCCTTGCAGCAGACCCCACGGAAGATATGAAATCCGGTCCGTCAGCTCATACCAGATCCCGTGGGCTTCCTCGGCGGGTGCATCTTCCGGGGGAGCACATCGCTCGTAATGAATAACTAGGGGGTTCTGTTCGATCATGGCGGCGTGGTCGCGAAGGGTTCGTAGGACGGCATTCTCGGAGACCGTGCTGGGAAGCGGGGTTTGGTTTGTAAAGGCAGTTCGGGTCTGCATCGTGACAAATACTTGTAGACGGCTGATCTTAGGTGCAGTTGACAAGTCGCGTCCCAGGTGTCGGAGCTCAGCAGAACCGGGATCTGGATGGGCTTGGTGGGGGGGGGGGGGACTTGTTGGGTTTAGCACGGAGAGACGGCCGGTCGGTCGAGATGCTAAGAGTCCCAACCGAAATAATGGTCAAGGAACTAGGAAGCAGGGATACAGATAGACTGTTACAATCGACGGTGAACAAGGCCCACAGTTAGCTGCGCTAAATGGTACCTTACTTGGGAGCGCTTATATAGCCCCTTGGCGGAGGAGAGAAGGGGGCTGGGGAAGTGATGTGGCGGAGTGTCTCCAAGGTTCAGCACGGTCGTCCATGATTTGCCTATTTTCGGCCCTTTGTGGCGTTCAGGGTAAGCAATAGGGCACGGTCGCAAGATGTGTGTATTGTTCACGAAACTTGTAACTCTAAAAATATCAAACCTCCAATAGCCCCCACGCGCTGCGCCCGCCAACTACTACGATAGGCAAATGTATCGCCTTGCGATAAATACGATAAATCGCCACGTCGGAAAAATATATGGAGTCAATCGAGCCAGTCACTTGAATCGTGCACAATCACAATGCTATATACCTCTCGAATAGTGGCCACTGTACGGAGTAGATTAACTGTAGAACGGATAGAATACCTATCGATATCCCACACTATACATCAAGACCCAAACTACGGACTAGTATGCCGAAGATTTTCCAATTTATCAGCAGCACTCTGCGCAGACCCCGTCAGTAATACGATCCTCGTCGACTAACACTCTGCTCCCATCGCCTACTGACCTGCATATCTGCAGCCATACTGTAGCTGGGGATCCGCCCTCCATAATACGCACTCTCCGCGCGCTGCGCCTCCCGAGCATCGTCCTTGGTTATATAAACCGGCGCTTCGGTGGGAACGGCAGGCACATTATAGAAGTCGTTGTGATTCGCGATGGAACGGACCTGGGCCGAGACGGACCCGATGCCGGGCGGTCTGTTGAAGGCGCGGCCCTACATGAAGAGACCGAGTCAATGTACACCCACACTTCCCTCTTCTCATGTTGCGGTCTGCCGGCATACCTCTGTGGATTGAACGATCCGTGCATCATTCTGGTTGATCAGGATCGGTGGCTTGCGGGAGACTTCCTCAATCGTACTATCAAAATTCATCTGCTTCATCGCGATACTCTGGGCCGTCGCTGATCATTATCAGCAACCATGCTGGAAATCATGTTGGCACTACTAAAAACCACATACCAGCTGGTCCACCACGGACCGGCCCGCGGCCGGTCAATCGGTTCTCGACCTGCGAGATCGCCGAAACGTCTTGCGCGGAAATCCGCTGCCCGGACTCGGCGGCTTGTTTGAGTTCCGCGACGGTGGGAAGATCGAGATTCATGATTGATAGCGTGGATGAATGAGTGAGGAAACGATGCGTAGTTATCTTAAGAGGGGCGTTGCTGGCGACTTTCTTCCAGTTAGAATATATAACATGTAGAGGCGAGTGATGTCACCTTGAAAACATTGCCATGTTGCCTCGTGGTGGCGCTGTAATCCGGTTTAGCCTGAATCTGGTATTGTGGAGTCGAAATAGTTGCGAATATTGGGCCGTGGTGATGGAACGCGTTCCAAGATCCATGGGACTTGGCGAGGAGAAGAAGGATGGGCGATGGGGAGGAATCAACGTATCGACCCGGTCCAGGGCATGTCGGTCCTATGATAGGTATACCTACCCAAACGGGTTTCAAGATGATAGAAATCATTGACACCTAATACCATTTGTTGTATATATAAGAGATCACTTGGACCTCCTTAATTGGCAGATATCCTCAAATTCATCCCAGATGAATGAGGTCCTTCCTTTCTTCTTCCTCCCCCCGATCTTCTGAGATAAATATCGGCAGAATTCGCTTTCCACAGATCTGTCTCCTACGCACCTCGACTTGCACTTTCAATGTTTCGCCACACAAAAGGTTCTGACCTACGAAAATGTTCTATTTCTACAAAACGAAGGCGAATGAACGTGTACTTGGATCAGCCTTGACGAGTACTTTAGTAGCCCTTATTCTACAAATTTGCAATAAGTAACCTGTGATTTCAGATACTTCGGGAGAATGCTATCCATACTACCAATGAATGGTGAGTATATATACACCGTCAGCCCAGACATAAGCACGAAAAGCTCGTGAGTGTGCACAACTAACTGAGTAGGTCAATACAGAAAGGAAGATTTCGAGTGCCCCAGGATTGGACTATGAAGCACATGCCTGAATGGAAGCCTTTAATCAATTTCATGGTCATGATCGTACCATAGCCAGTTTTGCTAAAGCTGGCAAGAGTTCCATTGATCAAATTACAATCTTATCACACATGGCGGACTCTCAGCTTTGCCTATTGACAGCATCCCGAGTCCATCGTCTATCCTGTGATGACGAGGGACCGAGGCAATGATTGACCGGGCCAAAAGTGCCATTTTAGGACAACAACACGGACAGATGCAGCACTCAATGTAGTGTGGGACCAAACTAAAGGAAAAAGAGCCACGTCGCTCGAGGCACGTTACACGAAGGCTAGGCGCAGATGCCCTTGGAGACAGACTGTCGGGTTCGGCAGCATGCTGTGCTGCCGTGTACGGTTGACCAGGAACGAATGCACCCCTGTGTACATCGGGGATCCTGACAGAAGGAGACACATCTTCCGTGTAAGTACTCTCCGGGGGAAACGGTTGCAGATTCCGGCGATGCTTATATTGTTCCATACTGCGCTGGCGGAGGTACCGGGCGCGTGTATATAACAGTTCTGTATGGTAATTCGAGCTAGTCAATGTATTTGACCCCTAATTTTCAGAATCTGTGTTATTCTACAGAAAATCAAATATGGCCTGAATAGTCAGCCTCGGGGAGTCTACAGGCCTCCGTTGTAGGATTCCTCTCTAGTAACCGATGTCTCTTATATACCTTAGAACCTGCACAGACCATGCCGGTGCCGGGTCTCTCCGCTTTGGCCCAAGGCCGGGACCGGCATCACCACCACACCTGAGGCTTCTCACACCCTCCTCCATCCATCCTCAGTCCTCTTCAGGGTCAGGCCGGTTTCGCATGCCTGGCTACTACTTGGCCTTGCTGGTACCATGTCCATGCCCATGGAGACGTAAGAATCACTCTCATGAGATTTTCCCATCGCGCGGATATGCTAACATGCCTTCCCGCAGACCGCTGAAAAAAGGAAAGAAGGCGTGCACCGAGTGTCGCCAGCAAAAGGTGTTTGCTCCTCGCTTCATGTATCCAAGTACTGCTAGCTCGTTTAACATATTCTAGGCAAAATGCGATGTCTACTTGGACCCAAATCAGCCTTGTACTCGATGCCGCAAGGTCAAGGCAGCCTGTATCATCTCAGACCCCTTCAAGAGAGAGCACAAGCGAAAGTACGTATCCAGCGCGCAACCGGCCAAGGGGGAACACCATGTGTGGAAATAAACTAACGAGTGTCTCTGTTCAGGAGGCTCTCCGAGCTAGAACGGGAATCGGAAGATCTGCGTCGCAAGCTCCGGGCATCGCAACCAGCAGATCTCAGTCCCCACCCTTCGCCGATCGCTCTCTTGACAGCGGCAGCAGAGATGGGCGCGCATTCGAGACAGGGGAGTAACTCGGTCTCGTTGTCCTCGAATGCCCCACTTGATGCATACTCGCCGCACTTGTTGGCTCCAAATGGCCTCACACATAGGACCCCGGCACCGGCACCGGCATTGGACGGCGGTGGCACGACCTTATCCCGGAGCTTGAACGGGGTACAGGTGCAAGGAGAGGAAATCGACGATCTGTTTCGACTGTGAGATGAATTTTATGCTTCTTTTCTTAGCGTGGTGGTGGGTTATATGTCTCTGCTAACCTGATCATCAAAGGTTCTTCCAGCATTACGCTCAATTTCTCCCTATTCTGGAACCCCAGACCTCACCAAACACTTATTACGCACAATCACCGTTTCTATTTTGGACTATCATCGGTGCAGCATGTCGTTCATACTCTCGGAATCCTACATTGTTGACGGCCTTGGCCCGAAGTATCTTGGAGATGGCATTCCTCTCGGCTTTGTCCATATCGCCACCTTGGCACACCATTCAAGGACTTTTGCTCCTTTTGACATGGCCGTACCCAAAGGGCGATCATCCAGACGTGGCTTTCCCTTTGTGTGGGATATTGCTCCATATCTCCATGCAAAACGGGCTCCATGTCCCCATGTCGAGTCATGAGTTTTCACGAGTCAAAATCCCGGCGCCATCCGAAGGCGATCTGCTCCGTCGCTCGGAGCTGTGGGCACACACCGTCATTATGTATCAACGGTACGCTGAGAACGCAAGTGAAGGACTTTTGCCCCGTGTGGTACTAATGTAGTTGACAGGGTGTGCGTGCTCAAGGGACTCTTACCTAGAGCCCTGATGAACCACGGTCAAGATCCCACACATCGCCAAGTGCTGATGGATAAAATCGCACCCTGGATGGCCTTGAAACTTCGTTGTCTAGAGGTGATTTCAAAGTGTAGCGAAGCAGTGGCCGAAAATGGTCTACGGTCCATGTCTCTCGACCAAGAGCGAGCATTGGACATTTTGCTTCGCACGTACGAAGGCCAGATAGATGACCTAGAACTACGAGCAGTGACAGGTATGGTCCTTCTTTGAATGTCTTGATCGGATCCATCGCTAACCATGCGTCCTTGTAGATGACGAGAGATTTGACACTGGGCTCTGCCGAATGGCGGTTCAGAGCTTTCATTTCTTCAAGAACCAAACCTTTGTGTCGAGCGGATGCTGTCCGCGGATTCTTGTCACGGCGTGCAGCCTGATCGACTACGTCCAAGCGCTGTCTGATCGATTTGGATTCTTGTCGATGACACCCTATCATATCAGTTTTGCACTCCTCCTGGCTGCCATGTGCTTGCTAAGAATCTTAAAAAGCACCGTGGCACCACGGGGTCTGGAAACTGGTCGTGCGCGATCTTCTCTCTTCACGGCCATCAATCTGGCAAAGCAAATCTCCACCGACAGTGCTGATATCGCTGCCAAGGCGGTCACGGTTCTCAGCTCGATCTGGAATAGTAACAGAGCATTTCGCCGCGCTGACGGGTCAGATTCTCCCGCTCTGCGTATTCGCGGCCGTCTCGTGCTAAGTCCCATTCTCGATACCGTGTGGTGGTGGCGCGATGAATTCGATCCTCAGTCGCGCGAACCTGCTAACGGTGCCGTTTATTCTCGTTCACGGTACCTGACTGCTGCCGATGGAGGCGTAGGTGGTGGGTCAGAGCCCAACCAAGACTTTGCTGGCGGCATGATGGCGCCATCCGGCGTGCCCACTGATCAGAGTGCGTTCCACCTGGATGAGGAATTCCTGGCCGATTTCGAGTGGGCACTCGGAGACGAGGCACTATTCTCTCTGGACCCAACACCCTCCACGTGGCCGACCACGAACGCTCTACTATAACTGGACCGATAGAGGAAGAAGTTGATTGGCAATAAACTCCATAGCTCTAACTCTTCCATGCCTCTCCTTGTCCAGGCTAAATTTTGATGGGCCCAGTATGCCAAGCTTGACTCGGCCGGTCTCCGGTGCGGGCTTCCGAATCGACTCTACCATCCTGTAAACTCCCCTGCGAGTTCCTCACCATCCGCCCATGAATACGAGCTTTGGCATTACTGATCTGGCTGACACGAAATTAACAAGAGGGAACGTGCATTAATCTAGAGATATCGCAAAATTGCCTGGAATAGCCGCCCACCTTCTAGATTTGTCTAGATAGAGCGCCATCGAAGCGACGTTTGACCCTGCATATGATATCAAACGAATCATAGTCCGGTGGCTGACACCGGAAAGCAGGGAGCACATGGTGCGTCTACTAGTGCTCCGTACAGAGTCCATTTCGGACGAGTAACCCCGATATGGGCTTGGTGTCTCAGATTCCCCCAGCGGCCACCACGTCGGGGCAACTATGACAATTGGGGTAAGACGATCAGCGTGGAAGCTTGGGGAATGGTTTTCTAAGGCTATCGACTCAAACTGGCCAGTTGGAACTATGGTTTTGGGTGAAAATAAGGAATTAGCCTTGGCAGGCTGTCAGTTTTAGAAGGGGCTCGTGAAGAACATTGCTTGTATGCGAGAAATAGCTCCGCCAATGGCGAGCGCCATTGGGATTCTTCAGAGGGGCCCAATACGAGCATGAGTCACTTTATTATGACCGCAAGTAGATTCTTAAGGAGACGAGAGCTCCCTGAGCTTTCAGACACCTTTTTTGCCATGTATCCTATCCGTCAAAATCCATGCCAATGGCACCACAATCCTTGTTATGCTGGAAAAACAAAGGAGATTGCTTTGATTGCAACTCTACAGCTACACCGACCAATCAGAGTCCCGTGATTCCATGCCTCTTTTCGCCCCTCCCCCCCCCCCCCAAAGTCTGACAGTCGCACGCTTTCTAGCGTTGCAACCAGTCGATTCACTTGGTTCTGGAACTAATTCGTAGTTCAAATTTACGCCTCGACTATTTTGCACTGCATGCGATGGCCGATGCCAGCCGCGAGTACGACCTCCAAGCCGACCATGCTAATTTCCCCGCATTTCACCGGTGCGGGTCGATCGCGTGTCTCTCGTCCATCCCCGATTCTCCGGCGAATCCAAGGTTCATAGGGCAGACCCCGGTCCGGCATGGGGTTTGTGGCAACGATCAGCAGGGATGAAAAGCGAGACACGAGATGATCCTGGTCTCCGTTCAGAAAACCCCGGATCCTCACTCTTGAAGCTGCATCTGCCAGTCAGCAGCACAACATTCGACCGACATACTGTACCTTCCCTTCTGCGGAACCCCTACGGATAATTTGGACTGGGACACACCGAGAGCCAAGATTACCAAATGCTTATCCTCGATCATTCCAGAGGGCCTGACATATTATCTCACCGTCATTGACAAAGGTGATCGGAGCAATCACATTTTGCCAAGACCCCAGCTCCGAACTTTCTCCCCCCGGGACTACAGCCTCGGCTGTATCCTGTCCCCCTGCCATTTGCCCACATTCCTGAACCCGACGGAGATGCGGGCGGCGAAATGAACGTGGCACACGGGACCAGAGCGCCTCCTTGTCCAGGGGGGGTATACTCGCCGGCCCGTGGCGTCCAACCAGCGTCAGCCCCACTCCAATCAGCACGGCCGCTAGCAGGATAAGGGCGGCGCTAAGGTTCAACCCTCTCCAGACCCAGTATCGCTAACGTTCGGGGGGGGGGGGGGAAGGGAGGGGACGCCCCTGCTCCCGAGAGGGCCCTTCCAAGGCTCGCCCAGCCCACCCGCAACCGGCTTATCGCTAACAAGCTCGTGCCCATGGCGAATTCCCGTTGGCAAATTTGGGGAACGGGTGGACCTGCGGACCTTGGCCAAAATAGAGATGGGAGATACAGCATCCAAGCAGCTTCGCAGCACGTTATCAATGCAACTCGCTTGTTTCCCCCAATCTCCGCCCGAGCTTTCCCTGGACCCTCTTCTCCTCCCGGGCTCCTCCGTTCCCTTAGTCTTTCGGCGCAATCGACTGCCGTACTATCGTGGACGCGAGCAGCGTTGACGATCATCGGGATTGCCGACGAGCATAATTAACATGCCGTGGACGCGCCATGGTGGCCATGGGTGGCGGGCTTCATTGCGTGTCCCGGAGCCGTCTGGACTAATCATCATCCTTTGGGCCACATTCGTGTTAGGTCACATAGGCGCATGCCCGCAGATTCGGACGAGTGGTGAAAGTGTGTTCCAGCCGTCGAGCCATCGAGTCAGCCCAAAAGTCTTGGCACTTTGGCAGTGGATCAAAGCGGAAAGATCAACTTCCGCCGCCACCAGCAGAACAGGAAGTAAAGGCAGCCAGGATCGTGATACGGACGGAGTGTAGGATATTTGGGGATATCAAAGGTGGAAGGTGACCCAAGGGAGGGGGTAGTAAGGAGTAAGCCGGGGGGGGGTCCAAGTGGGATCGTACGGTTCTGACTGGTCCCCAAGGGCAAATCAACGCCAAAGAAAAAGAAGAACGCTGCACAGAGCCGACTGACAAAGTCGATGGACTGAGAGCACGGCCCCGGGATTCTTTGTGTAACTGACGATTGATTGGGCTAATGGCAAGGAATTGGCCAGAATTTCCAGGACGTGCAGGACGGGCTCGACTCTGTCGATTGGGTCCGCTCGGCGCGTGATGGTTCGATACTGCTTAATTCCTTCTTCGACCTTCCTAATTCTATTATTCTGCCTTTTTTTTTTCTTTAATTTAACATTTTGGGCCGTTTTGACTTCCACAAGCTTCATATCCCGTTGCGGCTTCGTTTCGAAGGCATCGAGAAGTATGGAATCGGCCATTCCAAACCAAACGTCCAACTTGGCCGAACCCAGCGCTTGCTTCTTCGTCTCTCGCAACTCGACAAACAAATTGACGAGTCACTGACTATCAGCTATCATCCTCGTACGACCTTGACACACTCCTATCGGTCACGGAATCGAAGATTCGCCTCCTCGTGGTTGTGTTTACTCTCTTAGTCTCCTTTTAGTCTTCCCTTCGCGCATCCACTGGCCTTCCCCCACCCCAGTTTCCTCTTTGCCTGTGCACTTTCTCCCCCCACTTCTGCTGGACTTTCCTCCTATCACGTCCTTCAGTGGCCTTGTCGTCGGTGCGCTTATCCTAACCGGCTCGATTGGGGTTACATCCATGCTCCATTTGGTCTCAGATATCCTTTGACTCGTTTACTGGGGGCGATAAGGCGGAATACCGTCGGGGTCGTTCAGGAGCTGTCAAACAGCGAGAAAGAGAGAGAGAGAGAGAGAGAGAGCAGGCAATCGCGCTTGCTTTAAAGCAAGTCAAATTACCGGACAGCTTTTTGGTTTCCTTTCTTTTTTTCTCCCTCCGTTTTCTCTCTCATCCCTCGTTGGCCCCAGTTTGGATCTTCCACGATCTGTGACCCGCGCCTCGCCATGGAGAAGACAGATCCCGATGTCGCGGTGACCACCGGCGCCGAGGTCGATGAGACTGCGCCCAGTGAGATGATCAACAAGTTGCGCCATTTGAAGGATCATCATCACTGGGACCCCAACTTGCCCCAAGATGTCGAGGAGGAACTGGATGAGGCCCTGCACACGTCCGACAAGGGTGCCCAGGTCGGCATCGCTCATGAACTGTTGGATAACTCCATCTACCCCGAAGTGCGCGCTGCCGTCCCCAACGTCGATGAGGGAGGTCACAGCAATACCCTTCGTGCTTGGGTCATTGGTATGCTCTTTGCGACGATCGGTTCCGCGCTGAACATGCTGTTCTCCATGCGTCAGCCCTACATTGTCATTCCCTCGTACATCGCCCAGGTCGTGGCTTACCCCGTTGGTAAGGCCTGGGAGAAGTTCATGCCAGCCAAGAAGTTCAAGTTCTTCGGCATCGAATGCAACCTTAACCCCGGAGTCTTCAGCAAGAAGGAGCACGCGCTAGTGGTCATCATGGCGAACGCCACATTCGGTGGTGGCGCTGCTTATGCCACGGATGTCCTGTTGGCTCAGCGTGCCTTCTATAAACAGAAGTTTGGCTGGGCGTTCGAGATCTTCATGTGTATCTCGACCCAGATGCTGGGTTTCGGTATGGCCGGATTCTTCACCAAGTTCCTGGTCCAGCCCGCGGCCATGATCTGGCCCTCGACCCTGATCAACACCGCCCTCTTCTCGGCTCTCCATGACCGAACCAAGCCCGACCCGCGCAAGGTGAGCGGCTGGAAGATCGGTCGTTACCGTCTGTTCCTATACACCATGATTGGCTCGTTCTGCTGGTACTGGTTCCCCGGATACATTGCTCCCTTCCTGAGCGTGTTCGCCTGGGTGACCTGGATCAAGCCCCAGAATGTCATCGTCAACCAGCTGTTTGGTGGCTGGACCGGTCTGTCTTTGATCCCCATGACCTTTGACTGGACTCAGATCTCCGGCTTCAACTTCAGTCCCCTGATTGCCCCTTGGTACGCCATGGCCAACACCCTGATCGGCATGGTCCTCTGGTTCTGGATCGTCACCCCTGCCATTCACTACTCTGGCTTGTTCTACTTCAAGTACCTGCCGATCAGTGACTCGGGCAGCTACGACAACACCGGAGGCAGCTATAACGTCTCCAAGATTCTGACCCCCGAGTTCACGTTCGACCCCGAGAAGTACAAGAACTACTCCCCGCTCTTCTTGTCCACCACCTTCTCCCTGAGCTACGGTCTGTCCTTTGCTGGTATCATTGCCGTTATTATCCACACTGTCCTCTTCCACGGCCCCGATCTCTGGGCTCGTTTCCGTGCCGTCAACGCCGTTGAAGAAGAGGATGTGCACAGCCGCCTCATGTCTCGTTTCAAGACCGTTCCCCTCTGGTGGTATGGTGTCGTTACTTTGATCATGATCGGCATGGCTCTGGGTGTGACTCAGGGCTTCGAGACCCATCTGAGCTGGTGGGCATTCTTCATTTCTCTGATCATTGCCGTTCTTTGGTTCGTGCCTCTCGGAATCGTCAAGGCCTCGACCAACATCGATATTGGTCTCAATGTCTTGACTGAGTTCATCATCGGTTACATGCAGCCCGGTCGCCCAATGGCCATGATGCTGTTCAAGACCTACGGATATATGAGCATGTACCAAGGAATGTACTTCACTCAGGACTTGAAGCTCGGTATGTACCTCCTTTCTCCTCTACCTTCCTTTTTCTGATACACTGAGCTAATTTGCCCTTTTCTCCTCCAGGCCACTACATGAAGATTCCTCCCCGTGTTACCTTTGCCGCCCAGATGGTCGCCGGTGTCTGGTCCTCGCTCGTGCAAATCGCCGTGATGAACTGGGCGCTGGGCGCCATCAAGGACGTCTGCACCCAGCACCAGGCCAACCACTACAGCTGCCCCAACGGCCGTGTCTTCTTCAATGCCTCCGTCATCTGGGGTGTGATCGGTCCTGCCCGCATCTTCTCCGTCGGCCAGCTTTACTCCCCCCTCATGTTCTTCTGGATTGCCGGCGCGGTTCTCCCCGTCGCGATCTACTTCGGTGCCCGCGCTCTCCCCCGCTCCCCAATCCGCTACCTCTCCGCACCCCTGATCTTCAGTGGAGCTGGTCTCATTCCTCCCGCCACTCCACTGAACTACCTCAGCTGGGGTATCGTGGGATTCGTGTTCAACAAGCTCATCCGCGACCGCTTCCGCGGCTGGTGGATGCAATACAACTACGTTCTCTCAGCTGGTCTGGACGTCGGCCTCGCGCTGTGCACTATCCTCATCTTCCTGACCCTCAACCTCACCAGCACCGACTTCCCCTCCTGGTGGGGTACCGAAATCGCCGCCAACACCATGGACGCGGCCGATACCGCCATCCAAGTCGTCCTGCCCGAGGGCCAGACCTTCGGCCCCACGACCTGGGCGTAAAGGTGCTATTCACACGAGGTTTCCTGGAATTCTTTCCCCGATAGTTTGGTTGTTCGCGGATTGATTTTGGGAACGGTGAATGTCAAATGACATTTGCGGGGGTGTGCACATAACACGATGGGTCGATGCTTTCTATTTGGTCATTTTTTAATGCATGCTTGCAATGAGATGATGATTAAAATGATAGCTCTTTGCCCTTTTCTCTCGCGCGAGGGTATCCTAATATTCATAGCTGTCTAATACCCAATCAAACCAAGTTCATAATTACAATTACTCTCCTTGTAAAGTCTGTGCTTTCTATGTAGGAGACTTGCTATCGGGTGGCCTCTGGAAAACAAACTTAGTAGCATAAAGTGGAGGTAGTGTCGATATTACCCGTAGGCCAAGTCAGAGTCAGAGCAAGGCCGCTTGGATAGCACATACAACTACGTCAGGATTTGGCACAGACATGAACAGAAAACAAAGTATGGAATTTCCCGAGTCATTCCAAATGCATCATATATACATCGTCAATTTACCTCAATCCCAACACGACTGTCGCTGACCGAAGTAGAAATTCACAGAAAAGAAAATAGAGAAAAGTTAAGAAAACATGGTCATTCATCAATGGCAGCCAGCGAGTCCAGCATCGCCAGGTTCTCGCTCCACCTATGCACATGGAATCGTCGCAGAACTTTGTCGCGTAACGGACATATCAAAGATGATTTCCACATTGCCTGGATAATCCACCCTAGGTTCCCGAACTCATTTCCATCGAAGCCCTAGCTTCACCTTCGATACCAAAAAAAAACCCCCCTTTTGTTAAAAAAGAACGCCCATTACTCATGCGGGAGTACGGCGGCGCATGCCAATCTGGAGAGCAAGTGGCTTACGCAAGAAACCCTCACGAGTCTCCATAGGGCCATCCTGCTCGATCTGGAACTCGAAGAGGCGGAAGACAGTAGCGCCCATGACGAGGAGTTCCATTTCGGCGACGTTGCGACCAACGCAGGCACGAGGGCCGTGGCTGAAGGGGATGAAGGCAGCCTTCTGGCGCGGGGTGAGGCGCTTAGGGCTCCAGCGCTCGGGAACGAATTGCTCAGCGTCGGGACCCCAGATTTCCTTGGACCGGTGGATGGTGTAGCTAGGGACGGAGAGGACGTCGCCGGGACCGAAAGTGTGACCGGAGATGACGACGGGGTCGGCGCCGGCGGGGATCTCACGCGGAAGACCCATGGCGGAGGTAGAGTGGATACGCATGGTTTCCCAGATGACCCATTGCAGGTACTCGATATCCTTGACCATGGCGTGGGTGGGGACGTCGATGTCCTTGGGGATAGCCTCGTCCAGAGCCTTGTGCAGCTTTTCGATGACGCCGGGGGTGCGCTGGCACCAATACAGAATGGCACAGGCAGTGTTGGAAGTCGTATCGGAGCCGGCGATGAGTTGGGTGAGAGCCTCGGCGGTGAGTTCTTCGCGGCCGAGAGTGTTGCCGTTCGTGTCCTTGCCTTCCATCAGACGGGCGAGCAGATCGACACGGGTGTTGTTGGCCGCGACCTCGGGCTTGAGACGCTCGTTGACACGGGCAATGGCAATACCAGCCAGGTTCTGGACGGCTTGCATACCCTCGGTGAAGAACTTGTCGGGGATGTACTTGGCAAAGGGAATCAAGGAAGGCATGCAGCCCAGGGTAGCAGAGACTTCACCACGGCGGTTAAGGACCTCGACGGCCTGGACGTACTTGGGCGGGTCATTGGGATGCAGACGCATCTCAGCGATATCCTGGCCCTTCTCGAGCATGCCGAATGGAGCACCGAAAGCCAAGTCGCCAATGATGTCGAAAGCAAGGTAGTTGAACCAGTTCAGAGCGTCCAGGCTGGCGTAACCAGTCTTGGGGTTGGCCTGGAGATCGGCCATCTTTCTCCACTGCTTCACGAACATTTCAACGTTTCCATGAATGTACTGCTCGAACTGGCCAATGGACTTGGCGCTGAACGTGTGCGAGACAGTCTTGCGCTTACGGGTGTGCTCGGCACGGTCGCGAGTATTGAAGAGACCGCGGCGAATTGAGACGAAAGCATCATAGAAGTCACTGAGTATCAGTTAGCATTGAAAAATTCTTCGTATGCATCTACTACCACCGTGGGGTGACATTGTACGTACGCCTTCAGGAAACCATTGCCGTGTCCATAAACACTGGTGATCGCCTCGTCGTCTGCAATTGAGACGTGCCGAGGAGCAATTCGCACCAGCTTGCCATACTTCTTGTGCGCGGCATCGACTGACAGGTAGCGCTTACCCTGCCGGGCTTGGATCAGCAGCCAGAAATTGGTAAAGGCCGCGAAGCTGGGCGCTGGGATATCCCGCAGTCGCGATCGTTGCAGGTAGGGCACCAAGAAATAGGCGACGACGACACCTAGCAGGATGAAAGGTGCATTTTCCGTAGAGAAAAGCATCGCGAAGGAATATGCGGGGGATGCAAGCTTTACAATGCAGATAGGGAAGACAGGGAAAAAATAATCCAAAGCTCAAACGGGAAAAGTGCGGCGTCGATCACTCAAAAGGCGGGGAGCAATGACAGGTGACGCAACCAGCAGATAGATAAGTGTCGAAGCAGCCTCGTTCCTCAATATCGGAAAGATACTTTTGTCGAAGAGGAACTCGAGACAGGAAGGAGAGAAGAGAAAAAAAAGTATCCGTCCATGCTGTTCCATGTAGAGATGGGATCGAGTGTTATTTATGCAGTCCGAGTGGTTAGGTGTGCCGCCCCGTGATCCCCGAGGTCTAACCGGTCGACGGGAGTGAGAATCGGTATCTGGGGATACGCCGCGAGTGGAGCCGTGGAGCGAGTAGTGCCGTTACTGGCGTCCGAACCACCGCTTATTCGGTTATTCCCCCAGGGCGGCGAGTAATTGCACGGCTTGCCATTGGTGAATGAGTGCCCAGGATCGCCCCCGGCTGATTCGGGCATGATTGCCGCCATTTGATTCGATCGTAGGCGCAGGGCCAATAGGGAGCAAGTCTGGGGCTCCTTCTGGGGATGTGATGAAGTGATGAAGAAGGATTAGACGGTTTTTGGGGGGAAAAAAAAAAGAGAAGAGTGTGCGGGGAAAACGAAGAATACCACGTGATGGACATCTGCAAGCAATCTTCCTACAGCAGCAGAAGAAGGAAGGATGTCCTTCGACAGGACTCAACGAGACTGGTCAATTAGGTTGATAAGGAGCGGTGGATATCTACTGCACTATGGAGTACAATGGTCTATAATTACTACATGATGTATTGAGAAATGTCACAGACAGGGACATCATGAATCCTTGGATAGTCATGGAGATGCGTTTCATGCTTTATATACACAGAGTACGCTATGCAAGTATGCAAAGATACTAGGCTATGCCATGCAATGCATGTGATGATACTGCTGTTGCAGTAATCTACCACTCCTCCACAGAAAACAGGCCGTTCCGTTTCTTCTCCCCTTCCCATCGCTCAATCCACGCCTTCATCTGATCCCGGCTCTTCTGGCTCCCAACGTTCACCGTGGGGATGACCCGGCCGATCCGCAGCGCACAACAGAACATGGTCAACTCTCGAAAGGAGCTATGCTCACTATACGGGACTCCGAAACAGGCACTTTCCCGCGTGCTTCCGCGCTGGGGGGTCAAATGCTGGGCCGTAAACGGAGTCCTCCAATGTTCGCCACGCAGCACCGTCGGCACGGGAGGGTTATCCAGCATGCGTCCGGCAGGTGGTCGGTACGTCCAGCCAGTGGGTCGGAAGCCAACCACTCGGGAGAAATGGGGTTTCAGAGTGTCCAGGTAGTCGGCCAGGGTATCGGCCCGAATCTCAAACAGTGTTTGCATATGGACTTGTGCCTCCCGAGGATCAGTCGTCAGCAGCGCGGTTAACTCGGGGTCCTCTAAACAGGCACAGATCCGTTGTTTTTGAGGATTGGCAAAGATCTTGGATCCCAGCGCTCGCGCAATGCCCAAGCAGATTCGCTCTTTACCGATGCTATACGTGCCGATCACCACTAGTAGGCGACCTCCTGTGGAAGATGGCTGCTGTTCCGACGGTGTATCACTTTTAGTTATCGACGAGAGGAACTTGCTCATGAGGCCCCCTCCGCCCATCTTCCCAACCTCGCTCCCCACCCCAGATTCTTCATTGAGTCGAACGCAGAGTTCCGAGCAGGCTGTGATCACAGCCTCCTGGCTAGGAAAGGCATACTTGGGGCTGAGATAGGTGGTATCGAGATAACATGTATCGATTCGCTGTTGTCGTGGCTGGCCGGTGACTGGATTGATAGGGTTGGGTTGAAGAAGAGGGTGTTGTACATGAGTTGGGGACGCTCGAAAATCGCCACAATGAAGAATGCGCTGCCGTCGGGCGTTGGGTCCGCCACCGAAGCTCTTCTCGAAGAGAAACAACGAGCTTCCGGGACAATGGTTGGCAGGAATCATGGTGACCTGAACACCTCCCGTATCAGGCACCTCGGTCGTGGTCTCAAAGTCGAGATCCACGATCCATTTAGGGTCCACGCGAAGTTGCTGTCGAACCAAGTTGCCCGTTGGCCGGCTACAATAGATGGGACCATGGCACCAGGACTTGGTCAATCCAATATAATGATCGCTATGGAAGTGGCTGAGAAAGTAGGCATTGCACCCCTCAACTGCTCCGTAACGAAAAGCATCCACGCAGATCGAGAAGCCGGGCATAATCTTGTAGAATGGACAAGTTCGCTGGTAGGCTTGCTTCCCGCGAGATGAAACCTCGTTCGCAGCGGCGGCTGCCCAGGCCGTATCTTCGGCGTTTCCTGCCATCATCTTGGAAAATGCGGATCGTGCGCCTGGGGCATTCTTAGAATATGGGTCACGCTGCGGAGGCCGAGCAATGGCTGCCCGTTCAAATCGTGTCAACCCTTTACCGGAAACCTCCTCGGTCTTCACATCTGATGCTGGGGTGCTCGGGGCCGGTTCAGTCGGGGTCGGTGCAGACGTCTTGCCGTCCAAACAGTCGTTCACGTGTACCGACAGTTCTGTCTCGCTGAATCCTGCTAGCGCTATCTGGCATACCGGGCAGGTGCTTACTCCGTCGGGCTCGGGGTCGAAATCAGTTGAATCATTAAAGTCGTCAGGCGTCATCATCCCAAAGTCGGTTGGTCGTCCGTCTTCATCTTCACGGTCGTCCCACGGCCTATCTCGAAACTCCTCCCCTACAAGCTCGTCGCCGTCTTCAATATCGTCAAAATTCGCGAGTTCATCATCGTTGGTATCATTCGTTGCGTCTCTTACCAGTGGTGCCAGCGAGCGCTGGGCGGCAAGAGGTTTTGGGCTCGGTTGGTCGTCAAGCGAACGGGGTGGATCCTTATTAGTCGTGTCAGGTATCGTAGGGGTGGTCTCCTTTAGCTCCCGGTACGCTTCCATATCATCTTCGCTGTCTGATTCATCGATAAAAGGCCCATTGTTCGACTTCTTGGCCGGGGCGGGTTTGACTGGCTTGGCCGTATCGTCTGCTTCTCCACTCTCAATCGAACCATTCGGTAAATCCACCTTACGACGTTTGACAGGCTGCCCATTTTCATTGTACCGAGAACCCTCCTGTTCCATCACATCCTCAGTCTCGCCCCAGATATCTTCCGGCGTCTTTGATCGAGCCCTCTCAGTCAAGTCGATCGTCACGCTCGTCCGTTCAACCTTGGCCAATCCTTTCTTATCCTCTAAAAACAGACCCTCGGAAGTGTCACTCCTGGAGCTATTTCCATTCTGCAACTTCGGCGTGCCACGCCCACTGCTCGGTGATCCAGATGATCCGACGAACTGAGTGATACGCGGTTGGCGAGAGGTAGCCCCAGCCGGTGCGTCCGTCTTCTGGAAGAAATTCAAGATGCTTCTGTTTCCCTTTGCCGAGGATGACTTTGTTGCTGATGCGGGACCCTTGGATGGCGTGGATGCCTTCTTAGCGATTGATCCTGCCATCGCCTGCAGCCGGGTAAAAGCGAAGGTGGGTAGGTCGAGGGAATTGGGGACGAGGGTCGACGGTAGTGACACTGCGGGTGGTCGACACCTTGTGCTATGATATCGACAAATAACGCTGCTCGAATACGTACAAAATGTTGTTCACTATCCACACGAAGACAAGGATTGCTGAGGTGCGCCACCCGATGCGGCGAAGACGAACCGCGCGAGTACCGCGACACGAAGTCACGTGATCACTTCCCGGTCAAATAGGACATCTAGTCCGTACAGAATTACAAGGCGCAATGGATGAACGAGACGAGTTCTGGGCCTAAGTTGTATTTGTTGTATTGCAAGTGTATTGAGCAAAGCCACGGTGAGCAACTTGCATTATAATATGCCAGTAGAGACTAAGGCCGTGATCCAACGATATCGCTTTCGCAGCGCACGGCTAGGACCGCTTCGATTCAAGTGTTCGTTCTCCAGATTTCATTGGATTCCCATGGAGCAGTGCTCAATCATAAATGTAACCCCTGCTCTTCGTGTAGAAACATTGCTTTGCGTTTCCGCCATGGCGCTAGCTTTTTGTACATTTCAAGCCGCGCGGGTGAACCCCCGTATTCGCTCGTTCCGGGGGAACATCATAATGTGAAGAAAGAAAAACGTCGAGGCATTAACGAGGGTGGATATAGTGACTTTCGAGTGGTGGTATTGGTGTCGTAGGGCAATTTACCGGGCCTTGCCAACCTGGTTGGCAGCCTCTGTGTCATGAACATTGGTTAGCAAGATCCGATCACGGTGGAGCAGAGTGACAGTAAGCGTCGTGCGATTGAGATCCCACCAAGAAATGGCAGCTTCACCACACGCATCCGCTAGAATCTCGAGGCAGACCCGGGCGCATCACTCACCTCGCCTTGTAGCATCCTCCAACAAGCCCACGTCGACCTCCGAGCGGGGCAGCATCACATAGCGCACCACGCTACCACGAATGAACATGCTTTTCACGGATGACAAGTGCGGATACTTGTCAAGGTCCAGCACTTCGATATCGTCCAGCTTGATGTTCAGGTACTGATCGACCGACTTCAGGATTCCGCGGATGCGGATGTCATTTTTAAGCTCGATAGTGACGGTCTGGTTGGTAAGGGTCTTGAAGAAGCTGCAAGGAACATGGTGTCAGTACTGATCGGTTTCCATCGAGGGTGCAATGGAGGTCGGCGGTACCTGAAGAAAAGCATGATGGCGGGGTAGGGTGCGGAGAGGATTGGTTGGGAGTCGAAGATCGGTTATCGGGTAGGCGAGAGACGGCGTCGAGTACCAATTGCCGTGCTCGAAATCAAATTGGGAGGTCGTAGGGAAAGTCACTGAAGTCTGAAAGCGACGGTGCGGGTGATGCTGTGGAGGTCTGGAGCTGCGATATTAATAGTCACGTGACTCGTCACCCGGTACGGGTATGAAGAAGCAGAAATTCAAAACGCGCAACATCGCAAAAGAAAGATACGTCAAATCAAATAGAAAATGCCAGCCGCATGTATTGCATTTCTTCATGAAGTATACTTGTTGCCGATGACAAATCTCTTCAATCTTGGAATTGTATGTTGTAATGTTACTGATCCAGGTGCGAAATATATCTTGGGTCGGTGGGTACAGTTGCCTGTCAGGCTAAGGCGATTGGCATCTCTCATTTCGCATTACATTAAATGGGCTGGCCACCCGGGCACAACTAGGTAAAATATAAACATGCAAACATCAAGAACCGCTTGATACTCAGGTCGACCCGGCTCTCCGGTGTTGAACCATCTGTTTCACGCGTTTCGGCTTCATCGCCCATCCGGACAAGCAGGTCCAGCCTGCTCCATTCTTCCTCCCTTCATCAAATACTGCTCCAACTCCATCCAGCAACTTGCTTCGTTCGTGACCCATCTCAGTCCGCAAGCGGACCAACCACTGCTCCCACATCCAGCCGCCCAAAATCCCCGTGACGCTGGCAATGTCTCCCGTGCTGCCAATCGGCCCCTGCACGGCCTCGTACTCTTCAATCCCACTCGGGACCCGCGGAGCTGGCGTCTCTCTGAGTGGTTGGGGTTCAGCGGGCTCAATACCCATGGGCAGGAACATCCAGGCACGTTTGATATTGACATAGCCACTCTGGCGCAGACGAGCGAGGAAGGTCTTGGAGGCGACGGGATCGTATCCACGTGTGCGAAGATTGAATGCAAACTCGACAGAAGACGCCGAGGCATATGGACCCGCGCGAGAGATCTCTGCATCCAGAACCATGAACTCCAGATATCCGCCAGGCTTAAGACAACGGCGGCACTCCTTCAGCACCAAGTCGTACTCATCCCGATCAAGCCCGTTTGGACATTCGGTCTTCAATAGAGCATGTAAAGAGCGCGTGGTGATAACATCAAATTTGTTATTACCGAAAGGTAGCTCCCAAAGACGGTCAACCGAAACCACGCGGTGGTTCGGTGGGCCCTTGATGGCGCTATTGGCAGTTTGCGTCTGATTGACGACCGAGTAAACCTTTGTGTGGGGGAACTCTTGCGCAGCGTGCCAGCCCCACTCGCAAGAAGCATGGCCGCCGAGATCGAGGATGCGTACTGCCCGTGGCTTTTGTCCATCTTGGCTTTGAGGGGTCTTGCGTGTTCGAGTAGCTCGCTTCTCAACCGGGCTCGTCAGCATCTTGCCACCGTTCAGACAACGGAGTGCGTCCATGGCCCACATGGGTTGACAAAGCTGGGCAAGCACGAGCTGCTCCTTCTCCAGCTTGGCGAACTGCGCTTTCTGGGCTAAGACGGACGTGATGATTGAGTTGCGGGGCGCCTGGGAGAAGGGGCCCTTGTACGCGGGCCTCTCTGGACGGACGAGCTCGTATTTGCCCATCAGACTATTGAGGTGCATATCCACCAACCCGAGCCGGAAGGACTGAATCGCATCGAAGCGCAAGTTGCGGTGAAGGAAGCCGTCAGCTGAACTGGACCGTTGTCGGATTGATTGGAAGCCGCGCCAGTAGATGGAGTCCTTGCTGGCGGACAATGGTGGACGTGGACTAGGAGATTCCGGGACACCCTCGGCAAATCGAACGGCCTTCTTTGGTGCTGCATCGACATCTTCCTCTTTATTTGGTGACTCTTCCCCGGCATCGGAGTTTGCTTTTGAATCAATCTCGTTGATGGGATTGGTCTCATTCAATACGGAGAGGTAGGTTGATTGGGCTGCGAGCCAGACGCTTGTCCGGTCGAGACTCGCGGCAGCACGTTCCTGCAGCTCATTGTCATATAACTCATCATACTCGTACACATTACTGGGTTGAGTGATCTCCTGAACGGCCTCGAAGGTTGCACTACTTGGGCTGTGGGTATCCTGTCGCGTGAGGGGTCGAGTGGGCGTGTCGCATGGAACTCGAATAGCAGTAGGCGGACCTTCCTCGTCACGAATCGCAGTGTCGGGATCATCTTCTTGGACCCGGTCAGGCCATTCAATGACCTGCTCGACGACCTCTCCTTGGTCTCGAGAGAAAGGGAGATCGTAGAAGCCCTCGGCCACGGCGGTGGTTGGTGGGAGGTTGTCGGTTGGAATGGACCATGTATGACGAGCGCGCGGTGCCAATGAAGCAAAGAAGCCACCGGGCGATGGAATGCTCAGCTCACTGAAGCTGTACCCGGACAATTCCGATGCAGGAGTAACTCCATCGGCGCTTCGTGGGCGACTTCGTGGAGCAGGCTGGAGTTGCCACATCTCGTCGTCCTCCGAGGTCTCGGACCAAGATTCGGGCGTGCGATCCAAGGGAATATGCTGCAACATTGCCAAAGCGCCATCCGGCAGATACAGCCCTTGATCTGAAGGAGTCGATTCCCGGGGCGGCTCGTCATAGGGCATCTCACTCTCATAGCCTAATGAGGACGTCGAAGCGTTCTGCAAAGCCGTGGGAAGTGAGGGAAAGCTCCCGAGAACATTGTGCCAGTCGCCCCGTGGACTCTCAATGGCAAAAGAAACTGCTTGGAGGTCCGTATTGCCTTCGTGACTTCCCAGATCCTCGGCATCACTCCCATCGAGATCGGGCCGGACGTGGACATCCTGTGCATCCCAGTTTGTATCAGGAAGCGAATGAGTGTCTGGAGTGGCCAGCGCACTGATATTAGATTCCTGATCGGAGGAAATATCCCCATCCAGTGAGGGTGGTGCATAGGGCGCCGGGACTGATCGACCGAGCATGGAGAGCGCCGCAGGAGAGACGGGGATCTTGGACGGAGGTGTCGGCGGGACAGGCGAACTCTTGCAGGTGCCAGTGAGGGAGGGCCAGTGCGTGGACGAAGGAATGTCGAGGGTTAGCCCACCTCGACTTTTGCGACTGCCACGACTGCCAGTCGAAGTGACCGAATTCCTTGTGATTGGTGTCACCAAGCTAGAACGCTGCGTCCCCGGCGCCGAGAAACACGAGTCGCTAATCTCGGTGGAATCGTCATCGTCCATGTCATCGTCATCCGTGGCATCGTACAGATCGTCGAACCCTTTCATCTGTTGCTGCCATTCGTGGTCCGAACATGAAGAGGTTGTCCCTGCTGAGAGTGGCGACATCAACCGGGCTAGTCGGGCATGAGTCGGCACTGATAAGCCGCTGGTCTTGAGCGTCAACTTGGGGCTGGCCAGGGGGGGTTTGAGTCGTGAGGGGCTACCGGCGCCCTTTTCAGAAAACTGCGACTCGCGAGTATCTTCCATTATGGTATTAAGCACCGTGCCTCGGGCCTGCCGGAGAGGCGGACATCGCACAGGTGGAAATCGGAGTGTGTCAGTCATGACTTCCTCCTCGTGTCTTCCTGCTGCTAGACGTTTGGTGGTATTCAGTTATATAGAGTTGAAACTCGAGAGCGTATGGTGTTTTTCCAGTAACACGACGTTCTATGGGTATCTCAAAATAGTAGTAAGAAAAGGCATCGACACCGATCAACGGGGTCGAGATGCGTTAGTGTGAGGATATCACGGGAATCGAATGCCAATTAGCAGAAGAACAGAGAAAGACAGGAAACTAGCCACAGCTACCAGAGCATGAGGCCGGACAGGACGGAAAGAAAGAAAAAAAACGAGATGACGAAACGGAGGGACGCGAGCGAAGACGCTCCGTTGCGATGAGGACCGACTTGTATATACTCTGGTCCATTTCATGCCAGCCTCGTCCGGGCGCCTATCCGCTCTGGGGGGCATGTACTTCTGCAAAAGCTAATCCCTGTCCCCGGCGCAATTGTCAGAGTCAGTCATCAAGCTACTGCAAGATTGGGCACGACCAATCCACCAACCCCTGTTCGGGCAAGGTGAACGAATACTGCTGATTGGTGCACTGGGCGAAATGGGCGCGTCGCCCAGCAACAATTTCTTGCCTAACCCAGCACACTCGAGTTCAGAGAGACGGCTCTCGGGAGGCATTCAAGAGGAATCACGAGGGGTACAAATTGCATGACTGATGCTTGGCGGAGCGAATCAGAATGGCCGAAATTGTGACGAACCGATGGCGGGTGGCAGGGGCATCGTGAAGGAGCCAGTTATTGGCCATGTCTACGCGCCGGGCGGGCTAAACTTAGCATCCATTAACTGGTCGAAACTAATGCAGCCTATACTCTTCAGGTGTGATTAACGGGCATTTGTGATCCGCGCATCGGCCCGTGCGATCCCTGAACTACACTGGATATCACAGTAACCATCGCCAGTAACCCCACTTTGCAGCCCGTTCTGGCGCGAAATGCAGGATAATTAATTCTACATGACGCATAGTCACGAGGGACTTGGGAAATAATGATTGGAGTTCACATTACTGGGTGAACAAAAGAGGGGTTAAGTAATGAGAATTTATTCAAGTCTAGCCCAGTTTGCAGCAGACTAGAGGTGCCAGTATTAGTCTGGATTAATTTTAGAACTTTGATTCATCGAACCTAATTTACTGCATAGTTACATCTTGTGGTCACCAGCTGGGTCAATGGTTTCTGCCCGTCCACCTATCAGTGTGCAGAGACCAAGTAAGATGGGAGAGCGAGGGCGCATAACGTCTGCCCGAACCGGGTTGTCTGAAGAATTGCCTGCGCAGACTGGTGATGAGTACTCCGTCCAGGCAGTTCGATTCGACACCTTGTAGTTTTAAGATTCAATAGTTCTGAAGCCTTTGACTCATTCAAAGTACCGTGCCCAGGGAATCAGATTGCGAGCGACACCCGAGAATAAGATTTGTATCGAGCGCTGAGATAGAGTTCCTGATGGCTGAATTACATTGAAGAACAGGGGCATGTAATCGAACAATTAGAGGAGAGGAATAGCATAGACCCGTGAGCCTAAGGGCGGATGAGATGTGACACCCAACCTAACGAGTGCAGAGAGTGCTAACACAACTTCCTTGGACTGAGATCAGGTACAGAATCTCGAGGGGATAGTTCGTCTTAACTGAAGATTCAATTCTAATATCGAGAACACGGAGACGCCGACCGTTTGATACTACATCTTCTGGCACTTCTACAGCCACAGCGGTTGGCTGCGGTACGACCCTTGCAGAACGCAACGAAAGGGCTCTCTCCATGTATAATACTTAATCCTGCTTTCTAGTTGTCTTACTTGAGTATGTGCATGATTACATTTGTTGACACATACTTTGGGAATCATCTATGACTGAAGCAACAAACTACATTTCATGGGCCTAACATTTCGCATCATCTCTGCAAAGTAATAATCGTCCAATAATGTCGGACCTCGCTCTTGATACCCGATGCAGGTCCACTCCCTGCACCCTGCAAGTACCGAGCAAATCCATGACCCAAGGGTGATTCATGTAGCGCCTGCCGGCCTTAGCTTGAGACGAGGACGGGCAGATGTTTCTGGCACGCCGTGGCGCTTCCAAGCGAATCTTTGCCTTTTCAGGGAGATGATCCGATATTCGGTCTTGAAGTCGAGACATTAAGTCTGGTCAACCATTGGGATCTGACGACATTGTTGTGCAAGGGAGGGTGTGTAGTTGGTCGACAGCGACGGAGGGCATTAGACATGTCAATAGCCTCAGGTGATCTCCCGTCCGTGATGGATCAAATACGATAATCGAATAATCGAATGTTCATCGTGAGTTTAAAACGCGAAATGGACATTACAAACTTGGTAAAAGAACTACATCGTTTTTGCAAGTGAGAATAACAATCAAATGTATACTTGATACAACTTTATCGCACGACCCCTCCCTGACCGCTTACCCCTCACTTCCATACACCAGCGCCTAAAAGTGCCATATTAGAAGAAGGCAATTGCTGGCGAGCAACGGAGAAACCAGCTCTTAGGAATGAATGAATGGCTCTGTTAGACCTGGTTGAAGTCCGCCGTAATTGTATTGGGAACGGGCCCGTCCGGGTCGGATCACAGTGCGCCGCGGTGCTCCCCCACTTTGAGACGTTGACGGCCATTGAAATAACTATGTTTGGATGGCCCGTCATACATGGAGGCTGTCGTTGAGATGATGGTCAGTTGTAGGGAAGCTGGTCCATCCGGCTACTTTTTTGCCCTTGTCATTTGCTCGAGCTCTGATGCCGATGAAGGTTAGCAGTTGTTTGTTGTAGTGAAGAAACTGGCTGGCGGTAAGACCTTGGGAACTGAACTAGCGAATGGCCGTAGATTATGACCTTGATCGGTCGTCAAGGACCCAAAGGCTCTATCAAGTGCGCGAGAGAGCTGCGAAAATCCGGAATGGTTTATTGCCTCCCCAAATAACCTTAAGATCAAAGGCCACAACAGAGCCGAAATTGGCCAAACCCCTGTCCGAGCTCCTGGTCAGCCGACTTGGTCGATTTTTCCCCGTTGCTGTCAGGCGAAGTAAGTCTCGGTCATCCGTACTCCGTGAGGTTATATAGCATCGGAAAGACCCGACCCGATCGGGCAATCCAGAAGATCCTTGGTTATTTGTCAGGGACCACCATACACCCTTCAGTACGGTGTATATAGTAGTGACTCCCCATCGTCAGAGTTGGCTAGTCAACTACGGGATGCCATGATCAATACGGGGTGTAGACAGGTTGAGTTCTGGGCTCTGAGTGGACAAAGTGGACTAGTCGCAGTGATGAAGATCGCAGATTGGCAGCCCACGTGAGACGCGGAGCCCTTATCGGGCAGTTTGCATCATCGAGAAGACTTTTGTGGTTGGAGAGAAGGTAGTCGCAGTATGGGACTATCATGCTTCTCCTCTACAGGATCAATTACTTGGTGGTAGAATCTGAATTGATCAATGCCAAGCACCTCTTCCGTTGACATCACCGCAACCAAAAGCAAGCAGCACTAAAAAGAAACACCGCGACTTGGTACGACGAGGGGGCCCCATCTTTCGGTGAACCCGGCATATCCACCTTGGGTCGCCACTCTGCCTGATGTCAACTAAACACGATAGTAATAAAATAATAATACAATGCTAGCAATCGGTCCGGAAGAGGAAATTAACTTGCGGCTTCAAGCTCGGGAACCAAGCTAGTTCCATTATCGTTACCTTACTACTTATCTTTTTTTATCCGGCCACTTCCTCCCCCTCCATTCCCTTCCCCTCACCCCAACATTCTTTCTTCTTGCTCTTACTTCTCCTCATACTCTTTCCTCCTCCTCCCATCATCCTCTTCGATTCCCCATCATGGCGCCGCCGGCCATTATTGCCCCTTCCATTCTCAGCGCCAACTTCGCCAACCTCGGCCATGATTGCGCCACGAAGATGAAGGAGGGTGCCGACTGGCTCCATATTGACATCATGGACGGCCACTTCGTTCCCAACATGACCATCGGTTGCCCCGTCGTCTCTCATATTCGTGGCTGCGTCGACCGGCCACTCGAGCCCGGCTCGAAGGGTACCTTTGACTGCCACATGATGATCATGGAGGTATGTCTTCGTCTCGACTGAGAAGCTCCAATTGCGTGTTCCAGAATGAGTTCCCGCTGATCGCATTTCTGCTTTCCCCCGCGTTTACAGCCTCACAAATGGGTCAAAGAGTTCAAAAAAGCGGGCTGCGACTTGTACTGCTTCCACTATGAGGCAGCCGTCTCCTCCGTTGCTGCGACCGATCCCACCGATAAGACTACGGAGCGTACCAGCCCGCGCGCATTGATCAAGTATATTCACGAGCAGGGTATGCAAGCCGGCATTGCAATCAAGCCGGATACCCCGGTCGACGTCCTGTGGGACATTCTTGAAAACCCCGACCAAACCGAGCGCCCTGATGTAGGTGACCCAAGCTCTGCACAGCAAGCTTCTTTTTCCCCTCGGACCACGCCCATACCCAGCGAATCCAAAGTTCCATACTAATAACGGCTTTCTCCCGGCAGATGGTCCTCGTCATGACAGTACACCCCGGTTTCGGCGGCCAGAAATTCATGGCCTCCGAGCTGCCCAAGGTTTCCGCCCTGCGCGCACGGTATCCCGATTTGAACATCGAAGTCGACGGTGGCCTCGGTCTGGGCACAATTGATCAGGCGGCCGACGCAGGCGCCAACGTGATCGTGGCGGGATCCGCGGTTTTCGGCGCGGCCGACCCCGCCGACGTCATTCTCAAGCTGCGTGAGGCAGTCCAGAAGCGCCGGGGCCAGTCTTCAGCATAGCTGTGAGCATAGCAAGAGCGTGACCGATTAAATGACCGACCGGCCGAAACCGAACACTCCCCGGTTTATTTTATACGACCAGTCGATTGACGGGCAACTCTTACACGGTGGAAACCGAAGCGAGACTCTGCGCTTTCAGATTTTCAACTACCATTTCACAAAAGGGGTTACGGTGTTTGTTGTCTTCTTCTCGACGTGTGCACTCGTCACGCGACTTGTGGACGGATTTTCTTGTTGGACAGTCCTTTTCAAGTCCATCTGGTTTCTTGGAGGGGTCTCATGTTGTCCACTCCTATTGAGGGACATACTATTTGCGTACTGTTTGTAATGATGAGCTATGAATGGCATTTGATATGAACCTGTTTCAATTTCTTCAACTGACCATTAAAGATTGGTCAAAATGAACTACCGAGGCAAGCTAAGTGATGACCAAACTCCAGAGACAAGTAAGAGCAGATAAAAGTTGCAAGAAGCGATGTGGTATTGCATTGCTAGGACTGGAAAAAGATCTGGTATCATAAACACTGCTGACAAGAATCGACGTGGGCAAACCGAGGGAGCTCCTCTCATGTACAGATTCATTAACGGTCGTAGACAGCGTAGACGCCTACTCCTTCGTGGTCGTCTCCTCCGCAGCCGTGGTATCTTGCGCCGTAGTAGAAGACTCCTCCTTGGACTCCTTGGTCTTGGAGGGTTCAACATTTTTCTCATCTTCCTTCTTCTTCTCTTCCACATTCTCCGCCTTCTCCGCCTTCTCCGCCTTCTCCTCCTTCTCAGCCTCCTCCACAATAGGACCCTCCTCAACGATACTCTCATCTTGCGGCCTCTCAGCAGCCTCCTTCCTCAACGCATCCAACGAACCCCCCGGCGCATCCGCCCCGGAAATCGACTGCCGGATCTCCGTCACAATCTTATCCTTATCCGCATTATCACCGGTCGAAATAATCGAGCCCCGATGGTGCTCCACAAGTCCCAACTCGACCGCATTATCCACGTGGAAGTTCGCCGATGACACGGCCGCAACTTCCGGGATGAGAGGAGGTCGTTTGGGGCCGGCGGGCGAGTCGGGGGCGAAGTCGGGGAGCTCGGGGGCAACGGAGACGCGGCGTGTCTTGGGAGGGGAGGAGCATTGGGGCTGGGTGTCTTCCTCCTTTGACTCGAGCTTTGGCTCGGCCTTCTTCTCGTCCGCTTTGCTCTTAGCCTTGTTGGCGGCTTCGGAGCTAGCCTGGCGGAGGGCGAGGACGGCGTGTTCGTCCTTCTTCTCCTCGGGTCTGGTCGCGGGCGGGCTTTGGATTTTAATGGTGGAGGGTTTGGGGGTGGTAGGTGCTGGCGCGGGGGATTCGGACACGGGGAGAGGATAGCTGGTAGCGGGCATACCATCCACATCCTGGACGCTGTTGACGATCATGCGCAGTTCGCCGAATTCGTTCCATTCTTCAACTTCTTCCAGGTCCTACGGGGTAGATGGAGTTAGCGCTGTAGCCCACGATGGTGCGACGAGGTGGTTCATACTCCGACGACATTTCCATACTTGACCAGGCCGGGCAACTTCTTCCCCTTAGACCGACGGCCCCAAAGCTTACGGGCAGCCTCATCCGTGGCAACATCGATAGCACGGAAGGGAAGCTTATTTGCCTTGAGGATAGTCTCGATACGAGCGGTCGCGGTGACGATGTGCGAGGACCCCGCCGTCAGGGAGGTGTAGAGATAAAGGGTCGAGTCGGACATGGTGGATAGTCACTAGAAGACAGGGTGGTCGATGAGGAGAAGAGAGCAACAGAGGAAGATGGTGAAGAGACAGAGCTCTATCGGAAGAGAATAGGGGCTCCCAAAAAGGAGTCAAATGAAATTGAGCAAAACGCCGTTCCGTTCTCTTGAAACCGCCTCTTGATTTGTTTGGGCGTGCTTGGGCCGATGACGTGGGGGTATCACGTGATACATATGATCGTCACAGGGGACTCGCAACAGTCACACTGGGGAACTCCGTCAGTCTCTATGAACTGTAGTCAATCCACTAGAACATCAATAAAATATTCCCTTATAGTATGATGGCGTCGCTAGTAGTCTACGCTATAAAAAGGGTCCAGCCAACTTACGCCGTAACTCCCGCCCTAGAAGGCTCAACCTTTTATACCATCTCCACATCTCGCAGCTTGTTCTCTCCTACAGCTACCCATGTATCCCGGTCGCCGCCCGTGCCACCTTGACGTCAGCCCGTTTTCCCACGCGGGTCCGCGCCGCCAAAATAACGGCCAATCTCGGACCATCAAAACCCCGAAAGAACGGCTCCGACCGGTGGGGGAGGAATGGTTATGGTATAGGAAACGGTTGGGGTCGCCACAGGTTGAAGCTAGCGGTGCTGCTGGAAAGATCTCAGTATTGCCGGGGGTCTTTAGTTAGGACCAGGTCAGGGAGATTAAGGAGATCGATCAGTCTGTGAGCTGGCGGGCCCTGACTTCTCCAACAGCTCCCAATATGCGATGATCCTGACTTCTCAGACGTTGCAATATCTGTGAGGTATTCCCGTAGCTGCCCGAACAGGAACCGCCCGAGGGAGATATAGAGAGAGAAGCGGGATAACCCAGCATAGCTGCCCATGTCAACCAGCACAGCTCCGACAACCAGACGTCTGAATGCGATCAGAATTGGGAGACAGACATCTCTCTTTTGATGTCTGAAGTCTGCTTCGATCTCGGTTGGCAGCTATCACTCCTCCGTCTGAAACCGGTGGCAGGTGAGGCATGAATCAAATTCAGGCCTTCAAAGTGCAAATCCGCCTTGATTCAGCTAGATTCTTCTCTGTCTGTTGCACCGCCGCCTACGCGGCAAAGAACCACGCGGCCGCAGTGCAACGATGAACCCGTGATATCATCAACTGCTAGCAATATTCAAAACACGGCTGCTCTGCAGTATGCTTGACGAAAAGCCCTGCAGCAGCCACGGCATGCACGCCCTCGCCCCCGGAGCAATGAGGCTGAGTGACCGCGTGTCCTGGGGGCTCGATGGTTGGAGCTCCCATGTAGAGGCCCAATAAAGAGACCCCCGGGACGATGGAGCTCGTGATGGGCCTCCCTGCGCCTCGAGTGACATAGTTGCATCGCTGGATCGAGATGGGAAATGTAGACTGAGCACGAGACCTCGGTTCTGACAGCGCGATGATGTTGCCATGACGGAGAGATCGATGGAGGGATCGTTTGGCCGTGCCAGGTCGGGCCTCGACAGCCCAAGCTCACCGCAATTCTGGGGGAGGGCTCATTCGAGATGGCCGCGAGTGTGTATTGCACGGATCGCTGGGAATCGGTTGGAACTTGGCGAGTCGGAAGATGAGCCCCTGGACAAGGTTGTCACGGGCGCATTAGGAGCTGGTGCACCAGAGCTGCTGGTTTGTCGCTGATACTATTCTCGTCCATCGAGGGGAGAGATCGAAGCATGGACCGTGTAGAATGGAAATGGCTGGGCACTCAACCCCCCATCGTACATAGCAAGTCGTCAGGTCAGAGTCGGACGGTGCGGAGTACTCCCCTCTGTACGGATAATTTATGAAAGCCAATCACCGCGAAGTCACCCCATTCGGCCGCGCAGTCGAACTCGACACATTGTCGTCGAACTGTCGAATGACGAAATCGAGTGGGATTCCCTGCCAGGTTCAAATCGTACTTTTGCCCTTGACTCCTGCATGAAACGACAGCAGGTGTGTAGAGCCTGAAACTCAAAGTCGCATCTCCACCCAACCGATCATCGAGTTCTGAATGCTGGAAATGAAACTTGGTCGCACTATGTAAATAACATAACACTTAGGAGGGTATATTGTCAGACTCCTGTGCTGGAGGTAGCATGCATCAGAATGCACCGATGACAGCTGGACTGGTCGAGCAAAGTCAGGAGGAGACTATCTAGCATAATCGAATCCGTCAATCATGAACTACCTACTGCGTACCAACCGTGTAATCCATCCTCCTACGTAGCACGTGATTAGCTAGCTCTCCGCAAGATCGACACGATCACAGGAGAACCCGGGTATATTCCATGTCGATCAGGGCCTTCCACCTGCCCTAAATGATAATTAATTGACACGTACATGGACTGGCATACTGTCGCACCTATCATCAGATCGGTCATGGAGAGCCCTGAAACGCGGGCGGCAACGGCGTTTTGGAGATGGTCGAGTCCTTGAGGATAGCTGCAAAGGAAATCCAGGGAGCAGAGATCGAATCGGAAATTGGGTATACCGTAGAGTACATCTATGCAGTATGCAGAGTAAATGTCAGTATGCTCCATTTTTAGAGTCGTTAATGTTCACGGACTATGGAAATTGCGGATACTTCGAGACCCCCCCCGCGAGAGTCACTAGTGTGGTGATCGTCCCAGCCTAAATCTTCCCATTTTCCCCTGAACGAAGTGAACCGGTCAAGGGCTCCTGACCAAATGAAGAAGCTTAAAGAATTCTATTCGATTCTGTACGACATAGAAGCGATCATAGTATGTCCAGTATTACATTTAGATATATGCAATGAAGAGAAGTATGAGAATGTACACAAACATGCTTACCGTATGCAAGTAATGCCTCGAGCCATGGTTCGCTGGCGGGAATCGCGGACCTGACCATGGATCCCAGTTCCACCCATAACCCTCCCACTAGTCAACTAGCCAAAACACCAACTCATCAGCGAGAAAGTCGCTACCAAGTAACTGTAGACGGTCTCCATTCCTGCGAACTTGGGAACTAATGGCGATGCACTTTCCGCAATGAATTGCAAGTCTATCCCCACCCGTCCCCTCCACCAGTCCACCACATCTTGGGCTTTGGCGTCTTGGGCTTTGGGCGCTGGGCGCCATAGGGTCACCGGGGCCCAACTGATGTTCCAGTTGCAGATGGGCGACAACGTGGCAGACGTTGAGCCGGGGAGTACCTTCTCCCGGTCGGCCTCGCCTCGCTGACTAGTTTGTTATCTGCTACCTTGGTTTACTCCCTTTTTCGTTTAGTTTTTTCTGTCCAGGATCAAAAGTGGAGGACGGGTTGGGTAGATAGAATCAAGAGAACCGACGGCCGCCGTAGGCGCGAAGGATTCGAATAAGGATGTTTCACGGTGTTAATAAGAAGAGTAGATAGTCAAGTCGCGAAGAGGGTCCTTCGGTATGGTTTCTGAGTTGTACATTACGGAGTATGACTGGAGAACTATGGAGGAAGTACCAATGTTAATGTTAATCGACCACTCGAAATAGTAGGATAGAATACTTACCGACACCTTCACGGAATACAGGAAGGGACTTCCATACTAGATCCGTTCACATTCTCGAACAAGACTCTCTCTCTCTCATCTTCAAATCCGACGAAACATGGCCTCTCACGAATCGTCCATCCAGCCCATCCCCATTGCCCTGCACGCGGGCGGTCGGGTCCTCCTCAAGGAGGATCCGGTTCGCTGCCTCACTTTCCCCAGTGGTGCTCCGCATCGCAAAGGCCTCTTCCCGAATCTCTCGATGTGCAGATGCACTCTCCACCAACCAGATCAGCCACATCGCACCCATCACAAACGGAGCATCCAATTCGATCGGCCATCGCTTCTGAGGCTGTGATTTCCTTCCCCTCGATTCAGTCGCGGAGAAGGGAATCCAATCGATCGGTGAGATGGAGGCGTTGGCGTTCCAGCATGTAGTTTCTTGTTGACTGAGCTCTAGTAAGTAACTAATCAGTGGATGATGGCCGTGATAGGAGGCAATCCGACCGGCGGGTCCAGAACGTTGGAAGCGGGAAAAAAGGGGAGCTCGGAGCTAGAGAGTCAATAATGTGCCATCATCGAAACTTACGTGTGTTTCCTTGGTTGACCGTTGATCATTCGGACCCTCATCATTCTATACTACTTTCTCATACTTCTACTACTTCCACTACTACTACTTCATTACTCCGTATAGTCTCATGGAGTATAGCACCCCGTCCTAAGGCTAAGCTTGGTCAACCCCCATTCTCACCCGAGCATCAGTTCTCGTATCCTCGGGAGTTTCTTCTCCTCGTCCTCTTCTTTGCCTCTCTCAGCCTCTCCAGCTCATCCCATCCCCATTCCAGAACTTTTGTCATCCGCGACTCGACCACTGCCTCCCTCATTTTCTTCCTTTCTTTTCCCTTCCTCCTTCATCCTTTTCCGCTGCCCAATTCATCCACGCTCCCATCCGGATTGTATATTTTCGTTCCCTTTTCAATTTCCCCCCCCCCCCTCAACCCGATTTTTGCAAGTGGCCAGACGCCTTTCGGTGATAGTTAGCTGGTCCTTCCGATCGTTCCATCCTTCTATCGATTACCTCCCCCTCCACAGAGATCCACCCCGACCATTTGATAAGATTCCCCCCGGTACGTTCTTCTCTTCTCCCCACCATTTGAACGGCCTTTTTTACACTTTTCTACTTCTTCATACCAAACACACCCACTAACCCAGCAACAAGGCGACTTTCTCTCTCTCTTATTACCCATACCTCATTCACGAGTCTGCTTCTATCCACTCTCTACGCTACTGATACCATAGGGTGCATCCTCGGCCGAGGTGAGCATTCCTCCTCATTTACTGGTACCCCCCATTTCATCATCATGGCTCTACATCCGGTCGACGACGACGAACAACTGTTCACTCGGGCCATGACCTCCTACCGCGAAGCATTTTTGGTTCGACATGCCCACCTCCCGGAATCCCAACGCCATCAACTTTGGACACGGCAGCTCAGCCAGTTCATCCCGGCCATCGACAATGAGCCCACCCCGGCGCCAGTATTAAGTTCGGGGAAACGAACTCGACAGGATGCGACGCCACGGACCCTCCCTGCAGCCGAAGCTGCTTCCGCCTCGTCTGGTTTTGGTTCTGGTTCTGGTTCCGGTTCTGGTCCACCGCAAGCGAAACGGCGAGCCACCGTATGTGTGACCTTGGTTACTTGCTCCCGCCTTTCTCTTCCTCCTCCTCCTCCTCCCTCCTCTCCTAACCGTTCCTCTGCTCTTCCCCTTCTTACCCACCACCCCATCTGAAGCCTCTATCCTTCCGCCCACCCGTCACTGGATTGACAAATGGCAGACCCCGGATCTCCCCGTGGCCGCCGACCTACGACGCACCTCCTCCCACACTTCCTCGGTAGAGACGTTCCGGAAAGGCGCGTCGCTATCCGGGCAAGGATCCTACCGATATGGCCCCGTGAAGGCCCCCGTGGGAGGCAGGGATGCGATGGCTTTGGGAATGGTTCGTTCCCAAAGTCAGCAAATCCCCGTCTCTCACCGGCATCCGCCAGCCGGAATGGCCATGGGGAAACGACAATCCTTCGGCCCGACCCGGACCCAACAACAACAGCGACCCTCTCTGGATCACGTCAATGAGATGGTCAACGAATACTCACCGTCCGAGTTTACGAAACGCTTGGATGACCCCGGTAGCAATGTCCACCAGGTCCCTTTCTATGGCTCTGGCTCTGGCTCTGGCTCTGGCGCTGCAACCGTCCTACCGACCGCCAACACCACCTCGGCGTTGACTCTTGGGCTGGCAAATCTTGGATCGAACGGACTGGCCTCTCTTCCGAGCTCGCACTCTGGACAGCCATCTCCCATGGCCGATGCCTCGCCAGCTGGTGCAGTGGAGATGACTCGCAGCGGAACTACCGACACCATCATCGGTGGATTCGACAACTTTGGCTTCGATCAAGCTGCAGCTCATCTGGATCTGGAACCGGCGTACCCTATCCCCCCGGAGTGGGTGCCCACATCCACCTCTGGCCTTCCCTATCAAGACTCCTTTCCTTCCTCCCTCTATCCTGACCTAGATCCCGGTGCATCGTTCCCTTTTTCCTATCCCTCCTCATTCTCCACCTCTGCACCTCCAGCAACGCCGTTCCGGCCGCAGCAAGTGCCAGCCACTATGTATCCCACGCCGACCACCACCCTCTCCCCGCCAGAGGCAGTCGATATGAAGCCATCGATTTCGGATGGAAGTAATTCTTCCGCAACGGCAGCTTCCTCTCGTGCTGCTCGCCGTACACAAGAGCAAATTGCCCACGGTGCACGACCTATCGCACCCAAGCGTGAATCCCAAGGCGATACCCACCTCCAACCCGATCCCAACGATCCCAATCGCATGATTCGCATCTCCTCCGCTGACGGCACCACCAAGGAAGTCGCCGCAATCCCCAAGGCCTCCATACATCGCCCTCCACGGCCCAAGACGTACTGTCACTTGTGCAACGACCAGCCAGAGGGCTTCCATGGGGAGCACGAGCTGCGTCGACACATTGACCGAGTGCACGCGCGGGTGCGCAAAGTCTGGGTCTGCGTGGATATCTCCTCGGACAAGAAGTTCCTCGCCAACTGCAAAGCCTGCCGAAACGGCAAGCGATATGGCGCAAACTATAACGCAGCCGCGCACCTGCGGCGCACGCATTTCAACCCGTGTCAGCGTGGCCGCGGGGGGCGTGGCAAGGACAGTGAGAAACGCGGCGGCAAGGGCGGCGGCAACCAGCCGCCCATGGAGGTGCTAAAGCTCTGGATGCGGGAGACGATCGAGAGGGCAGATGAACACTCGGCCGACACCTTTGAAGCCGAGGGTCAGGAGGAGTATGCGGGGAGTCTGCCGTCAGACTACAAGGGTAGTCCGCTTATGCGCGGGCTCGGAGACGGAAGTGGTCCCATGAGTATGGGCATGAGCATGAGCAGCTCCTATGGGATGGATGGGATGGACCCGACGCCCATGCATGGCCATCATCTCGGCAGTGGCCCAAGTTATGAGGGTTTTCCGGGCATGTCGGCTAGTTACGACTTTGATGCCACGCTGGAGGACCCCTTCTATCGGGACATCCAGTAGATCTTGGCGGAGGTGGAGACGTATCTCATGTGAGCGATCGTAGTCTCCCCCCGTTTCTTATCGACAGTGTTTTTTTTGATCTTTCGTGGATTTGACGTTGGGTCTCAGATTTGACCTTCTGTTTTGCGTTGCTTTGTTTCGGTTTGTGTATTTATGCATCCAGTCCCGCGTTGCTCTGTATATGGACCGGGATGGAAGCAAATTGGATATATGGGATTTGGGGGTCCTGGATTGGGGGAGTTTCGTTTTTGGTCTATTCTTCTTCTTTGGTTTGGTTCTCAGGGCCCCGTTTCAGCTTTGCCGCTGGGCAGTTTGAGTTGGCGCCTGAAATCTTTGTCGGTTTTTGACTTTGGCATTGCCCCAAGTTTATTTTTTGTTTCTGACTTCTGACTTGACGTTCGGAAGCTTGTTTTGTTTTAGGCTGATTTTTTGGGGGCCGGGTCTGTTTCTGTGGTTGGAGTGAGATGTCTCAGGGCGGCCTGAGTATTGTACTGAACACTCCAGCGACCTACGCAGCAACCTGGCCTCCTTGTACTGACACGATTGATGACAAAGGACGAGCCTTTTCGAGGCTTGTATCCGTAGCCTAATGACCCCTGCCATCATTAATGACATAACATGACCATTCCTCACACATGAGACAAGGGGCACTAGAACGTTGAGGAATTGGTGCACAGGGCTGCACTCCAGAAATAGGAACTCCATTCGTAGTGCATCTGGAAGTAAATAGAGAAAAAAAAAAACCACTTTCTTCCTAGGGGGGCGCAACTCAGGCAGCAGCAATACACAGTTTACACATTCCCACGTACGGAGTACGCCGAACATGGGTACAAGTAATAACCGTACATGGGTACATGTAATAAAATACAGGCGGTTGAAAAACAAGGCTAAAGCCAAGCAAGAACTGGCCGATCTTCCGGTTCGCCGAGGCCAAATGCTGGTGAATGGTTGGGGGCCGATGGATAGTGGGGCACGACGAGGTCGGAGTTTGACTGGGTGTGACACGGTGGCTGGAGGTGTTTGGGTGTTGGCTCCAATCGGGAGGGATGAGTGGAGCGCGAGGTGTGGCTGACGGCGTTAGTTGGGTGGTTTGGCAACTGGTAGGGCTGGCTTGAGTGGAGGAGTTGGATGGCTGGAGAAGGTGAAGGAAATGTGGCTGAGAGGGGAAATTACGGAAGTGATATAGGATAAATTACACAGTACCTACGGTAGAATAGTGCTTTTGGACCTTTTCCTAATAGATAAGATCCTCGGTGTAGGGACTATCTATACGGGGTATAGTATGAGCCCTGGATATTTTGGAAGTTTCTTAGGTTTACATAGTCTAGTGATCTGACAATACGTGGCTCCTCTTCTAGGGTATTGATGAAATGACTTTACTCTCAATTAGGACCTTGGTTACTACTAATTCACCACTATCAATTTATTCGGGATACTGGAGGCATCCACTTTCCATTGTCTTTTTAGAAGCCCGATCTTACAATCTAATTCTCTCCTGTACTCCGTACAATTCCCCTGCACGGAATTGGTGGAGCTCTGGAGTAAACGTAATCTATGGTAAGCGGAATTGACATTCTCCAGAACTTCCGATGGAGTAAATTACTTCTACTTCGAGTATGTAGTAACGGTAAATTTCTCAGCCCTGTGACTTACACTCGGCCTTGGCTCTCTGCCAAGCAACTTGTCCCAGCCCGTACGCAGTACCGAAGAGGTACCGACCGTTCCCTGTAACTTCCAGAGTCCGACCCTCTCTCTCTCTCTCTTCTTTACTTAACTTTACATCTCCTTCCCTCGTGAAAGTCCGCCCTCCACCAACCCCAAAGGGCCCCCCAGGTAAACCTTGTTCTCCTCCTCCTCTCCTCTTGTCCTCGTCATCCTCTCCTCCTCTTCCCCCTACTCCAGCAACATTTCCCCAATTTATTCAGCTCGCTTTCAAGTCTCTCTTCATACATCCCGCCCCCCTGAGACCCGCACGTCTCCGTCACTTCGTTCGCTCACCCCTCGTTGTCCGCGACAAGCTTTCCAGACTCCCACCGCCCATCTTCATCCCTCCGATCGCATCGGTAAGTGGCTTGCCCAATCTTGCCCTTGCCCAATTTCTCGTCTACAACCCTCCAGCCTGACCAGCCCTTCCGGCCATTTACCTCGGTCGCATTGTCTCGGGGTTCATCACTGGTCACTTAGTTGTCGCATTCCACCAGAGCTTGTCGCTGACTACTTTTCGTTCGACTCCCAGGTCCAAAACCGCCAACATGTCTTACCAGCAGCACCAGTACCCTCCCAACGCGTGAGTCCCCCGTTGTCAGTTGCCATTTCCTGGATTCTCCGACGCGGTCGCCGAGTCTCGACTTTCCACCCCCCGAGTATCACACCGCTGCTTGATCGCACTGGTGATGAATCGCACGGGGAATATGTCATTTGATGCGCTTGGCTTGTTCGATGTCTGACTCGGATTGGATACAGCTACCAGCAGCCCGGTTACGGTCCTCCCCCCGGCGAGTACGGCTACCCCCAGCAGCCTGGCTACGGCCCTCCCCAGGGTTACCCTCAGGGCCCGCCCCCTCAGGTAAATTGCGCAACCTTGATAATGAACTATGAGTAACTGGGAGCTAAATCGTTACTCTAGATGCAATACTCCCAGGCTCCTCCCCCTCAGCAACAGAAGAGCAAAGACCGGGGCTGCCTCGGCGCTTGGTAAGTTGAGATCCAGTATCTGATCTAAACATCCTACTAATTCATATATTTCCTCCACAGCTTGGCCACTCTGTGCTGTTGTTTCGTCTGCGAGGAGGGCTGCGAGTGCTGCGCTGACTGCATTGAGTGCTGCGAGATGTGCTAAATTTCATGACAATGACCTTCCAACAACTCTCTCTTTTTCTTAGCGTTTAACGCTCCGAGTCTGCTCGAAATCTCCCTGGGATTTCTGACGCAAGTCTGCCTTTTCCTGTCAAGAGTTATTTTGCCTATGTACTTTAATTGCGGGAACAGGCCGAAGGAGCCGACACCTGCAATGCGTGTAACTTCGCTACATCTTATTCCCGCCTAGTTATGTACCCAAGTTTCTTTGATAATTTACGCGTACATGTCGTGCTTGGTTTGATTCACTTTGATCAAGTATCTATTGCAGGGCGGATGTGGAGGAGATGGACAAAATATTGGAACCCACTTGGCGCAGAATTGCCACAATGGAAAAGATTCGAAAATATATTCTTTAGGCTTATCCAGGCAGCTGGATCATGTACCACCCCAAGTCTGGCTACGGATCGTCTCGTCCCGAAGCACATTTCTTGTTTTTAATAAGCGTTTGATGAGCGCTAACATGCGGGGCCATGGCTTGACTGTAGTCGCTTGCTGGCCCACGCAGCGAGATGTCATCTATTTCTCACTACGCATACGTTTAGCGCCGAGTTCATCTTGAAACAACTGGGCCCTGGAGAAGGCGCTTAGCGCCTTCGGAGCAATAAATGAATAGGCCAAGTCGCATCATAGTGTCTTTTGTTCGTTGATAAAAAATACATATCGTTTATACCAATTTGGCTTCAGCCGTGCCTTACCTATGTTTACTGCGCATCCAGGGTCGAATCCTGTTGACCATCATGGACTTTGTCTGCTTTCCCTCGATGGCGGAGGCGTGCGAGGACTATCAAGCCTCCACATTGTAAAATGTATCATGTCCTTGATCAATTCGCAGCATCATCAGTCTGAACCTCTGAAGCCATGCGACGTGTTCGATATGATCGTCGGCACTAGTACAGGCGGGTGAGAATTACCCAGTGCAAACGATATCTCAATGAAACAGGCTGATATAGATGGCTTGCACAGACTCATCGCGATCATGCTTGGTCGACTCGAAATGGACGTTGATGAATGCATCGATGCCTACAGCGAGCTCATGGAATCCATTTTCAGCGAAAAGGCTCGCAGCATTCCCATCGACTGGTCATTGAAGATTCAAGCCCAGTACGATTCAAGCAAGCTCCGAGCCGCGATCGAGAACGTCATTATTCGAACAGAGGCTTCTCCAACGGACCTCCTCAATGATGGGGTCACTCGACGCTGCAGGACGTTTGTTTGTGCAACGGCGAAAGAGACCCTGAAAATCACTCGATTACGAAGCTACGGTCCCCAAGGCGAAAAAACCCCGTCGCCAACGATATGCGAGGCTGCGCTTGCGACGTCAGCAGCTACAAAGTTCTTCGACACTATCAGGCTTGGAGATGGACAATATGTCGACGGGGCATTCGGAGCTAACAACCCTGTCGAGGAAATGGAAGAAGAAGCCTGCGATATTTGGTGCCCGTCAACCCGAGACCTAAAGCCACTGGTAAAATGTTTGTTATCCATCGGAACGGGGAAGCCAGCAACAAGGCCGATCGAAGATAACATATGGAAGTTCATCTCAAAGACTCTGGTGACGCTAGCCACGAAACCCGAAGGACTGGAGCGACGGTTCATAGCACGGTGGAGGAATGAATGCAAAGATGGGCGTTGTTATCGATTTAATGTCGAGCAGGGGTTGCAAGACGTGCATATGACGGATTATCAGAGTCGGAGCTTGATTGAGACGGTGACTCAGGATTACCTTCATCTTCCGCGACAAAAGTCTCAAATTGCAAAGTGTGTTATGAATTTGGTTGAGAAGCAAGGTACCTCGCTCTTGAAGTGCAATCAATCTAGGCGCACAGCCTATCGGACTATCTGAAGACTAATTCATAAACAGGTAAAACGGGAATTGACATCGCGACGATTGTCAAGGTATACATGGTTCCACTTCATTCCGAAAGTGGCAAATTGCTGATGAATTGTCAACTATAGGAGTATAAATTGCAAACGATACGTCTTGAGATACGAAATGAGATAAATCTATCAGGCAATCCAATCTTGCGAAGAGCTTCATGCTGGATGGTACCTTTCGAGCGAAATCCTAGTTATGTCAATCGGACCCACCTCGATCAGATCAAAAGCGGACTATTTCGCAACGAAATAATGGCCAGGGCGGCCTTGTGCGGTCTAGGCGGTGTTGGAAAAACCCAGATAGCTATCGAGCTGGCATATCAAGCTCGAGAGCAGTTCAGCGATTGTTCAATCTTCTGGATTTCTGCAGTCAACCACGAAAGCATTCACCAAGCCTATGTGAGTATGGCAGATCAGCTGGGTATAGAAGTTTCAGATGTAGAGAAAGACGACCTACCGCGACATATCAATGAATATCTCAGTCAAGAAAGTAGCGGCAGGTGGCTTCTGATCTTTGACAACGCCGACGACATCGAAACATGGAGCACTGATGGTGCATCTGCCCCGGAAATGAGCAAAGTGACGCTACCACGAAGTCCTTCTGGGGCAATTCTGTTTACTACGCGAAGTCTGAAAGTTGCCAGGCATCTCGCATCTCAGTGGGTTGTTGAGATTCCAGAGATGGATGAAGAGAGTGCAATAAACCTACTTGAGGTTCATCTATTCAAAAGGTCTCTTGTCAAAGACTACAAAGTCACCAAGGAATTACTCGAGCGACTTACTTATCTCCCACTGGCCATTGTGCAAGCAGCCTCGTTCATGAGCGAGAATGGTTGCGATATCTTGACATACATATCCCTGCTAGACAGCCATGAACAACAAGCTATCGATCTTCTGAGCGAGGACTTCGAAGATAGAGGAAGATATAAGAGTAGTCGAAATCCAATCGCTACTACATGGCTCACGTCTTTTTCTCAAATTCACCGGCAAAGCCCGATTTCTGCAGACTATCTGTCACTCCTAGCATGCATGGATTATTCCAACATACCTGTCTCGTTTCTTCGATTCCCAACTGCCATTGAGCATCAACGAGCGCTCGGTGTCTTGCAATCGTACTCTTTCATTCGTCTTAGACCTGAGAAGGGATTTCTTGATATGCACCGATTAGTCCACCTTGCCATGCGAAATTCGCTGAGGTCTGCTGGATCTTTGCAAGAATGGCAATCTAAGACGATACAGTGTCTTTCTCAAGTGTTCCCTCATCCAACGGAGATAGGTCACAGTTCTACCAAAATCTGGAGGTCGTATCTCCCGCATACACTTTCTATTCTTGAAGCAACATCAAATGACAAGAAGGCGGGGCACCGGGACTTGAGACTTGGTCTAATGGCTAAGTCTGCAATAGCTCTACGACAGGACGGCCGGTTGAGCGAAGCAGAAAAATGCACTCTTACCTTAATCAAACACCACAAGGAAGTGGACGGCGCAGATCATCCTGAAACCATTCGATCTGTCTGGATTCTTTCAACCATCTACACAGTCCAGGCTCGCTGGGAAGAAGCGCGCAATCTACTGAGCCAGATTCTGCATAGCCAGGTTAAACTGTACGGTAGTGGATGTCGTGAGATCTCTCAGACTATGTCGACTCTCGCTTTGGTCCAAGGAAAGCTTGGAGAGACAAATATTGCGGAATGGTTGGCTTATTGGGCAATTAGGGGGGAACTGCGAGAACTCAAACGAGGACCACGGAATGTCCTTGTAACTATGACCTATATGATTAATATTTACTTGGCACAGGGGCGAGTATCCGATGCCACGGCTATGGCTGAGCTTATTCACTCCATCACATTGAAGACATGTGGCCCCGACCATCCAGATACAGTGGCCGCTGAGGGCATTCTCGGGTTAACCTATCAGCAGCAAGGCAGATGGAAGGATGCCGAACGTGTTGCGACAAAGACATTCCAGAGAAGCAAGGATATGCTTGGGCCCAATCATCCCGCAACTATCGACCAGATGAATTGTTTGGCGCACATCATCAATAGACAAGGACGAGTCGCCGAGGCGACGGCGTTGATGGCAGAATATGCCGATTTATGCACTCGCGTGCTAGGGCCAAACAGCTCCGATACCCAAAACGCGCTGAAGATACTTGTTGAGTGGAAGAATAACAAGTACGTCTATTTGCATCCATGAAAGAGATTTGCTCTTCTTGGAATCTGTAATCTCCAGATGTTGCTTCAAATGATGAATACTAATCCGATTTCAGGCCGCTTCATCACCGTCTTGTTTCCCGCTTCAGTCATGCCCATCGAGCTATGGCAATCATGGAAAAACGATCACTTAATCCACGCGCTCGACTGTATGGTGGCCTCTACTGTCCACGGCGCCCTATAAAGGATGACACATTAACACGGGAGATTAAGAGCGCCTTTGATGAATTTTTCAGGGTAGAACGGGGCGAAGACGTAGAGATTTCGTTGCAAGGGGGATTCGGGGATGGAAGGTCTTCATTGGCAAGCTCGGAAAAGATTGAGTATCCGGCCCATGTGGTGCGGCGCCACACTTCTGAGTCTACTCGTTATTTTGGCGGTGGTCTCTCATTGAAGGCGTCTTCTATATTTGCGTGACTTGATCTGTGGACCGATGGTAGTTTCTACAGGTCACTCTCTCGTGCTACTCAGGAGCCTTCAGTTAGTGAGCACATCTCTCATATCTCCAGTGAAAACAAGTCCAAGCAAGTTCTAGGGAATAGTCTAGTTTATATCGGATATAAATATGTTCCCGCGGGACCATCAAGGCCAATTGAGCGACATATTCTACGTATTGTGGAGTGATGCAATCGTGAAGCAGGTCGCCCTTACTTTCGCAATTAACCACACTGCCCCACTACCCCTCAATCTCGCTATATCATTCACAATCCCCGGCAACATGCCACATTCCAGATAGGGTGACCAGGCAATCTAACCAGGCACCGAAAAGTGGAGGCTCTGCAGTGGCGGGGATGCGGAGAAAAGGTGGATTTACCCGTCAATCATAACCCGCGGTTGAAAGGTCCAAAAGCCAGGCCCCTCCCATGGCGTTGACGAAAATCATTGTCAGGTACAATGATAGCCAATAACTATATCATGGCGCATCTTCTACTGCAACCACCATAATTGCCCTGAATCTCGGCACCGGGACAGCCGCCCCTGCAGGTCACTCTGTATATAGGAATACTACATCCCCCGCGCAGGGATCGTGAATTTAGCGTCCCACACGAATTGTGCCGACAATTCCCCCGACCGTGCGTCTAGACGAGTATCCCTCTGGCCAGTGCACTCCTCATGGAGTTTTTCCCCATTCGGACACGCAATATCGGCAATTGGGCAAGCTAGTTGCGTCTATCGACATTGGAAGCGGAAAGGATCTACTTCAACTACCAGATTTGAGATGATCAAATCAACAAGAATGAGGGGGTGAGCCGGGCAAGATGAGCGAGGGGGTTACTCCGGGTTAATTGAGCTGCGTTGAAGAGAGATGATCCGTACTGGTATAAATACCTGCTGCAGTCTCCCTGTCACTGCCGCAGGAACTCCAGGATTCGATCTGGATAGGATCAGCGAGTTGGATCTGCTGGCTACATTGCATAGCAGCAAAAATGTTAGCGGAATACTTTCTTCTGCCGTTGTTGGCATCATACGCCTCCGCCGTGCAGATCTCGGTGGCTAAGTCTGGAGGTAATGTCACTACCGGCTTGCAATATGGTGCAATGGAAGAGGTATGTCTTGGAGACCTCACTCGAGAGAGGTATATACTCACCAGTGCTATCCCGTTAGGAAATCAATCACTGTGGTGAAGGTGGTCTTTATGCCGAGTTGATCCGCAATCGAGCCTTCCAGGGAAGCACCACCTACCCTTCCAACCTGGATGCGTGGTCTGCCGTGGGCGGTTCGAGCTTGTCGCTCCATAACCTCACCAGCCCTCTTTCCTCCGCTCTCCCAACCTCCGTTCGGGTTACGGGCAAGGGCACTTCCGGTCTGTCGAACTCTGGCTTCTGGGGTATTGACGTTCGGCCTCAGAAGTATTCTGGATCCTTCTACGTGAAGGGCTCTTACAAGGGCTCCTTCACTGCCTCTCTCCAGTCAAGCAGCGGTCAAGTCTTTGCTTCGGCCCAGGTTGCTTCGAAGAGTGTGGCAAACGACTGGGTGCAGCATGAATTCACCCTGACCCCGAAGAAGACCGCTTCTAGCTCCAACAACACTTTTGTGCTGACCTTCGATGCTTCCGTAAGATATGAAACGCCTAAATATTCGACTTTCATGTACTAACTCTATGTAGAAAGCCACTGGCGGCTTGCTTGACTTCAACTTGATTAGTCTGTTCCCACCCACCTGGAACGATCGTCCCAATGGCATGCGGCGTGATCTCATGCAAGCCCTGCAAGACCTGGGTCCCGTAAGTTTGCCTTGCTTGCAGAGATCAGGTTTAAGGATATACTGACCTGTTAGAAATTCCTTCGTTTCCCTGGCGGAAACAACCTCGAGGGACAGACCATCGAGGGTCGCTGGAAGTGGAACGAGACTATTGGACCATTGACGCAACGTCCTGGCCGTGCTACCACCTGGGGCTATGAGGAGACCAGTGGTATGGGTTTGGTTGAGTACATGGAGTGGTGTGATGACCTTGCCATGGAGCCCAGTAAGTACATCACCGTCAACGATATTTTACTTCTGCTTTAAACTAACGATTATTCAGTCCTTGCCGTGTGGGCTGGTCTTGCTTTGAACGGTGATGTTGTCCCCGAGGCCGATCTTGACATCTACGTCCAGGACGCGCTCGACGAGCTCGAATTTCTGACCGGTTCTGTCGACACCACGTATGGTGCTCTGCGGGCCAAGTATGGACATCCCGAGCCATGGACTATTCGTTACGTTGAGGTTGGCAACGAGGATAACCTCAACAGCGGCCTTAGCTCGTACACGTCCTACCGCTTCCAGGCATTCTATGATGCGATCACCAAGAAGTATCCCAGCATTCAGGTCCTGGCTTCCACCATCGACATGACCCTTCCCGGCAATGCGGGTGGTGATTACCATCTGTACGATATTCCAGACAACTTCATCACCAAGTTCGGCATGTTCGACAGCTACAGCGACGCGCACCCACTTCTGCTTGGTATGTGCCACCCGTAACGGAAAATTGAGCTCGATCTAATACTGATTCCCCACATAGGAGAGATTGCTGCCACCGAGTACAACAACGGTGTGGGCATTGACTGGAGCGACACCCATTTCTCCTTGTACCCCTGGTGGCTGGGCTCAGTCGCCGAGGCAGTCTTCCTCTTGGGAGCCGAGCGTAACGCAGACAAGATCATTGGAACGACCTACGTGAGTGTTGCCCTCTTACAATAGATCTCAGGTCCTCAACTGACACCGTGCCAGGCTCCATTCTTGATGAACCTCGACAGCTACGAGTGGTCTCCCACTATGATCTCCTTCAACTCCGACCCCGATCAGACCGCCAAGTCGACCAGCTGGCACGTTTACAACGTGAGTCTATCTAAAATACTCACACAAATAGTTTGATCATCACTGATAATCCCCGAAATAGCTCTTCAACAAAAACCACATGACCAACACTCTGCCCGCAACCTCCAACAGTAGCTTCGGTCCCCTGTACTACGCCACCGGCCTCAACAACAAGACCAACTCCCACATCTTCAAGGCCGCCGTGTACAACAGCACCGCTGATGTCCCTGTGTCGTTGACATTCGAGGGTATTGGACGCGGCACGACCGCCGATCTCACTATTCTGACTGCCCCCAGTGACGTCTCTATGAATGAAGTTGGTGGTTCCAACGTCGTGCAGAGCAAGGTTACTAAGATCAAGGCTGGCAAGCAGGGCGTTTTCAGCTTCAGTCTGCCAAGCCTGAGTGTTGCTGTGCTCACGACTAACTAGACGGAATGATAATGAGTTTATGGAGAGATAGGTAGAAATACAGATAGTGTATGGTGATCTGCATCAAAATATGCCTTCTGAAATGGTTTAGAACTGTCAGGATGCTTGTGTAGTAAACTGTAATGGATCTACAGTACTCATGGCCAAGACCAGGAAATTAGGCAGTGTATTCTTGACCCGGGGGCCAATAAGAACCTTTGCACCATCTACCTACAATGTCATTCTATATCTTGAGATCATCTATGTACCACCCGCAAATCAGAGCCCCCAAGTCCCCGACCCTACTGCAATGATCGAGATATCCAACTTGAAATCTCAGCTCACCTTCAGTCTTCAAGTCGCGAGGTCGGCACGGCTGACCTCACCATCAGAACCGCGCCTACTTCTCTCGCGAATTTTTTTTCAAGGTGTTCGGTTTACTCCCCACCTGTTCGTTCCAGCCCCTTGCCCCGAGTGAAAAGGGCCGCGATGGTTGCCATACCTCCGAATGAAGCAGACGCCGCAAAGCACAGCCGGATACCGCGGTAATACACTAATCGCACGGCGAGTTGTACTTCTGGGGGTAGGTCGTGAATCGCTGAAATGGAGTGGCGGATTTCATCGATTACCTAGATAGAGAAAAAAAAACAATTGGGGTCAGCTGGGTCTGCTCAGGACACGTCCCATTCAGTTCGCTTATGAGGATGTACTTTCCATTTGTCTGGTATTTCACTCAAGGCCTCCCCGAGGCCTGAGCTCAATGTATTCTGAATTATGGCCGAGGTGACGGCAACGCCCCATACAGTCCCTAGAGAGCGGATGAGGTACACGGTTGAAGCGGAGACGGCATGGTCTTGTGTGTGAAGTTAGATGACTGATTATCGAGACGTCTCGACGAAAAAAGAGTGCCTACCGGAGTGATCGAATGCGGAAAGGAATGTGAACAGAATTCCGGGGTATACAATCCCCTGCCCCAGATTCGCGGGGATGATATATGCGTAGTATTTCCATTCTGAGTCGTGGAAACGTAGAAGCGTGACTAGTATATTTCCAATGCACATCAGGGCAGCGCCTGCACGTACGAGATAGGCGAGCTTTCCCCATCGTGACATCACAACGCCGGCGATAAGGCCTCCTAGTGGAGTGGCAAGAGACGGTATGGCAAGTCGAGCACCAGCCTTCGTAGGGCTGTCCAGCAGAATGACCTGGAATAGAAGCGGAAGCGTGAATAGAAACTGTAAATACTTTGTTAATGCAGGTTCAATTCATGATAAGAAGAGAGTAGTCCTCACGGCATACGCAGACATGCCACAACAAACATTGGCAATCTGAGTCGAAACTGGGTGTAATCCTTGTAGCATCTTCAGCGGAATCAGAGGAGCAGCCGTCGTTGTAGCTTCCACGGCAAAGAAAGCCACCAGAAACACCAAACTGGCACCTAGCGAGAGGATCACCCAGATGCTGCTCCACGGGAGTTCGTTACCTCCAAGACTCAGCCCGACAAGCTGGCTCGACAGCGCCAGGACAAGGAGAAGAGACCCGAGAAAGTCGATCTGCTGCCACAGGCCCGGGGATTTCTGTCCCGGAACATGCTCCTCTTTCGCGGGGAACTTGAGAACAACGTATCCCAAGACTAGAGCAGCCAGCGAGACTGGAACCTGAATCAAGAAACACCAGCGCCACCCGATAGTGTCGACGATACTCCCGCCGAATGACGCACCGCAGATGGCACCGAAACCGTACGAGACATTCTGAACTACCTGGTACATACCGCGTTGACGGAAGGGGATAAGATCGGAGTTGATAATTGTAGCTAAGTTTATCGTCAGCTTGCTATCTGAACTGGGAGGAAGACAGTCTCCTACGCACCCATGGTCATCAGTCCGCCGCCTCCAATGCCGGTCAGCGCACGCATGATGTTGAGAAAGATCACATCTCTAGCCAAGGCACATCCTAGACACCCGATCATGAAAGCGATCGTAGCAGTAAAAAAACAACCCCGACGTCCCAGCAAGTCAGAGAAACGTCCATACAGCGGCTGAAAGGCAGTGCTGGTAATGAGGTACGAGGTGGTCAGCCACGATGCCGTGTTGGCCGCATTGAATTCCGAGCTAATGACCGCATAAGTCGAGGCGGTAATTGTACCGTCAAATCCAGCGAGAAAGACGTTGGACATGATCGCTATTAAGCATAGAAAATCGATTAGCGCTATGGCCGGTCTGATGGCGGGGTTGCTTTACAAACCCAGTTGGATCCAGAGGAAGCCCGCTGGCGGTTTCCAGGTTGTAGCCTGGCTTCTCGAGCGCAGCAAAGGCTGCCGTTCATCTGGGACAGACTTGGCTGCTGAATCATGAATTAGATCAGATCCAGTCTCTGCGACAGTCGTGGCAGCCGTCCGTTCGGTATGATGCGCAGCCATGGAGGGGTCAAACTCGAGCGATTGAAGGATGTAAAATGTTGGAGAACCGAATTTTGCTTTCAACAATCAACAAGGAAATGACGCCTCGTACAGATCGATTGAGGGAGAATTGTACAGGTACGTGAAACTGGGATTGACAGAATTTTTCAAGAGCAGGATGGTCCAAGCCAAGAAAGATCGCCGAGATCGCAGGGACTCGGGGACTCTTTCGGGAAGCGCCGTGGGGCAATCACGACATCCACCGGGGGAATCCGCATGATGTACATCGACAGAATGGTATTTACAGTATTGTTCATCGCCACTGTGTGATGAAGTGTTATTATTGAATAGAATGCCCGTTTTTACTACTGTATTATTTGTTGTCCGTATCCGTTAAATACGTCGATGAGCAAGTGAGACCCTTAATGACGTTGAGAATGGGTCCGAACTATATAAACCCCGCCTTTGGTCCAGCTTTTTAACAATATCTTCAAACTCTGAAAGGCGTTTGTGCTATAACAACTTCCAGCAAAATTGTTTGAGCGTCATTGACGACTCTTTACCAGTGCAGAATACCAACCTAAGGTTAATGTACCCTTCGCTGCACATGATGGACTTCATCATGGAAACTGATCGCTGGTCTAGTCAACTCGAAACACCATGAAGGTTCTCAAAACCGCCACCTGTGCCGCGATACTGCTTCCCCTGGCAGCGGCAGATTGGCAATTCAAGTCTCGAACTGACCTTGCTCCGCCACACCTGAACATCACCATCCCAGCAACTGCGGACGTCGAAAAGGGCTACCTCTTTGTAGCCCCCTTCGCCGGTCAATGGGCTGAACCTCAATTCCATGGTCCGCGCCAGGAAGGCCCGTACATCTTCCGGGATGACGGTGAGCTGGTCTGGTCTGGATATGGCTACTACTCCATCTGGGCGGCTAACTTCCAGGCGGCCCGGTGGAACGGCCAGGATGTGTTGTTTAGCTTTGAAGGTGACCATAACCCGGCTTATGGACACGGACATGGCCATGCAACTATTCTGAACCAGCAATATGAGACCGTTCGTGAGCTCCGGGCGGGGAATCATAAGCTCATGGATAAGCATGAGTTTCATGTCATCGATGAGAAGACCGCCCTGATTCAGGTGTATCAGCCAGTTCCGGTTGACCTGAGTCAGTGGGGTGGCAGCTCGGAGCAGCAGTGGATTGTGGATGCCATCTTTCAAGGTACGTCGTTCAATCTTATATGAATCTTATCATGTTCAATACCTGACACCCGTGGCTTTACAGAATTGGATATTGCTACTGGCGAACTACTCTTTGAGTGGTCTAGCCTAGAGCATGTTAGTCCAGATGGTAAGTCTCCATCAAGCGCCCTATCTTCAACCTCATCCTGCTCAATCAAATCAATGCTTAACATGTGCTCCCAATTCAGAAGCAGTCCTCCCTTTAAATCCCGGCCAAGCAGGCGCAGGGTACAATTCGTCCGATGCGTGGGATTACTTCCACATCAACTCGGTCGACAAGGACGTCGAGGGCAACTACCTTATTTCCGCCCGTGATGCCTGTGCCGTGCACAAGATCAATGGAACCACCGGCGAGATTATCTGGCGCCTCGGTGGTCTACGTTCAGACTTCGACCTCGGTCCCAATGTGCGTTTCTGCTTCCAGCACCACGCGCGGTTCCTCTCTCAAGATGGCGACGAGGAAATCATCTCCCTATTCGACAATTCCGCACATGGTACCGAAAACCATCGCGGCCACGAAGTACACACGCACCCTTTCTCGCAGGGTAAAATTATCTCAGTCAACACGGCCACCTGGACCGCACGGACCGTTCAGGCGTTCCAACCACCCGACGGACTCCTGGCCAAGTCGCAGGGTAGCACTCACATCTTGCCCAACGGTAATGCGTTGGTCAATTGGGGCTCCGAAGGAGCCTTGACCGAATTCCGACCGGACGGAACTCCCATTTTCCATGCATACATGGACTCGGGGCTCCTTGGCGAGGGCGTCCAGAACTATCGTGCTTTCCGGTACAACTGGACCGGTCTGCCGAGCGAGGAGCCCGCCATTGTCGCGCAAAAGACTTCCTCGGGTACTGCCGTGTATGTCTCGTGGAATGGCGATACCGAAACGGCCGTTTGGCGATTCTATGCGGTCACTGACCGGTATGGATCGCGATCTTACTTGGGTCAGGTCCCGCGTCGGGGCTTTGAGACCGAGTTTGTCGTTGCTGGGCATGTGGATGCGCAAATCTCAGCGGAAGCTGTCTCGAAGAGCGGTCGCGTTTTGAGAACTACCGAGGCGGTGCTTCTCCAGGATGCGGTCTTGCCACCAATTAGAAGTGAGTTTGGCGGTCGCTCGGCTGGATGGAGACAGAGTGTGCTGCATGCATAGATACAGCTTTTAGAGGAGGNGGGTGGGTGTTATTCGAGCATGTTAGGGAGGCCTGGAATAGTAGATGTTAGTGGAAGGAGGAAAGGGTTGAAGTAAGCTTGGGTGGTTGAAGAGGAGAGGGTGTAGAGGAGTAGGTAGAGAGTAGAAATATATGGCTTGATTCGCAGGATTTTGTCGGTCACCTTGAAGCTGTAGCCAGGCCCTGACAGCACCCCCGCATAGTAACGTATATTGGAGCGAGCTACATCGGGCAAATGAACATATCATCATCGCCATAATAGCATCGTGGTTTCACGTCGTTTCAAGTCTCCAAAGGAAACCAATCCAGCCAGAGCACCTCTCATTTACGCGGACCCTAAATAGAGTTACTAATAATCTCAATACCGTGCGACCGGCGTACTGGGTGGTATGGGGAGAGGCCTGCCAAAGTGTGCTTATCCCATGGACATATTAGACGATAGTAAAAATCAGAATATGAGATGAACGAGGGATAGATTCCATTCCACGTGTTGCCACATGGCGGCAGTTACATTGTCCAGTTGGAAATTGAATAATCCGATTTCATCGTGACCAGTGCTTCAGCTCTAAAGAAAACAAAAAGGAGGTCAGTGAATGGTCCTCGAATCTCGATCAGTGGCTCTCGGATGTAATCCTCCCGAGAGGTCAATGGTGCAGCTCTGCCAATGAGTAATGAACGATCATCTCCCATGGGAGAAGAACCCTTTAGATCCTTGCGTCAGCCGTGCTCGATCATGGATTATCGCGTAAGTCGTAAATTCCAGCCAGTGGCTGTAACCCCCGCGTCACCCTTCGGAAGCTATCCTAAATGGGCTATTGCTCCCCATGGGTCCGGGGGGAAATACGATAAATACGCATCCAATCAGAACCGACCATTGCCTTGAAGTTGATGACTCGGGTAGCTCACCCGCAGCATCTGACTTTGGAGCGCGATGTCTTCCGTGGTAATGAGTGCGATGGAGCCATAATAATCATATTTGATGATTGGCAGGACTCGATCTCTGACCAACTTTTCAAGGATGCACTTCGTAGCGAATTTCTCAATAGATCGGTACTCTATACTTGTTTCAATGGTGGAGCAACCCGTCAACCTTAAAGTAGACGCTACAAGGCTATAGCGTCCAGGTACGGAACCACCAAAAACATCCTCGCCCGGCCCGCTGTCTTGAAAGTAAGTCCGTTCTCCGTATCAGGTTAGCAGTGAGCTTTTGCTATCGCCCATTAAATGGAATCCGGAATCGCCCTCATCCGATATCCGAACGGGCAGCGCTCTTGCCGAAAAGCGTAATTACGACAGCGACACGCTTGGGCTTCGCATCTCTCCTGTTTCTCCTCTTTTCACTTCCTCGTTTCTCATCACCCCTCCTCGAGTGTGTTTCATCTCCCTTTCCAATGCAGTTGTAATTCCCATCAACCATGGCGTCACCTCAGCCTCCCGCTCCCTTCGGGAGTGGTGCTGTGTCACAGGCATCGGCACGCCTGATGAATCAACGCCTCGAAGATTCCATGACCGAGGAAGAATCACAAAAGGAGAGTGGTGATATCGAGGACTCTGCCACTCCCGTCACGGCGGAAGAAATTGAGGAGACCCGCCACAAGGAAATCACTGCGCTTGCCCGGACTTTCTCCCAGCTGTCAGACCAAAACTATGCGGAAAAGGATGGACCCCACCAAGAGGGGATCAACACCTTCCTGGAAACCGAACAAGACCCTGAATTGAACCCGAATGATGCCGATCATTTCAACTCGCGCAAATGGGCCAAGAACTTTCTCCAAATGACCTCGCGCGATCCGGACCGGTACCCGCGTCGCACAGCAGGTGTCTCGTTTCGCAATTTGAACGTCTTTGGCTATGGCACGGCTGCCGACTATCAGACCAACTTTGGCAATGCATGGCTCAAGATGGCCAGTTGGGTCCAGGGTCAGCTGGGCTTGCGCGAGAAGAAGCGCATTGATATCTTGAGAAATTTTGAAGGAATCGTCCATGAGGGCGAGATGTTGGTGGTGCTGGGTCGTCCTGGAAGGTAGGTTTCAATTCACAAGGTGATTGGCTACGTACTAATATCTTTGTTACAGTGGATGTTCCACTTTCTTGCGAACCATCGCTGGTGAAACTCATGGTCTGTTCCTCGCCGACGGCTCTGATATCGAATATGAGGGTATTTCGTGGGATCACATGCACGGACGCTTCCGTGGTGAAGTGATCTACCAAGCAGAGACGGAGATCCACTTCCCCATGTTGACTGCTGGAGAGACCCTGCTGTTTGCCGCCCAGGCTCGTGCCCCGAGCAATCGCCTTCCAGGAGTCAGCCGTGATCAGTATGCGGAACACATGCGCGATGTCGTGATGGCCATGCTTGGCCTGACCCATACCATGAATACCAAGGTCGGCAATGACTTCATTCGTGGGGTGTCCGGAGGTGAGCGCAAGCGAGTGAGTATTGCCGAGACCACCCTCTGTGGTAGCCCTTTGCAGTGCTGGGACAATAGTACTCGTGGTCTGGATAGTTCTACAGCCTTGGAGTTTGTCAAAAACATTCGCCTGTCGACTGAATACAGTGGATCCACCGCTGTCGTAGCCATCTACCAGGCTAGTCAGTCCATTTACGACATTTTCGACAAAGCCATCGTGCTCTACGAGGGCCGCCAAATCTACTTTGGTAGAGCTGATGATGCCCGGCGCTTCTTCATTGACATGGGCTTCTACTGCCCTGATCGACAGACCACGGCAGACTTCCTGACATCCCTCACCAGTCCATCGGA